CGAATTACTGTATATTTTACACTTTACTTGTCGTTGATAAGTGTTGACATATATAGAAGAAAAGTTTCAAACTTTTGCGAATTCAAATTATAAACTTTTTACCTAAAATATATTGTACAATCGCTTGTTATTCCTGTGAGGATGAACTAATAAGATTTGCATTCTTTTTCAGCTTGTTAGCTATCGATTATAGAGAATTTACCAGGACAACTTTTTAACCAATACTCTATATATATTGGAATAAAGTCGGCATGGTTACATATGGAGTTAAATCATGGAGGGCCTAAAAAAGGAGTTAAATCATCAGGAGGAGCAATGACAACTTGTGATAATAAATATTGCTAATAGCTAATCAACTCATTCATTATTTTTTTAATGACGCGATTACACATCAAGGACCCTTAACTAGTGTCCCACATTTTGCCGTAGGCCTCCCGTAGAAAAAGAGAGAAGACTAGTAAGCCCCCACATTTTTCTTATTTAGTAGCTAGATAATTTTCTCTGTGTTGATAATTCTTGTTTAAGTTGCCGAATATGAACCTTTTTAAATATCATTTAGTGTATATACAAAAATGTAGAAAACATTTTGTATGTGCGACCTTTGTTTCTTTATATTTTTTTTGTTTGTGTCGGTTAATTTTCTTACAATTTTGATGAAGATAATAAAAGATCCTCGCTGTTAGATTTGATCATTTGTTTTTTAACGGCTACAAGTATGAGTTATAGGTACAGTATTTATTAGTTAAACTTCGAGTTTGTTTTTCGTAAGCCTTGAAAGCTTAGATCAATTTAGATCGATTTCATTACTGGGCCAATGAACTTATACCTTGTGTGGGCTATTTATTTTACATATATCTTACAAGAATAGGGTTTGGGCCTTGTGCAAAGTCTAATGTTATAAGTTTCAAAATTTTAGTGGTAAACATATGTAAATTACTGTTGACGGAGTTATCTCAATACAGCAAAACCGGCTTTGGTTCTCTCTGCAAGACTGCAAATCTCTAAAACCGAATCCAATCGGATAAAACCCTATTTGTGCAATGATAAAACTTCATTAATAGTTTTCAACTCATATTATTTTTATACAAAGAATTAATTAGTACATGAAGTCGTTAAATATAATGATCACAATGTGCTACGAGCTTTTTTTTTCCCTTTTCCTAAATATTGATAGTGGAACGTAATATGCATATGGAACATATATCATTGAGGCGTATGACTTAGAAACGTCGACTTTGATTGACAAAGCCAATCTTCCAATATCAAGCACTTTCTAAAATGTAGACCATGTATATACATGTTAAAGAAAATTTAATGAATCTCATGATTGCAGTATTTGAAATTACTTTTATTGATTTAATTTATAAATAGCACCGTCGGATCAAATATATATACTTACAACATTGGCCATTCTTTCGTCCGTACTAAATTTCTTTTGCATGTGGGATCAAAACCATTTCTTACAATTGAGATATGTTCCCATACTTATCAGACTATCAGTTGTATTTGAATTTGAATGCGAAGAAACCAAAACGACAATTTGTTAACGAGTGAAATAACCGCGTTTAGGTTTAGATAAATATATCTCATATAACTACATATATAATTTCTGTTTGTGTTTTTTTCCATGTGATGGTTCATATCGTTGATATGGGGAGCATATATTCTTCTTGTCCTCGTCTTGTATTGTATTATCAACTTCCTAAACAATAATGTTTAATTTCATACTTGAATCATATATGTATCATTCAAGGTTAACGTGAACGAATGGTAAGTTTAGAGACTATACTTAGCGTTCAAAGATCTAACATATATATATAACAACATATAGTTTATAAATGAGAACTAATTGTATGAGAAATAATCAGAACCGAAACTTACCATTATTCGTTTTATTTGATAAAAAAAAGAAAGCCATAAAATTATCGATCTAATCATTAATAGTCGTCCAATTGATTCGATCTGGCAACCAATATAGGTTATGAGTTATAATGGAGCATGGGGTTCTTGTATAGACGTTAAATCAAGACTAAGTGGCTGCTTTGTCTAAAGATTCACACTGTCTCTTTGTTCTTTTTTTTTTTCTTGTTTCTCCGATTACGACATATAATTCGATCTTTCACTAACAATATGTGAGTACGATCGTCCACTGATTTAACATTTTTAGGGTTAGTGTAGTTCCACTCGATCTCCAACTAATACATAGTAGTTTTCAATTAGTCATAATTCTGATGCCCGATAGAAAGTAGAATATTAAAACAAATATAATAATTAAAAGACTGTAACTAGTAACCTGTTGAAATGCGAAATTTATTCATCTGCACGAAAGAAGTAGATACAGCTTTTGGTTTTATAACTTAACCAAAAGTTTGGTAATTAATTCAGAAACAGCTGGTTTTAATCGGACATCATTAACCGCAGTGTAGGGTAGGAAGGTAGAAGGCCACACGGGTGAATAATGTCATTTTTACTGAATTTATAATATGCCACTACAGACTAGACTAAGAACACTTTTCGAAGTAGCTGATTCATGTTAAAAACGTGAACCAATATATATACTATACTATACTATTCTCACTAATGCCATCATGAATATTTGTTAAATACATATAAATGAATAACTAATCTAAATGTATTTTTACGTAACAATAGTTTCTTTTTGGGAGTTACAAAACTATAGCTTATATAACTTCATAATCTATATATATATTATTCTATATCTTCATAAGTGAAATCACTGAAATGCATATGCATGTGAATAAAGCTTTATTCCAAAATAAGGCATATATTAAAAATTGTACTTTTCTCCAAGAAAATCAGTTATTATATATTAACACTAGTATAGTTAAAACCCCTAACATTAGAATGAGGCATTATCATCTTACATATCCTAATCTGCACACACAAAATTCTTTGTTATTGTTACGAGGTACCAAATAAACACACTTTCAAAACCAACATTTTATCTATAAGTTAGTTACTTATGATGCCCCTTTTCATATTATTAAACCCTATATGATTTAGTAAAACAACTCAATAATAATAATCACCACATCTAATGCAACTAACATCCATAGTTACCATCATACCAGACACAGTTAAGCAAATTCTCTGGATTAAACTCCAATAGATCTCTAGAGTTCATATACTACTAAAGAATCTTATCCTTTATCTATGAACGTAATTTGTAATTAACTACTGGCACGATTAGATAGCGAGTTAAGGTGCAATCTAAGATGCGATATTTAAAAACGACAAAAAATTTGCCCAAAGAAAGAGAGAGACAAAGGAAAAGGAAAAGAAAGGCACCTTGTGATTAAGACCCTCGAACTTACACTAAAACACAAATCCAAAAAGCTTTAGATAAGATCCAAAGATGAATCCACCTTAGAGGCTTTAACCAAATTACTAAGCAATTGCATGGTGTAACACTGCAACTTACAAGTCTTTTATAATATCTATCGTCGTTACAAATGATTTAATAAAGACGAGATTAGTATCTACATATTTGGTAGAAAATTAGAAATGGTAATATTTCACAGGCTATTTTTTCTTTTTCATCCTGACGAATCTCTGAACTTTCTTTCTGTTAAAAACTGGCTTAAAATCCGGAACATGCAGCTTTTTTATGATATGAAAATAGAAAAGTACATATTTCTTTAAGAAATAAAGAAAGGTATATATTTATACTATAGTATTTTCATGAATGTAAAGATGTAGAGTAATAATAATAGATAAAAACAAAATTTCAATAAATTCGATAGAGATTGGGTGTTTAAGCATTAGTATCAAACACACTAAAATTTATTTTGATCAGAAACCTTTTTGATTTACCCATTTAAGACTTCAATCCAACTATCAAAAGTTTATAATATGTCAAATGTTTATACATATGCTTGATTTTGGGAAAACATTATTTGATAGTCTAAAATAAAAAGTGGTGTGTGGAGACCACAATTCTTTTTTGGGAACACTGCTCAATATTGCTACTGCGGCTAAGTGGCAAAGACACCTACCCCTACTATTTCATTTCCCTTTTCATGCTTCTGGTGGGCCCAACAATGAGAGCCCATGGGCCCAAAACTTTTCGAGATTCTCTTCTCTCCCTCATCCTCAAGTCTAATAATCATCTTCCATTGCAATTATTGGCGACTTAACTTTTTTTTTTTGGACAACTTAATTACAATCTCTGTTTTATACATTTTAGGTTGTGAAGTTTAAGCTCCAAAACATTTTATACATAGTCCATGGCTTCAAAATTATCATGCATTGAATGGTTCGCCGTTGTTAGACATTATCCAAGTGCGGTTTGGCTGAACCGGTTAACTAAATTAAGAAAAAGTAACGACTGATTTTAACATTTGGATGACATACATCAAAGCTGAATTGAATAAAAAGCGTATTTTAGCTACTAAATCATATCCACGGTAGCATAACTTGGGCGAGAAAGCAAATCGTTTTTTACAAAAGTAAAAAAATAAAACAAAGTGGAATAAGAGAGAAGTGAGTGAGAGAGAGAAAGACAAGGGTAGAATCGTAAAGTTTTCTGGACGCTTTCTGTGACCTGTCGGGGAGTAGATGTCTATACAAAGGTAACATGTATATATAGATTTATACATGTACAGTATAAACAATTTATCAAAACACAGTACTACCATTTTTCTAAAATCTAACATTTTTATAATCTAAAGTCAGTAAGTAGAAGAACATTTTAATAATCTATGATGATTTGTGTTTAAACCCCAAAGAGGAAAGAACATACTTCTAATTATTGATTTATAAAAATAATACTTTTGTCAATTTTTGGGAAATACGACATGAAAATAAATAAATAAAAGTTATCACCTTTTTATCATTTCATTGAACGTCTCACAAAAAGCCTCACTCACAATTGATCTCAGCTAAAGTTTTTTGGTTTTTCCCATTCTCTCAGAAAGTGTTATTACTGTTTGTCTACTCACTAAATGCTTCAAAAGTTTCTCCACATTTTTATTTGAAAAATGTCTGAATCTGTAGCAGCAGAGCATGATTACATAGGTTTGTCAGAGTTTCCAACCATGGAAGCAACAACAGTGTCTGACAAAACCAAAACCAGAGACAACAGCAACAAAAACAACAACGACGCCGACGGTCTGAATTTCTACAAGGCCACCGAGTTGAGACTCGGTTTACCCGGTTCCGAGTCCCCGGAGCGAGTCGACCCAAGATTCTTGTCTCTCAAGAGTTCCTGTCCTGTCTCAGGTGCCAAAAGGGTATTTTCCGACGCCATTAACGGGTCTAACAAATGGGTCTTCTCTCCTGGAACCACTCCTTGTACTGATGACGTCGGGTCGGGTTCGGGTCCCGGTAGCTCCGCCGTGAAAGACCCCAAACCGGCCGGTCTGGTTAAGGAGAAGAACATCTCTGCAACAGCTCCAGCTTCAAAGTAAGATAAAAAGCTCTCTCCTTTTTCGCCGGAAAATCTCTGTAACAGAGACATCTCTGTTTATGATTTTTATGGTTTTGATTGAGCAGGGCACAAGTGGTGGGTTGGCCACCAATAAGATCATTCAGGAAGAACACAATGGCTTCTTCTCAATCTCAGAAACAAGGCGGTGATAATAATAATAACATCTCAGAGACCGAAGCAGAAACTAAGTCTGGACGAGAGCCTTGCTTGTATGTCAAAGTGAGCATGGAAGGTGCTCCTTACTTGAGGAAAATCGATCTCAAGACTTACAAGAGTTACGTCGAGCTCTCCTCTGCTCTTGAGAAGATGTTCAGTTGCTTCACCATCGGTAACGTTTTCTAATCCACTTCATTGAGATAATAATACCTGTGGCTGAGTTAGTGTTAAACTGTCTTCTTTTTGGGTGTTTTCAGGTCAGTTTGGGTCTCATGGAGGGTGTGGTCGAGATGGGTTAAACGAGAGTCGCTTGACCGATCTCTTGCGTGGCTCTGAGTATGTTGTTACCTATGAAGATAAAGACAGTGACTGGATGCTGGTTGGTGATGTCCCTTGGGAGTAAGTCTTTGATTGCTAATTTCAAGAAACCTCCAAGACCAATCAAGAATCTTGATTGTTGTATACTCTTACATCTACTAGTATATTCTTGGTCTTGGTCATTGTATGTCTATTGAAGTTCTTCCTGTCCTTTTTTTTCTCTGCAGAATGTTTATATGTTCCTGCAAGAAGCTGAGAATTATGAAGAGCTCTGAGGCTATCGGCCTAGGTTAGTTTTTATTCTCTACACCCTTGTTTACGCAGATCAAGCTGCTTGGTTTTAAGATGTACTAGAAGGTGGTCCTTTATGAACTAAGACCGCCTTCTAATACTTTCATGATTCTTGAAGCTTCTCGCAGGAAACATTATGCAGAGAAAGAGACATAATCAATGGGGAAGAGCTCGAAAAGGATGCATTTTGGTCCTTTCCGAGCTCTCTTGATCGCTATAATCATACTACTGATCCCTTACACAAATCCTGTTTGTTTGCAGCTCCAAGGGTGATGGAGAAGTGCAGAAGCCGGAACTAGTACATGCCCTTATATGTGACAATATATGATTTGGAAAAAAAATGTAATAGCCATTTTGTTTTGAAGTATTTTTGGTGTGTTTGTGTGCTAGGAGTGATGTTCGATCTTTCTTAAAACAGCCTCTACTAAGCTCTAATAAGGCATCTTCCTCTTACTTCCGTCTCTAATCAATCAAATGGATCATATGGGTTTGTGTATGTATGTTTTGCCAAGGAGGAAGACTTCATAATTCATATGTATAAAAGGTTGGTAGTGTGTAAACCGAATTCGGTTCGTCTCTTTATATCTATGTAACAACACTCTCTCCCGGTTTGGTTTCGGTTAACCAAAGAGGGTATCAAATGATTTTACAAAAGTGCAGCATCTTCAGAATGTCGTCCTCTGTTAGAACTATTGAACTCGAACAAAATGATACGGATCGTTATATTACTAAACATGTACAAAAGGGTTTAAAAGATAAAGATGCACATTTTCATATCAAACGTACTTCACCTATATTACAGCAGTACCTAATCCTCATTCGCCTCCTCTTCACGACTTCTATGTACAAAACGAAAGTGAAGACACCAAATGCATACAGGGATCGCATAGTATTCTCCGATTTGCTTCCTTGTGTCTCAATTCTTCTGAAAATTCCAGCTTCTCTTGCTAAGGTTGCTCAATATCCAGCCAAAGTCGAGTAGATTTTGCCCGTATTGTATCTTCACAAGGTAGCTTCTGTAGGGTATCAGTATGTTCCTGAGACCTGAGAGCATTCGAGATAGATAGTTTCAAGATAAATCATCCAACGACACATCTTTCGGGTTTAAATCAACCTATGACTTAGATCCAAAGCATGTGACAGAGAGACAAGTAAAGACAGTGTAGCTACCTGTTGTGCACATTGTCTTGTAATAGTGAGCAACTTGAGCATCTCCCCTTGTAACAATGCCCTTGTTTGATTCCAGACACTCAAGAAATGCCATGTCAGCTTTTAGCATCTCTGCTTGGTCATGAGTATCATAACCGATATCATGGCAATAACAGCAATGGTCTAACCAATCGATAGGTCTCTGATCCCAAACCAGCGAGCCACCATCTTTCCCACTAGACCAGTTGGGTCCACAGTAATGTCCGTACCTCGGGAAAAGCTGCGAAAGAAACGCCCTCGGTCCTGTGTGCCACGGGACCTTGGACACATAGGGTCTAAACCGATAAACAGTATTCACGCTGTTTGATCTTGAGGACCTTCGAGACACTGCATGCCTTTTTAACCCTCTGTTTATAGTAGTGGGTTTCTGCTTCCCATCACCGGAAGTTGCAGACCAGGGAACAACAGAGCTAAGAGACCAAGTCCATATCTTTATATCGAATAAGCCTTTGCCTCGATCTGGCTGTTCAAGTAGAGAAGTTGTCGATGTAACGGTTTCCACCATGGCTACATCCTTCTTTGAGCTGTTGCTGTTAAACCAGGAAATATTTGGCAACCCAAAGTTCATCTGTAAAACAACACAGTACATAGAAAGACTTCAGCAATCGAGTTTCAATTATCCATAAGATCTATCATCACTATGAATATCATGTTCGAGAGTAACTAAGAAAAAAAGACAAGATTTTGTTTCTGGAACTCCTGAGAAAAGTGAAATCAAGTATGAACTATGCAGTTCTCTATCTCAAATCATTTCTTGTAAGCAAAATGCAGTTTAATTCGTTGAGAAATTTGGCTCCGGAGATGCAGTAAACAACTTAACATTTTGCTTCTCGAAGCCATGTGAAGTGATCCAGAGACGATGACAGGTTTCATTTTTTGCAAAATTGACATTGCTTAATTTAGAAAGGAACAAAATGGTCTGCGTAAGATGAGAGTGTTTTGGGATTATTACAACTTCTCTAAATTTTCAGGATTATGCAAATGCAAAGACACAAACTTTGAAACAAGTTGATCTCAATACACCGACATTTAAACCCAGAATTCAATGGCTAATGAACATAAGCTTATGAATCAAACCACAACAAATCCACCAAACAGACATGAATCCAAAACGAGAAGAAATTTTCAATAATATCGTCCACAACTTTCGAAGAAAATTTCCAAATTGCGAAAGTAAACCTCTCAAAATCATAAAACTTAGAATTCACTAGTAAAGAACATTGAATCGGATCTCCAAAAGGGAAATGAACAACACAAAAAGAACCAGAATGATTAAATCAAAGGACCATGCATTGAGATTGAAATTCACGAACCTGAGCAGACAATTAACAGAGACGCTACGAGGAAGACACAGGTTTTTCGTTTTCCTTCACAAATCACGATTTTATCCATCCCTTTGTTTTTGTGGGGCCGAAAACGTTAGTGGGCCTAAATTTAAGCCCAGAGGGTAATTAGATTACCACAAATGATGAATGCTTTTAGCCTTTAGCTTAGTACTAGTCATTAGTCATTTAAGATCCTCTTAATTTGGCTTCTGTAGAGAACGGGAAAAATACAATCTCATATTTTCATGAACAAAAAAATTACAGCTTTTTGATTATAAACTAATCAAAGGTGAATTACTGAAGATTTTTGTCTACAAAACAAAAAAAAAGGAAGACTTTGCTTTGTATAACTCATGACAAAAGAGAGCTCCCTCATTTGAAAAATTGATTCTTATTTTTTTCCCTCAGTTGTCTTCTCCAAGAGTAAACTTGACAAACCTCCTGACTTTGATGTTTTCACCAAGTGTAGCCACCGTTTGCTTCACGAGATCCTTAACCAGAACACTATCATCTTTAATGTAAGGCTGCTCAAGCAATGCCCATTCTCCAAGCCTCTTTGAGATCCTTCCATCAACGATCTTCTCCCTTATGTTCTCTGGTTTCGACAAAAGATCCTCTCTTTGCATCTCGATCTCTTTTTCTTTCTGCTTAATCTCCTCCGGAATATCCTCAACGGATACATATTGCACCTGCGTATAGACATTTCAATGTCAGAGACCACCAACTGGTTTTTAAGCCATTGTTTCAGCTGAGAAATTTTCCTTACCTGTGGATTAGCCACTGCTTGCATTGCAAGATCATCAACCAATTCCTTGAACTTTTCGCTTCTTCCGACAAAATCTGTCTCACAGTTGACTTCTATCAGAACTCCAATCCGTGAATCGTGGATGTATGAGCCTATTCTCCCTTCTGCTGCAAGCCTGCTTGACTTTTTATCTGCTGATGAAAGACCCTTCTTTCTTAAGTATTCTTGTGCTTTCTCAAGATCTCCTCCTGTCTCCGCTAATGCCTTCTTGCAATCCATCATCCCGGCTCCTGTTTCTTCACGCAGCTGCTTCACAAGAGCAGCTGAAACCACTGTAGTTGCTGCTGGACTGCAATGTCATTTCCCGAAAAAGTTTTAATCTTTCTGTAGCCGAAACTGTTCAGTAGCTTATGTAAAGAAGAGCATAGATTTATAAATTTCTCACCTTGCAACAGCTTCCTTGGGCTCTTCAGCTTTTGGCTGTTCTTTCTCTGGTACAGCTTTTGGTTTAGCTGCGGCTTGGGCAGCAACTTCAGCAGCAAAGTCCTGGCTTTTCTTCTCAAGGCCTTCTCCGAGAGTGTACCTCACGAATCTCTTCACTTTAATGTTTTCTCCAATGGTTGCAATCCTCTGCTTTACGAGATCCTTCACAATCACTTTATCGTCTTTAATGTATGGCTGCTCTAGCAATGCAAGTGCATCTAGCCTCTTCTTTATCCGACCTTCGACTATCTTCTCCCTTATCTGCTCAGGTTTCGACAAAAGATCTTCCTTTTGCATCTCTATCTCTTTTTCCTTCTTCACAATTTCTTCGGAAACATCTTCTGTGACAAGATATTCCACTTGAGGGCACGCAGCCACCTACAGTACATGCCAAGTCAGTTTATGTTCTCAGCTATTAAGCAAAATGAAGGAAATGTTTTGAGCTAGAATCTTGGAGTTTTACCTGCATCGCAAGATCATCAACAAGTTCCTTGAAAATGTCGCCGCGTGAGACAAAGTCCGTCTCACAGTTAACTTCCAAGAGGACACCGATTCTGCTGTCGTGGATATAAGAACCGATTCTTCCTTCGGCTGTGGTTCTGCTTGCTTTCTTGTCAGCGCTCGCTAGTCCCTTCTTGCGAAGGTACTCCTGAGCTTTGACCATATCGCCCTCGCTCTCCGAGAGAGCGTTCTTGCAGTCCATCATTCCCGCTCCGGTTTCTTCTCTTAGCTGCTTCACAAGAGCTGGTGATATGCCCCCTGCAATTTTTTTTTTGTACAATAGATAGAAGTTTACATTAAATCATTTGATCATGAAGCTGAATGTAAAACAAGCGAAAGATGAGCAAAAGAAAGACCTTTGATGCTTTCTTCTGCAGCAGCCGTGTTGCCACTTTCCTCAGAAGATGCTTCTGTGACAACAGAGGTGGGAATCTCGGCTTCAGAAACAGGTGCTTCGGCCACCACTTCCTCCTTTTGAAGCTCCTCACTTGCTACAGATTCTGAAGATGAAACTTCATCGGTCGGTGAACTTGGAGGTATAGAGTTCTCAGGAATTTCCTCTTCACCTGGTCACCAGTAGAAGAGAAGTGTCAATGCTATTACACATTAAAAAACAATGAACTAATTCAATATAACATAAGGCAACTCAAACCTACTTTTGGTTTCTGGAATTGGAGGAACATCTTGTGTTGCCTCAATCTTTTCCACCTCTTCAGCTTCAACTGCTGCAGCAACTGTTTCCGTCTGCTCTTCTTTTTCCTGCGAAGCATCTTCAGCTGTGGTCTCTGTTACTACTGCTTCTTCTTCTTCTACCTTGGGAGTCTGTGATGAGAGAGCCTCTTCACTTGTTTCTACAGATGATACAGATAGTGATTCCTCCACTTTATCTGAGGTGATAGAGGCTTCAGCTACTTCTGGTTCATTCACCGGCTCTACTGGTTTCTCAGCAGGTTGCTTCTCTTCCTCCCTCTTGTCAAGAAACGCAGCAATCTCTTCGTTTTTACGGAAAGCAAGCATAAATGGATTCGTGGCTGTATGCACAACTCCTTGACTGAATGTTTCATCAAACTTACCGTCGTCTTCCTCTTTCATCGTTAGAGTAACACGACCCCTCGCTATCCTCAGCACACGGACCTTAACCTCTTGTCCAGCTTGCAACGAAGAGCCACCACCCATCATCATGCTCCCAATCCCATCATCTGCTTCCTCATTCGTAGGTAGAAACCCTTCTTCGCCTTCTCCAATCGTTATAAACGCACCTGACCTCGTCAAGTTCTTCACCGTTCCATCCAACATCTGCCCTTTCACAAACTTTGAGTGAAACCCATCTTCCTTCTTCTGCCCTCCTTTCGAAGCGTTCCTCTTCCCTCCGGGCCTCGGCTTATCACTACCACCACCGGACTGGCCTTTGGGAGGATCGTCGTTCTCACGCATGGTTAGAGAAATACGTTTTCCTTCAATGTCAGCTTCCAGTAGCCTCACTTTCACCTCTTGCCCAACAGTGACAACACTCGCAACATCCTTAACAAAGTTGTCACTCAACTGAGAGACATGGACTAATCCATCAGTGAAGGCACCAAAGCTGACGAACGCTCCAAAGGGCTGAATCGCTCGTACTTTCCCAGTGAAGGTAGCACCAGCAACAAGCTCCTCGTTCTTAACTGTCGGCGTTTCGACCTTCCTTCCGGGTCTTGCCGCTCCCCTTGACTGAGATGTTGTAGTAGTACTAGTAGCAGCAGGAGGAGGAGCTGCTTCTGATGATGCATCGGTTTCTCCTTTTGAGCTCTCGTCCGCAACAGGAGGAGAATCTTGTTCCTCTACCGCCACAACATCTGTCCCCGTGGCTCTAATACGGTGAGGATGCAACACAAAGTGCCTCCCATGAGTAGGAAACAATCCAAGTGAAGTCGAAAGAGGCAGAGCGAGTCTCTGAGTCGAAGAAAGTATCTGTTTCTTGCCAGCTTTACGGGAGAAGCAGCATTTGATGGAGCAATCATTCTTCTTTACAGTAAAAGCAGCTCCGGGAATGAGCCAGGCTTTGCTGATGGAAGAAGGAGTAATCGTAGCCATCTCTAATGTGGCTAAACACTGTCACCTACTACACATAAAGCAATAGACATTGTAAGAACAAATAAGAAGAAAAAAGACCACTCTCCTCTTTTTCTCAATTCGAATTGAAAGTTCCATTGCAGTCTAACTCAACAACTCAAAAACTCTTAATCTCCACAACTGTGAAGAGAAGGAAAGTCAGAAAATTTCGGACTTATCTTATAACGATACCATGCGAGAAGAGTCATAGAATGATTGCAGAGTTATATTGAAAGAAACCCATTTGAGGAAAACTGAGTAAAGGAGGTACCTTTTAGTTCGCCTTGCTATGCGAAAATTCTCCCAGAGAAACTAAAGCGAGAAAAATCGCTGAGGTGAGTGAAGTATGACGACAAATAAGCTCGAAGCGAAGGCAAGGAAAGAGGTGAGAGGCTTCAAATCCTTATCTCATTTTGTCTGTCTCCTCTGCTCTTTGGTTTTATTTTTTTCCCTCTAATGTTTCGTGGATAGAAGAGATAAGAGTCTTCAAAGAGATTACACATAACCAGATGATTGTCTTTTTTCTTCTCTCTCCTCGGCATCAATCAGCTCAAACTCCAGCTGGGTCGATTTGTGTCCAATATCGGCTTACAGGCTTGCTGTAAGGCCCATCATGTTACGACAATTAGGCCCATAAAGATTCAAAAGCCTGAGGTCTCAAGTGAAACTGCTAAGCGCATTTCCCATTTTCCATTGATGTATCTTATCTTAAGAATAAAAAATGGGGAATTGGCTCATATAACCATATCAATGTCTATATTTCAAAAAATAACCATACCAATATATATGTTATTATATTCTTTGTATATTCGACAATATATACAAAATTGTCCTTGTTTGTTTTTCTTTATCCTTCCATCTTCTCTTCTATTTGCATCCTTTTCCCCTCACTTCCCCTCTGCTCATCTCCACTCATCTTATTTCCCCTCATTCCCTTCTCCTCTCATCGCCTCCTCCCCTCCTCTCTTATTGTCTTCTCTTTTTTCCTCTCTTTAATATAATATAGTAAATATAATTAAAATCTCTAACTACTATACTATATTAATTTTATCGTGTAAGACTATATATTAAAGTATAGTCCGAAAAAAATCATTTGCTATAATCAAAAGTATATTCTATATATTCTCGGTTTAAAACAAAATGAGTTTTTAGTAGGATATGGTTATTTTCATATTTTTTGAATAGCATAGCTATATTCTTGTATTTTTTTATAAATATGGTTAGATTGCAAATTAATCCATAAAAAATAAAATAAAAACTAATACGTCTTTTAGATCACTTTTTCAATGAGAGATTCTTAGAAAGATTTTTAATATTAAGAAAATAGAAAAAAATCAAACAATAAAAGAAACAAGAGAGAGCAGTTTCTCAAATAGTACTAAACAATAACCTATTCTAAGGTTTTAAAATATTTATTTATATAGTTGTTTTGTTTTTATTAGTTCATTTTTTTGAAAAATATTAAAATTTAATTATATATGTTAGATTATAATAAAATAATAAGTAAGATACTTGTTTAAGAGTTCTACCATTGTGTATGTTCTTAAGGCATTTCCATCGATAGTTTTTAAAAAAGTATTTAAGAATAAAAAAAATAGAAAAAAGAGAAAAGAGAGAGAAAAATTAAATTCATTTCTTAAATTTTTTATCTAACAAACGATTTTAAAGGTTTCTTCTTTTTGCTATCACACATATCCATTCATTATTGATTTCTTCTGAATTGAATAAATAATTTATATTAATAAAATAATAATAAGAAATTGTAAAACATAGTATTACCAATGGAGATGGTCTTACATTGTTTGATTAAGAAATGTTTCTGAAAAGTTTTTATGCACTTAGTCTATTTATTATTAACTCATTCCTTCTATATTATAAATATTAATTAAATAAATTTCCAAGGTCGGTTGGTTGAAATACGCGTACCAGTGATTGTCGAGGGGCCAGACGACAACTATTCAACAATTGACTTGAGCTCAAGACTCTCCAAGTCGTTGCTATATGGACTATGTAGGGAGAGCTCTCTTCTGTCTTCGTTTCTTTCTCAGATCAATAACTTAATGGTAAGATCATTCAACAGAAAAACCTTTTTTTTCTTGTTGGCAAAACGATGAATACGTGTGTCATAGTGCTTCTAATTCTTCTGCTGCACTTCTTCTCCAACAAAGCAGTTTCTCAGGATGAAGAAGGAGAGTTCGGCTTCAATGGTTACTTGTACGACAGCTATGGAACTTCCAATCTTAACTCCAACGGCTTGATGACGCTGACAAATTCGAGCGTACAAAAAACTGGTCAAGTTTTCTATAACAACCCACTCCGATTCAAGAAATCACCAAACGGTACCGTTTCGTCTTTCTCCACTACGTTTGTTTTCGCTATAATCTCTGAGATTCCAATTCTTAGTGGCCATGGAATTGCTTTTGCCATTTGTCCTACCAAAGGCTTGCCCTATAGCACTGCCTCACAATATCTAGGGCTCTTTAATATCTCAAACAATGGAAATTCCTCAAATCATGTTGTAGCAGTTGAGTTTGATACAATCCAAAGCACTGAATTCAATGACATGGATGATAACCATGTTGGTATCGACATCAATAGCTTGATATCTGAGAAAGCAGCTAGAGCAGGTTACTACCAAGACGATGGTACTTTCAAAAACATCACTCTTATAAGTCGAAAACCCATACAAGCCTGGGTTGAATATGATTCCTCAACGAAACAGCTTAATGTCACACTACATCCTCCTAATAAACCTAAGCCAAAGATTCCACTGCTTTCTCTTACCAAAGATCTATCGCCATATCTCTTGGATTCTATGTACGTTGGCTTCACTTCATCCACAGGCTCTGTTCTTTCGTCTCATTATGTTCTTGCTTGGAACTTCAAGCTCAATGGGAAAGCTTCAAACATAGATCCATCTCGTCTTCCAAGACTTCCTAGTAAATATCAAGAAGGTTCTCGGGCTAGTCTGAAAAAGATCTTGGCCATCAGTTTGAGCTTAACCGGCCTCGCAATCCTCATCTTCTTGACTATAAGTTATATGCTTTTCTTGAAAAGGAAGAAGTTAATCGAAGTTCTTGAAGACTGGGAGGTTCAGTTTGGCCCACATAGGTTCGCTTACAAGGATCTTTACATTGCCACAAAGGGTTTCAAGAACAGTGAGCTTCTTGGTAAAGGAGGGTTTGGAAAAGTCTACAAGGGTAGATTATTGTCCTCTAACATGGACATCGCCGTGAAGAAAGTTTCTCATGATTCAAGACAAGGAATGAGAGAGTTTATCGCCGAGATCGCGACCATTGGCCGTCTCAGACATCCTAACTTGGTTCGGCTTCTTGGTTACTGCAGGCGCAAAGGAGAACTCTATTTGGTCTACGATTGTATGCCCAAAGGCAGTCTTGATAAGTTTCTCTACCATCAACCGGAACAGAGTCTTGATTGGTCACAAAGACTCAAGATCATCAAAGATGTAGCTTCTGGTCTCTGCTATCTACACGAGCAGTGGGTTCAAGTCATCATTCACAGGGACATTAAGCCAGCTAACATCCTCCTTGATGAATCCATGAACGGGAAGCTCGGTGATTTTGGTCTCGCGAAGCTCTGTGAACACGGGATTGATCCTCAAACCTCTAACGTGGCTGGTACGTTTGGATACATCTCACCAGAGCTCTCACGAACAGGAAAGGCAAGCACAAGCTCTGATGTGTTCGCGTTTGGAGTATTCATGTTAGAGATTACTTGTGGGCGAAGACCCGTTCTGCCACGAGCATCTTCGCCGAGCCAGATGGTTCTTACGGATTGGGTGCTGGATTGTTGGGAAGATGACATATTGCAAGTGGTTGATGAGAGGGTTAAGCATGCTGGTGGGTACCTTGAGGAGCAAGTTACTCTGGTTCTGAAACTCGGTTTGCTCTGTTCGCACCCGGTTGCAGCCATTAGACCAAGCATGTCGAGCGTCATCCAGTTCTTGGAAGGTGTGGCTCAGCTACCTAACAACTTGCTTGACATTGTGAAAGCTCGAGAAATCGTTGGAGCTACCCAAGTTTCTGGTGAAGCAGCTGAGTCACTTGCACAGCCCAGCTCGGTTGCTACGGTGACGTTTACTGAACCCTTTGTTTCGCTTGGGCGCTAAAAGATATAGTTTTTTTTTTAAAAAAATCCACTTGGTAAGTTGGTAACTCAATGATCTTCTTTCTTCAAGACCACGTCCTATTACGATAAGAATTAAGAATGATTGTATGAAGTTTAGTTTCGATTTGTCATAAGATAAGACACTGTGCTTGCGGAACCTTTTTATATTAGCCGATGAAAATAAGGTTTTTCTTTTTGTATAATATATTTGCAAGTATTTACAAAATCACTAAAATTCATGTTTTATTTTTCAAAAACCGAACTGTGTTTATCAATTCGTATTATCTGTCTTAACATGCCAATTTTGTTTTATCCTATTCTTTCCTGATAAGATGATTTTGTTTCGAGATTTTACAAATGCAAGGGCTATGCTTTGTTATTGTCTTTGTCGAGGAAGTGAATTTATCTTTTTAATGTTATTTGATTCTCTCAGATTCGATAACATTCGGTTCTAATAAAAAGAGTAAACCGAAGTAGGCATTTCAAAATGGAAAACATGAATTGTTATTTGAAGGAGATCACACGGCATAAATTTATAAGACCAGAACGATCCTAAGCAGAAGCAAATGTATTATAAAAAAAGAGCAGAGGAAGTCAAAAGATGACGATGATGATGATGATGATGATATGCTGATGATTTTACATGTAAAGGCCTTCAGGGACGCCTTCCTTCTTCTTGAACATAACCTTCTCCTTGGCTTTCTTGAAATCCGGATGTGTCACCTGAACGGAACCAATCAGACAAAACCCAAACATTAGATTCAGTGGCTAGTAATTTCCCAAAGTGGTGTGTGTATGATCGAACTGAATGGTTCAGAGTCTTTACCTTCATACGACGCTCCCTGAGAGCAAGCAAACCAGCCTCAGTGCATATAGCCTTTATATCAGCTCCTGAGAACTCGTCTTTCGTCATCACAAACTCTTCCAGGTTTACATCTTCTGATAGAGTCATCTTCGATGTGTGTATCTATTTCATATAAATAAATAAATAACTCATTTAACTCGACGAACAAGTCCATTGGATTTTGTTTTCTCTGCAGAATTAGTTTTACCTGGAAGATGCGTCTTCTTGTTTTGATATCTGGAAGAGGGAACTCGATTTTCCTATCAATACGTCCAGGTCGAAGAAGTGCCGGGTCAAGAGACTCGATTCTGTTTGTGGCGAGGATGACCTTGACGTCCCCTCTTGAATCGAATCCATCAAGCTGGTTCAGAAGTTCCAACATAGTTCTTTGGATCTCACGTTCACCTCCTGAGTTAGCGTCGTACCTGTTTTATTTCAAGCTTTAATCAGTAACTATCTCTCAAGAACAATAGGTTATGGAACATGTTTGTCTGTAAGTTTGATTTACCGCTTGGTACCAACGGCGTCAATCTCGTCTATGAAGACAATTGATGGTGAAAGGTCATCGGCAACTCTGAAAAGCTCCCTCACAAGCTTGGGACCATCTCCCAAATACTTCTGAATCAGCTCACTACCAACAACTCTCAAGAAAGTAGCTGATGTCGAATTCGCCACTGCCTGATAGATAACCAAGACACAAGAGCTCACTCCCACAGTATTCAAAAGTAAAGTAAGAACATGCACAAAACATAAAATATGCCAAAAAAAACTGCAGCTTTTACATGTTTGACCGAGACAAACCCCAAAAAAAGACACTAAAAGTAAATCCAAGCGACTCAAAATATCTTCATCCTTGAGGAAACTACTCTAGCTATGATCTAATTACTGAAATTGAGGTGACCAGCACACAAAGGTCTGGCCTTTGAAAATCTTTCTGCTTACAGCACAGCCTCACAAAGTTGTTTATAGCTAGATAACAGTAAGAGCCCTATTTCAATCAGAGAAAATCTACTTCGCGAGCGACTCAAGATTCAAATGAACGAGTCATTATATGTAACTGAAACCTTAAATAGGAAACTAAACTTTTGAATAGATACTAATACTTGTTAGGTTATAGGCAGAAAGGCAAACCTTAGCAAGCAGTGTCTTCCCAGTTCCAGGCTCACCATACAAAATCACACCCTTGGGAGGCTTAATACCAATATCTTCATACAACTCGGGATGAGTTAGAGGCAGCTCAACTGCTTCCTTAATCTCCTGAATCTGAGCTTCTAAACCTCCAATGTCAGCATATGACTCCAAAGGAGCCTTCTCAACTTTCATCACAGAGACCATCGGATCCACTTCATCTTGGAGAATGCCAACAACAGAGAGAACCTAGCACAAAGCCAAAATGGGAACATCTCAGTACTGGAGCTACTTTCTCATGAAATAATTGATTTAATAGAGAGGCAACATAGTTAGTCAGGATACTCTTTGTTCAATTCTTAGACCCAATGAACCTGGAAGAGGAACCCTAAAGCGCGATGACAATATTATTATCACAATGAAGCTCCAGCTTCCGAATCATCAAGCAACAAGATAGGATCTCTAACCTAAGGGAGAAAACCCTAATTCACATACCTTATTGTGCATCAAAATCGAGCATCCAGGTTCGAGTTGATCTTTATCAACGAACGACAGTATCCCAACATAGTACTCAGGCCCAACTGAAGAAGAGACGATTGCGTGATTCTCGTCAATCAATTCCTCCAGATTTCCAACACTCATCGGTGTACCACGGAGATCATCGACCTTAGATCTATCTTCCTCGGCCTTCTCCTCCTGAGGTTTCAGCCGCTCCTGGTTCGCCACAAACTCTTCCTCCATCAACAAATAATCCTTGATCCGGTCCAATTTTAGCAGCCGGAGCTTGCACTTAGTAGACGGAGTCACCGTCGGAAGTCGTGCCGCCGCCTCAGGCCCTTTCTGCTTCCGCTGCTTTCTTCCTACACGAGCCGGTGGTGCCGCCGGCTCGAACTTTTTCTCCTTCTTGTCGCCGCCATCAGGCTTCCGATCTCCCTGCCGATTCAAACCTCCGGATGGTCCTTGACCCATGATTTCTTTCTCTCGATTTCTTCCGAAAGAGCTCTCTGTGTTGTTTCTCCTTTGTACTGAGATTTTTGGCTTTGGGAAGAAGAAATCTTTTTATTCAGCTTTAACTTTTTTTGATATCAGATTCGGCCCAAATGTACCAGACCCAAACAACTGTCAGCTTAAAAACTGATAAAATCACAAAATATACTTTGGGCCTAATTTTGCTTCGTGAATAAAGCCCATAAGAATGCAACCCTATGTTTGACGATGTATTTGAAAGTTGTGTATGTACCTAAAACATAATGTGGATATGACGTTGTTTGACCAAAACGAAACAAAAATGTAAACCGAAACCAGCAAATCCTCTATATATTAAAAGAAAAGTATTTTTAAAGAATAACTTTAATTTTATAAAATATTACAATAGTGCTATTTTGTTGATGTGTCATCACCAGAATTATTTTCAGTAAAGTTATAAAAATAGACTTATGTTACTAGATTAATTACATGTTATGTCATTCATATTAATTTGGTTATACATTAGTTTATATCAATTATATTGATGATGATCATCAAGATATTCTCTTTTTCAATTTCTTACCAAAAATATATCATATTTATTATCACTTTAAATACTATATTTTGTCTCTTATGTTTATAGAAAAATAAATCATCACATCATTCATATAGTAAAATATATATTTTTCTATGTTATAATTCGAATTTCACTAAAAAATATAAACTAATCAAATGATTAATAAATAAAAGTATGTTTTAAAAGACTAAAATTGAAAATAAGGATGTGTAGATAGATGATTTATAAATCAATATAAAAATACATAAATAATAAAAAAACAGAAAGCTTAATTCAATAGATATTATTATTTTTAATTCATACAACAAAATAACTTGGTAAAAAATTAAAATATTTTTGTAAGGATATTATATAATAATTTTGTTAAAATTTTTGATATTGAAAATATTTTTATTGAATCAAAAAGTTAAGAATGTATAAGTATTGACTCAGTTATATACAATTTTAGATAATTTATTAATAATAATAAAAAATGTATATTTAGTATTTGAAATAATTTTTACAGTAATTTTATTTTCTTAAAAATTAATATTCTTATGACTATAATTTTTGCGGGTTAATCTAAATATACGTTTACATTCGTATAAGAAATATTAAATCGATTATAAAATCTTATAATCAAATTTTATTTTTACAATTTTAATACTCTCTATTTCAAAATATAAGTTGTTTTGCATCAAAGCACAAATATAAATTAATCAAATGGTTAATAAATAAAAGTATGTTTTAAAAGACTAAAATTGAAAATAAGGATGTGTAGATAGATGATTCATAAATCAATATAAAAATACATAAATGATAAAAAAAAAAACAGAAAGCTTAATTCAATAGATATTATTATTTTTAATTTATACAACAAAATAACTTGGTAAAAAATTAAAATATTTTTGTAAAGATATTATATAATAATTTTGTTAAAATTTTTGATATTGAAAATATTTTTATTGAATCAAAAAGTTAAGAATGTATAAGTATTGACTCAGTTATATACAATTTTAGATAATTTAAAAATATAATATATTTTTATATAATTCTTATGTATATTTAGTATTTGAAATAAATTTTACAGTAATTTTCTTTTCTTAAAATTTAATATTCTTATGACTATAATTTTTGCGGGTTAATCTAAATATGCGTTTACATTCGTATAAGAAATATTAAATCGATTATAAAATCTTATAATCAAATTTTATTTTTACAATTTTAATACTCTCTATTTCAAAATATAAGTTGTTTTGCATCAAAGCACAAAGATTAAAAAGAAACTTTTCTTTAAAAAAAAAGGTAATCATTTAGTATATAAATTAAATATAATTCAACTAATTATGAAAAACTGAAAAATATAATCGGTCACATAGTATTCATAGGAAGTAATAAAAAATATGAAAACAACTATATTATGAAACAAAACAAAATCTTAAAAAAAAACTAATATTATGAAACACATGCAGTAGTAATTTTTTTTATTGTTATCATAACACATTAGATACTTAATAATTTAATCAAAATATACTCCCTCTATTTTTTTGGAATTTTAAGATCATGTTATTAATCATGGGTTATAGAAAGTATAAAGAGGAACTTCGTATTTCTATCCAGATTGCTATTTATATTTAATTTTTAAACTAATTTACATTAGAATTAAAATACCTTAAAATTCATAAAATAAACAAAAATATTATTTTGTCAATATTACAGCATAATGTTATAAACAACTCATATAAAATCAGTTGTATTTTGTTATATGATTTTAAAATTATATTATATTAAATAAATAATTATTATTTCATCCCGTACAAGGTACGGATTATTACCTAATAATCTTTATTATTATTGTTATCTCGAGCATCATGATACATATATAAAATCATAACTATAGTCTTACGTTTTTATTAGACCACATGATAAATAAATCAGATTAAGATTCAGTCAGAGTCAGAGGGTGCACCCACTGGAGAATCTGGTTCTAAGTTTGATGGAGCATCCCATGTATACATGAAATATTCTCCTTTAAATTGCTTGTTGCGGACGTAAACTCCTTCTTCTTTTGCGGTCCATCTACATACATTAGGGTCCATTCCAGTACATGTACCATCTATAAAATCTTTGTCTGGAAGAAATGCATCAAAGACCACATGATGTTTGTAATTTGGTCCCTGATGAACAGAAGAAGACGATACAAATAAATAATTATCAGGGAGGAATATTTAAAGTCTTCAATAACAAAACAAACAAATACTCATCCCTGACTTAATTCATATATACAAGATAAATATGTAGCGAAGAGGTAAAACAACTTAAAAATATATTTCTCACCTGCCACAAGTTGCACCAATACTGAGTTTTTGGATAGATAATAAATCCAAATTGAAAAGTTTCTCCGATATTAAGATACGTAATTGGAAAATCATGAGTTTTGCTTCTGCAATGAACCCTCAGTTTCTTGTGATATTCAAGCTGGTTTACAATTTCCACATTAAATTTTCTGAAGAGAGGAGGCAACAAATAAGTGTTTATAGAATCAAAGGAAAGGAGGATAAGAAAAAAACTTAGTAAATATTTTCCCATTCTTTTATTCTTTGTCTGAGATTTAATAAATTTTGTAATGATGATAGCACGAAAATAAATATGTGTTACCTATGTGTACCTATGTATTATATACACACAAATACGACCGGCTATGTTTGTCTATATATTAAATACTCTGACTTTGTTTTATGACATTTTAGATTACGTATTTATTAATAATCCAATTAATTTGTTTAATTAGTCTATGATTTGATCTCACAAACACATCTTGACCGATCGCATAACGCCATTAATTAGTTTTAGCGGTCCAAACGCAGTTTTGTCAACACACATATGGAACTAGATTACATCACCTCAAAGCAGATTCGTGAGTCGTGACCATCATATTTGCTCATATATTTTAATTCAAAAATATAACATTCGGTTGTGGTCAATTTAAAATCCTAAAATCAATGCTGTGTTATCAAATATTCAAAGCTAATAATGTCAGTCAAAAACACTTCTTACCATGTATATCATATAAATAAACATGAATCCAAACTTTGACCCCTTCCCCTCCAAAACAAAATAATCCAAATATTCCATTTCCATATATATATATTCAAAGGTTTGGAACTATATAATTTCAGTAGCAAAAAAAAGAAAAGAAAAACACACAGAGCAAAATCAAACAAAAATATCAAAATGGTTTTTTCGAGAAAATGTCGTTTTCTTGTGTTTTTATGTCTCGCTGTTCTCTTGATCTCAGGTATGCAAAACTAAATTATAAGTTTGTCTATTAGATATTGTGTAATATCCATTCATACTTAAATTTGAACATCTTATTATATAAATTGTTTCTCGCTACATTACACTAGGATAATGCATGACAGAAAGAGAACCATGTGTCTAAGGACTCTTTATGTTTTTGAATACTAAACTAATTTTTTCTGAAACAATATAAATTTCAGAATCTGCAAAAATTGAAGGACAGAAGAAACCCATTCTGATAGGTCCATGCGCAACGTTTCCACACTGCAATCAGACTTGCATTGAATCCCACTATGTTGGTGGAAAATGTATTCCAGTGGCTCCAACTTACACTGAATCGGTATGTGTCTGTTTTCAATAACTTACACTGAATCGATATGTGTTTGTTTTAAAAAATATTAATATTTTATAAAAACATGTTCAAGCTATTGCATTATTGATATAATACTTTAAATAAAACTGTTACAAAAATCCATTTTTAATAGATTTATAATATTAAGATAAAATTTCTTAGTGCAAAGGGAATGATTTGATGCAAAATGCATTTTAATTTATATTATAATCTCAAATGCATAATTTAGATAGACCTATTTTATAGCAACAAGGATTAGATGTAAGTCCATAGTTTAGTCTTGTTTACACACTTTCAATCGAATATATACCAATAGGCACCTCGTACCCATCAATAGACGTAGCTTGTTGATATAATAGTTCAGTGCCCTTGATGTGGAATCAAACTTGGGACCACGTACGACAAGACCTTTTCTACAATCTGGTTACGTTTTCAAATGTTAGTATATTCCTAAATGTTCAAGTAAAACGTTGGCTTGAGCAAACTTCAAAGGATCAGTCTTCTACATTATTAAATTCCCTTTATTTCGGGGTATAGTCAAATACCTGTAAATTATTTATCGATTCCAACAATGAATTAGATCCACGGTGAAAGCCATCTATAGATCAATCTAAAACCCCTGTGATGTGGGTTATAAAGCAACAAACCAAGCAAACCATTTTCTTGTACAGTCCATAAGCAATTAAGATCAAGACAAGATTGAAGAAAGTCTTTATTGTTGTTCCAAAAAATGGATCGAACCGTGTTGTGTTGTTCGTATCTGCCCCAGGTGAAATGGCACCATACTTCCTTCGTGTATTGAGTCGCCCAGAACACATAATACTCTCCTGCGTTCACTAGCCTCTCGTCCTCATCGTTTGGTTTTGTGAAGAACATTGTATCTGTGCGTTTAAACCAGTTTGGTTGACATAACCGGACCACATTAATGCTTCCATTTTAATTTATTTTTAAGCAACAATCGATGGTATGGAAAACCCTAGAAAGGTACGTATTAAAAGAGTGTAAATTAAACCGATCTAAAGGCTCGAAATCATATTTTAGTTGACGAGTGAACCAAACCAGTGTGTGGATTTGTAAACCGACCCTTATTTGATTGTAATGGTTTTCTACTTAAATTAAGTTTAAGTAAATGGCTGTTTGATTACAGAAGAGCGACCCTTATCTTCTACTTAATAATATGATTTGGTTATATTTAATAATAAAACAGTAGTAAATCATGATTGTGCTTTATGGTCCAGTATCATTTAATAAAATCCACTTAATTTATTTTTATTAATTTTTAATCACTAATAGCAGTACATAAGCAATAGTAAGTGTAAAAATATGTTCATCATTTTGTAATAGTTCCCAACCAGGTAGAGAAAAAGCAGACCAAAACTGAAAATATTTAAAAATTAATATATGTTCTGAATACTAAACACAAACCGATCGAAAACCATACCAACCCACTTTTTTCTTCCAAACTACTACCACCCTAAATTATGTTGATATGACAGTACTGTTTGACCAAAACAAAACAAAAATATAAACTGAAACCAGAAAATATTAATCCTTATTATTGTGCTGATACAAAAAATTATAAATAGTCTTACGTTTTTATTAGACCACATGATAAATAAATTAGACTAGGTTTAAATCCGCGCTATGCTGCGGGATACTGTATTTATATATGTTTTTTAAAATTTTTTTTTTTTTATTTTAGTTTCATGTTTTGATTAAAAGATAGATTAGAAATGAATAAACTATTGATCAAAATGGTTTTGTTGGTTCAAAATCTCTTATTTCGTTCGGAGTGATCAAGTGACTTCCTCCTATCTTTTTGTAGCTTTTAAAAATTTGATTTAATATTTTGTATTCTACTCAAAATCAAATAAGGTTTATATAATAGTTTACATATAAATAAAGTAAATGTACACCAAACTTAAGTGATATACAAATTCTAAAAAATTGTCCGTGTATTCAGAATCGACCTTATTGAAATCATGATGGTCACATGTTTTGCAGGTTTCTTTATAGAATGTTGTGAAATATTGACATTTAATAACAAAAAAAAACTGCAAAACACTAAGATGTATCACTTTATTAAGAATTTTATAAGAACTAATGACCCTTATGCAATTTTCTCTTGAATATATCTAAAGCTTAATTTAGACAAATCCAACTGAATGGTAATTTGCTTCATTTGTAACTTTTTTATCATTGTGATGGTCCAGATTCAGAATCTTTTGTTCTTCAATCTCAAGAAACCATGTTCTTTGTTACATATTAGTCTCTTGATTGATCTTTATAACTATCTCTTGAGGAATAATTTCTTCCAGAGTCTCATTGATCATCTTCTCTTCCTCTGTTCCAATAGTTTCGTACAACCTTGTAGATACAAAGACACTCTCATCCATCACAAAGGGCTTCTCTTCATTAAGAAACTCTGTTGTATTAGATTTCCTCACAACACTTTGAACTCCAATAATAGATAACTCTTCCACTTCTCTTGCTTGACAAACAGTTTCAGCACTTATTGATTAATAGAGACATAATCTCGTTAAAGCAAATACAAAAAGGCGTAAAGATTTTCTTTGCAAAATATGAAGAGATAAATAAAACTCAGATCAGAACTTTCTGCAACTGATGTCTGTTTCTGAAGCTGCTCAATGGTTTCCATTACTGAACTATACAAGATATTCTGAATCTCGAATGCATCTCTTCTTCAACATTTTTCACTTTCATATCTTCGATTAAGTTCTTGTTTTGTGGTTCTTTTTACATTTTTCACTTGACTTATTTATTCTTTAAAATAATTCAGAAATGAGTAAAAATATATTCTAACTGATGTCTAAAATTAAATGTTTTGATTGGTTGTTCATACTATTTTAATTTTTTCTGAAATGGCAAATGATCTAAGTACTTGAAAAATTAACAAATTAAATGACAAAATAGAAATTACTATAGAAAAACAATCATTAACTTGTAAAACTCAATTAGTTCGTCTGCCCTGAAGCTCTTAGCCTGCATCAACCATCAAGAGATTTGTATTTGCCACGTTAACAAACATGAGTAGCTGACACCATGAAATTGTTTTATATAGCATTTTACTTAGAGTCTTGGAAACTAATTATTGGTCTTTGTACGTTAAGCAAAATCTCATAATTCAAATGAGATGTGTTTGCGCAAAAAATTATATATCCTAGTTCTGTTCGATTCTAAAACTCTAATGAAAAGAAAAGAATTTGAAACTTGGTATATAATTACTTCTTATTTACCGTGTATACAACTTTATATTCTCTATTCCAAGTTACTAATTTTAAAATTGTATTTGATGATTAAAGTTTTGTGGTTGAATACCATAACTGCAGTTAGTTTTTCACTTAAACACAACAACTTTTTTTTTATAACCGCTTAAACATAACAACTACGGCCAAAACACATGCAATTTCACAATTGTTTTGCCAAAACACAGCTGGACCATTAGAATGGGTATATGAACTGTATGGTAGAAGATGCTACGAAATAAAAATGGGCATATCTAAGAGTAAACTTTGGACGCAGGATGCAGAATCAGCAGAGAAACACGACATGTCCATTCTAATGAAACTTCTGCTTTTGTCATCATATGTACATATAAATACAAATTTCAAATTTTGACTCGCACGTTTCCTAAGTTTCACATATATGGCTACATATGATACGTGGCTAAGAGAAGTTCATATGTTTCTTTGCATGGCAAATCCCCATGCATTTTCTTTTTGTTGTATTTGATTTTTTTTGTTTAGATTGATATATACGATATGCATCTTATGTGTCCAGTGGGTTGATTAGTACAAAAGCATGCCAACTTAATTAAGAGTGCAATGAGGATAGTACGTATGAGCATTTTAACAAACTGTATTTTGAATGAAATGGGTAAACTTATTAGTGACACGAATTAGACTAAACATGAAAGGATGATCTAAAGAATTAAATGTCATATATAATATTTCTTATTGATGTTTATAAGTTATAACTGTATTTGTTAATTAATATACAAATAACTATTTAGTTATAAGATTAATTCTTGTTTTATTGATTTCTTATAATATAGTGTTGATTTAATTGGATTTGTAGATAGATATGTATATTTTATCTTTTGGGCTTTTATAAATGAAATGGGTGATGTGTATTAATGTTTTAATTTGATTAGTGTTTTTTTTTGTTGATGTGTCAGTTTTAGAAAGCTTGAAAAAATTGATGTGTCATCTCATGGAAAGACACTTGTGTTATTGTTGTATTGATTAAGATTCATTCAGAGCCAGAGGTGCACCCACTGGAAAATGTCGTCCCAAGTTTGATGGAGCATCCCATTTATACATGAAATATTCTCCTTTATTTTTTTTTTTGCGGACGTAAACTCCTTCTTCTTTTGCGGTCCATCTACATACATTAGGGTTCATTCCAGTACATGTATTATCTATAAAATCTTGGTTTGGAAGAAATGCATCAAAGACCACATGATGTTCGTAATTTGGTCCCTGAACAGAAGAAGACGATACAAATAAATAAATATCAGGGGGAATAATTAAATTCTTCAATAACAAAACAAGCAAATGCTCATCCCTTAATTCATATGTACAAGATAAATATTTAGGTAAGATGTAAACCAACTTAAAAATGAATTTCTCACCTGCCACAAGTTGCACCAATACTGAGTTTTTAGATAGATAATAAATTTAAATTGAAAATTTTCTCCGATATTAAGATACGTAATTGGAAAATCATGAGTTTTGCTCTTGCAGTGAACCTTCAGTTTCTTGTGAAATCCAAGCTGGTTTACAATTTCCACATTAAATTTTCTGAAGAGAGGAGGCAACAAATAAGTGTTTGTAGAATCAAAGGAAAGGAGGATAAGAAATAAACTTAGTAAATAGTTTCCCATTCTGTTATTCTTTGTCTGATACTTAATAATTTTTGTAATGATAGTACGAAAATAAATATGTGTTTGTATTATATACACACAAATACGAACGGCTATATTTGTCTATATATTAAATACTTTGACTTTGTTTTATGACATTTTAGAATACGTAATCTGTTGACAAAAAAAAAAGAATACGTAATCTTGTTCAATACACATATGGAACAAGATTACATCACCTCAAAGCACATTCGTGACCATCATCTTTGCTCATATATATTTTAGAAAAAATTACATTTGGATTTGGTCAATTTAAATCCTAAAATCAAAGGTTATATAACAAGTAAAGCTGATAATCTCAGTCAAAAACACATCTTACTATGTAAATCATATAAATAAACATGAATCCAAACTTTTTGACCCCCCCCCCCCCCCCCCCCCCCCCCAAAAAAAAAAAACATGAATCCAAACATTCCATTTCCATATATATATCAAAGGTTTGGAACTATTTAATTTCAGTAGCAGAAAAAGAAAAGAAAAAGAGTGTAAATTAAACTGATCGAAAGGCTCGAAATTATATTTTAGTTGACGAGTGAACCAAACCAGTGTGTGGATTTGTAAACCGACCCTTTTTTGATCGTTTTGTTTTTGTAATGGTTTTCTACTTAAATTAAGTTTAAGTAAATGGCTGTTTGATTACAGAAGAGCGACCCTTATCTTCTACTTATAATTTAAATATTTTTTTTAGTCTATGATTTGATCACAGAAAAGTTAAACTAACCGGTTTGTGTATAAATATATAAATTTATATAAACAAACAAAACAGAAGTTCACTATAGATGGTAAACAGGCAGAGTAGAAAAATAACAGTGGGAAATCTATGACAAGAAACTATTATCGAAATAGTTTATGTTTTCTGCATAAATAAACGAGATTAATTTCTGATAAGACAATTAACCAAACAAATTCTTCACCATCCAACTTCCCATTTCTCCGACAATAAATCTTCACCGGTCGCGAAATTCCAAAGATGAACGCCATCAGTTTTAGCGGTCCAGACACATTTTTTCCAACCGCATCTATGGAACAAGATTACATCATCCCAAAATACGTTTACATTCATATGGCCATCATCTTTACTCATATAACACCAAAACAAAGTTGAGTGAAGCATGTTTTCTCGAAAGTTCCAAGAAAAACTATCTCCGGGACGCAGATTTTGTTCACCTAAATCGTCTTCCTCAGACTTACAATGGATGAAAAGAGTTTCAATAGTGATTAAACCATTGACCACCGTGACTTGCCACTCAGAAATCTTCGGAACTATGATGTCTCTCGTGGTGGCGCCGCCGGCTAAGACACGATCTTGACATGTGAAGACTAGAGAAATGTAAATGGCTAAGATAAATTGTTTGATGCTGTTCATTGTTTTGCTTCTAAAACATTTGTGAAGAATTGTTTGTGTTGCTTTCTTTTTATAATGGAAGAGCGAAACGGTCACAGACGTTTAATTTAATTATGAACTCTGAAGTAATTGCATTGCATTAATGTTGAGTCGTGCTCTAAATCATTTACGTGATCAGGTTAATTAGCACTGAACTCGAAAGGTCGGTCTCATATACAATGATCTAGTTAATAATATGATTTGGTTATTACTTTTAAACTTATTATTTATGTTAGTAGATTAATAATATGATTTGGTTATTGATTTGGTTATTTATGTCCAGTACCATTCGAAATCTATAATAGAAAAAAAAAAATCTAAAAACTAATTTAGGATTTCAAAACTATAACTCAACTCAAAACTAATTTTCTTTAGGATTTCATCATTGTGGGGTATTTATTTCAAAATAGTATTTCATGAGCTTACTTTTGGTTGACTATTTTTGGCTAACTTTTGGTTATCTATGTAAAATTGTAAATTATAAAAGTACTGTAACGTTTTTACGTTACATTATTGGAATTGGTAATAATATTAGAGACATTCAGTTTTGCATTCAATTTTTCTTCTATTTTTTAATATAAAATTAAGTCCATAATAGGTTGGCAAAAAAGTCCATAATAAATAGTCAAACCTAATAATATCAACCAATATCATATCCTACCGTGTATAGCATATAAATATAACAAGAAACCAAATATTCGAAGCAGTTATATATATACAACACTAGTTCAATTAACATAACCGGACCGGTCTGATACTCCACACTTTAACTAACATTATGATTCCTGAAAAAAACAGTTTTTTTCTTCTTAAAAGCAATATACTAGAACAAATATCTTTAATAAGAGAAGTAATTTGACATTTCTAGGCATGCATATTCAAGCTTTCGCGAATATATATAGATATTAGATGGTTCTATCTGATAAATATTTACAAGTAAGTATTTGATAGAACGGTTGGAATAGTCTTGGATTGTTAATTAGACGTACGGTAGAAATGTCAAAGACTATTTTTTTTTGGACAACTTTCAAAGACTATATATGATATAAAATCTAAAATCATATGATATGGCAATTTCTCTAGAAAGTTGTTTAGTAAAATTTATATTTCTGTTCTCAAAAGTATTAAAAAAAGAAAGAAATACCCATGAGTTAAAATTCACCTGGCCCATAGTACCAGTATGTTATACTGTAATATCCCAAGTTCCCAACCTACACATCTATATCAAAAAAGTAAGAGAAGAGAGTAAATGCACAAAACCAACCTCGCAAACAGTCTTTTGAATTGCAATGTCAGTTCTGTAATAAGTTTGACTGATTGTTTTTTTGTCAGGTTCCCTTCTAACTTGGAACTCACTTATTTCGACTTTAATATGTTATCATCTAACTACCCCAACACTTATTATATTTAAGAAATTTTATTACAATTGTTTAACCGGAAATTTCTAAGCTAAAAAAATTGTAGATTGCGTGGTTGTTGTTTGATAAGTAGTTAAGTACATACATATATCGGGTTTTAACCTATCTAATTACTTGTTACATGCATCTATTAATTGTTATACCAAACTTTCGGATAATTATATAGTTTTTTTATTTTCCTATATAATTACGTGTTACGTACATCCTTTTTCGACGAAATTACTTGTTACAATACTTGCATCTACGAAATGTCATATAAAACGGAAAAAAAAGAACCATTTCAATAAATTAAAAAGTTGCTTCTTTTTTGTTTCAGTCATCCGTTCATTAACTTCTTTTCTTTGTATTAGGTTGAACTTCAATTAACTCGAAGTATACGTTCCAAACACATTTATAGATGGAGACTTTATATATATACTATAAAGTCTATAAATAGAGCTTATAATAAAAAAAAGCAATTATAGCTGTGACATTAACTCATTAATAAATGAAACACTCGAAAATAGTCAAAATGGAATTTGAAAATGGACCAAGCCATGACACGACAAGACACGAAAAAAAAAAAAATACCATAGTAACTTAAGACGCACGTTAAACAGCTAATGAAAATTCCCCAGTCCAAAACCCTAAAAAGACATGATTATTATTATAGCTCTGACACTATCTTAAGCTAGACATAGCTCAAGGGCCGTGCGAAACCTTTAAACCCAAAGTAACAACTCAAGGGAAATGAACTCCTCCGGTACTTCCTCCACCCGCTCCGGCACCAATACCACCGCCTAAGCCCCCGCCTGATCCATTTCCCAAACCACCGCCTATCCCATTTCCTAAGCCACCGCCTATCCCATTTCCTAAGCCACCGCCTAGTCCTCCACCAGCACCACCAAGTCCACCAAAACCGAGGTTACCACCGGGACCAGACACACCTCCACCGATGCCACCGAAAGGTAAACCATTGTCTCCAATGCCGGAGTACCCGCCACCGTATCCGAGGTAGTTCTTCTGGTCAGAGAGCCCTCCTGGGACGTTTCTTGCGCCACAAGCGATAGCTGAGGCTAGGGCAAGAACCAAGAAGAGAGTGAAAACCCACTTCGCCATAACCTAACACGGGCGGTAAAGAACGGTAATTTTGAATCGACAACGAAAGTAGATAAACTTTGAGTTAATTATGTTTCTTGCTTTGCCTAGAATCTGGGAGATATGTTGGGTCCTTTTAAAGGCGGAGGTGGAGACCACATACAAAAAAGTGACCGGTGTAGATAGTTATTGCCAATGTAAATGCTTTAACCAAACGCTCTGATGTCAAATTTAAGATTATTTACATTCAGAAAGTGACTGGTGGTAGCGCGGTAACTAACGCTCCGCCGCGGCTGTGTTTGAGCGGTTGAGCCAGTCAATGCGGTCCGACGACAACGTTGTTACGATTTTGAACGATATATTAAGACGGTAATATATAAAGAAATTGGAGAATATTAATCATCATTTTAAAGCGATTAAACTTCTAAAAAAATTATCCAATCTTGTTACTTTTATCAAAAAATTATCCAATCTTGCAACTTTTATCAATACTTTTAAAGCGATTAGACTAATATTATTGCAAAATTTACATGATGAAAGTGTTGTTTATATTGTGTTTTTGGTTAAAGATATAAAATCCAGGTACTATAAACTTTGGTGCATAATATATAACGTTTGATGATTGACCGAAGAAATAAAAGAAAAGGTCGAATCTCCTGTTTTACAAAGAAGTTTCTGAAAAATGTATGTAAAATTGTGGAACACTTTCGTCGAAAGAAACATGAAAATTAATTAAAAAAATCAGTTTCTTACTTAATAAAACCATTAAATTCAGCTACATGGTAGTAAATGTATGTCGTTCGTTTAGAGCTAACTTCACATTTACCTATTGGTGGTTGTAACTAATTTTTTGATCCCTTATTGGAATTAAATTCAATGGCTATATATATATAATTAAGGTGTGTGTGTATACGTACATATTGTTGTAAACTATAATTAATGTGTGTGTGTATACGTACATATTATCGTCTCACCGTATCGACCTCGTTATACACTAAACAGCAAAAGCAGTTCATTATACTGCATTCATCACATAATAATAAGGTACTCCACCGACGAAATTCGAGAGTCTCTAGAAACCTGCTGCTATTTAAACCGACATTGTTTCAAATTTGTTCATAAAACCCTTTTTTATTTATAAAATTTTGGAAAGAATCCAGTTAAATTTTTGTATTTTGTTAAAAACTGTAGACTGTTGGCGACAGGTAATAAACTGCTTAAATATAACACTTAAGACGTACAAGCTTAGTTTCGTAAACTTATTATCGGTCATAATGGTTGACAAAAGAATAAATTCTCGTTCATCATATATAATGATCTTTGAAATCTTTGGTTAATCAACTAGAATAGACTTTTTTCTCTCTCTGCAATGGAATTGCACGGTGAGACGATATTCTGCTTTTGTCATCCTTTAACGAGATTCAGTTTGATATATTTCCGCATGCAAATTGCAATTATGTTAATACAGTAACACTGTTTTGCCAAACGGAAAAAATACTATAGTTATTGATAGCACAAGGTTTCTCACAAGTAAGGAATAACAAACAGCATGAAAACAGAAACAAAAACAAATATAGAAAACAAACAAAGACTTAAACATAAACATCGAAAAAAAAAACTTAAAACATGATAAAACTGATACAAATATTAATAATTATGAACCCACCCATTGATCTTTGGTTTATATAGTGAAAAAGAAAACGTTTTCTCATTAAGGATGAGGAAGAAGGCCACCGCAATCGCTTCCACCGCCAATTCCACCCAAACCGCCAACTCCGCCTATACCGCCTACTCCGCCTGCACCACCGAGTCCACCTACACCACCACCAAGACCTGAGCCACCACCAATTCCCCCAATTCCACCACCGAGACCTGAACCACCGCCTAGACCACCTACACCGCCAAGACCACCTACACCACCGCCAAGACCATCTCCACCACCGCCTAGACCACCAATTCCGCCGCCTACACCACCTACAGGCAAAACTCCGGCAACACCACCAACTCCACCGGCTACACCACCAAGACCTGTTCCGATCCCACCAACTCCAGCAGCTCCACCAACACCACCAAACGCCACAAAGTTCTTTTGGTCGTCAAGACCAGCTCCGACATTCTTGGCCGGAACTGGTCTGGTCGCGGTGACAGCTTGAGCCACCGTGAGAGCAACAAGGAACACAACTAAACACCTAAATTCCATCTCTTGTTACTCTTTTGTAACTTAACTTTATTGTGTGTTTTTATTAAGTAGAGAGACAGTAGTGAAGAGTTCCATAATACATTGGGAGGTTTATATAGAAGAATGAATGGTTAAAATTAGGGTTAGGAGGTGACAGATGGAGATAAGTTGTAAATGGATGTTGGACCATATCATCTCTTATTTGTTCGCTGCAGATCCCTCCACGTGTACAGTTACTTTCTGCTATATAGGTATACTGTAAAATTAGGGTTACAAAGTGACAGATGGAGTTATGGAGATAAGTTGTAAATTTCGATCGTATTAGTTTTCGTAGAGTCAAAATGTAGAGTGGAGAAATATGAAATCAATTTTCTCATTTTAATTTTATTGTTGTTGTTGTTGTGGTGTGTGTAAAGAACAAAATGATGGTCTTAGGATCTTTTTTACCACAAGAGACTTTTCTCGTTTAACTCGCAATTGTTTCTGTATATTGATATACAAACGTAGTTTTGCGCCATTACTCGTACGCAGATTAGACTTCACATTAAAGTGTTTATAATCAGTCTCATATAAACGAACGATTTATATATAAAATCCAAAAATATAAACTTCGCACTCAAAATAGATCATATAAAAACGAAAAAAAGTAGATATTAATAGTAGTTTATAGATTACGTACAGATATCCAATACAAGTGCAATAAATGAGAGCATGCATAGCATGTGGCTGCACCCAAAGCCCACAGTTAATAGAGCATGTAAATGCATTCAATTGACAGGTTGGAAGACAACAAAAAAATGTAATATGGAGATTAAAAAAAAAATCCTGAAATTAATATATGTCGACAAAGGATGATTTCAGGATTTAAAGCTTCAAATGCAATTTATAATCCTATGAGAAGAAGCAAATATGACTAGTTAATCGGCGATAAGTCCGAATTTTCCTTTTAATAATTGTTTGAAGGAGCAAAAGAAAATATGTGTTTTAGGAGAAGGGAATAGTTGTGGTGTTCGTAATCAATGTATGAGTTATGTTATGAATTAAAATGATCTATGTTTTTTTTTTTTTAACTTTCCCTTTAGTATGTATATATATGGTCCAAAATCAAATCTTGTTGAGATATCTAAGTAATTTATTACTGATACTGAATTATACACACCCAAACAAGTGGAATATAAATATGGTCACTGAAAGATAAATGATCACGAGGTTTCGATCAGTATCAATATTATTCTGTCCAACGCATAATGCATCTGCAATATTAAGAATGACAGCTGAAGCCAGTAAAATAGTTGTTCGTTGGGCAATTACTTATAGTTCAGTTACTTTCACCTCCTTTAATGCTATTTTATACTCATACCAAAAGAGTTTCATACTCCAATATTATAGCCTCTCTCTCTCTTCTCTTGGGAGTAGCAATACTGTGGTAGATATTTTACTTGTTGGTTTGGTTCGGTTCTATTTGATAGTATGTTTGAAGCTATAATGTTGTATTGTTGTCAAATTGAAACCGGATTTTAACTGAGTTTATTACGCTCAAAGACACTTTATAACTTTGCAATTACAAGCAAAGGTACTTTGAAAGGGAAGGGGATTTTGATAAGATAAAAAGACCAAATCATCCTCATTATTTTATTAAATCTCTCACTATCTTCTTTCTTATTTTCCATCGAACAACCTGCAAAAAATAGTAATTAATTTTTCCGTCAATATTCATATCTCAAATCTTTATATCATCTCTGCAATCTCACTCTTTCTCTCGTCTAAATCAAGAGGTAACAAACAATTGAACCCTAAATTTTTTATGCATTTTTTGCCATCAATTTTCTTAACTGGGTTTTTTAGGTCTTAAATTGATTAAGTCATGTGAATATTCACTTTGACGACAATAAAATCAACTTACACAAATCTCAAGCGATAACCACTTGGCTCATCAATTCGCCTGATCCTTCTCTGTTTTCCTCCGCATCTTCATCTCTAAGGCTTTCTTCGATCCTAGAGAACTTATTTTCTCGATTCCATAAAACCTCAAGTTGACAATAAATTATTTTTTTCTGCAGAATTTGGTGGTTCCTTGGGTTCGCGCAATGACGTTGCGTCCTTGGTGCATTCACAGATCAAGAGCCCGTTTTACAGCAAAGGATCGAGAATATTGATCTCATGACACAGTCGAAATCTAGAATGTTGATCTTACGACACACTGTGATGGACAACCATTCACGGACGGATTCTTGTGGATATATTGTGCTGGACATACATTCGTGGATGGATTCTCATGGACACAACATATGAACACAATCTCTTCCATACAAACTATATCAAAACCTGCGATTATATACATTAAACCATAGACATACTGTTATAGATATTAGACTGTGTCGCCGTGGATATGAACTCATAAACATTATTGTAGATCTCAAATGGTTATCCCTAATCTCCATGGCAAAACCAAAGGTATGGATAAACATGTTTGTTTACAGTCGAAGGGATGAACTTGAATTGATAACACTATAGAATGTGTTTACTTATATGGAAATATTTGTGGATAATTTGTAATAGATTTTGTTATGTACAATATCATACGGACAGTTTATAATATAAATTATGGCCAAAATTGTGACTTCATGGCTCTGTATGTTCATTCTCTTTGCAGAGTTTGATATTGATATAGATGGTCGAGTTTCTATGGACATTCTAACATGAACAAAAATGTGATGATTGAGCTGTAGAACAAAGAACCATGGACATTTAGTGGTGGACAAAGAACCGTGGACAAAGAACCATGGACCACAAATACTTATCCATACAAACTTATCTACGATGCTTGCTTGTTAGTCTACAAAATCATGTCCATGCAATCTTATCCACAAATTTCAGATTGAAATTGGCTTCACCAATTCTCCTGATTAAATAATGAATCTAGTCAATTGTAATAAAACCCAAGTTATTGAATCCATGACAGATAATTGTATGAGAGCAAATCATGGAGATCTAACCTGTTCCTAACAGATCTATATCAATCTAACATGCAATAGCAGTGTTTGGATCATCAAAATAATAGTTGCAATAGTAGTGTTTGGGTCATTACCATGGATACAAAAACTATGGATAATAATCAAATCACTTACTCCAATATATGGACAAAGTGTCATGGACACAAAACCGTGGATAACAATCAAATCACTTATCCCACCATATGAACAAAGCATCGTGGACACAAGCATCATGAACAACAAGCAAGAGAATTTCAGCACAAAATACAAAGTTTTTCTTCGAATCCTCCGTCTCCTTTGTTACTGTATCATTTTCGTCCGATTTTTTTTTTTCTCAGATTTTGATTTGATTTTGATTTTGCAATAAAAATAACCCAAAGACTAATAGGATCAGAATACCCAGATTTGAAAAATAATCTGAGAAATTGTTGTTGCTGGAGATGAGGAGAGAGAAAGAGAGAGAGAAGAAAAAGAGTGAAAAATCCAAACTATATGGAGAAAGGCAAAGAAAGAGAAAAAAATATTTTCGTATTAAAAAAAATTGAATAGTGTTTAAAGTCATCCAATAATTCAAAGTGCCTTTAACTGTAAAAAATAACTCAAAAGTGCCTATACATGTAAATGTCTCATTTTAACTACGGCATAATATGGTCTTTGTTAAAATGATTAAGTTACATTATTTCAAATGAAAAATGTAGCTTGAAATTGAATTATTGCGTACTAATTAATTTTTTCTGACTTTCGACCACTCGTTAATATTGTATGGTCATATGATATGACTCATATGAATTTGATAAAACATGTTTATTAATTAGCATCCTGCATCCACCTATCAAATGTTTAAAATTGTATGATGCTATAGCTTTTTTTTTTTAATCCTTCTTAGTTGTGACTTGTGAATATTTCTTCTAAAATAATTTTTCCCTTGTTTCCCTCTCTAAAATATATTTTCCTCTAAATTTAATTACTTTTTTTCTTTTCACAAAACCAATTTTGGGAAAAAAAATTGAATATACATACATGGATATCAATTGGGCTAATAAGGCTTGGTCCATACAATTACATAGCATACAAGACTTGTTCGTGGAGTCCAATATTTTGGCCCACAAGTTACACAATATTGATATGGGCCCGAAATTCGGATAATATAGACTTCTATATAGTAGTAACGAATTCTGAATAGTAGTAACCCAAATCTCTACACGTAACAGTAACACATTGGCACGCCAGTTTAATGTGTTTTGTGAATACTAATAGTGAATACACACTTTTTCTGTGTTTATGTATACTTTTCACATACATGCATTAATTGTTTTATCAATTTTCTAAACGTAAACACAAATTTTTCTTTTGTCTTTTATATAACTGGAACTAAGACATTCAAAGATAACTAGATACTCTAATTTTAATATACACAAAATAGTGATGAAGTCTGCTACTTTGTTTATTGTTTCATGTGTTTTCTTGTCTAATTTTACAACCAATCTTTGTGGTAAGATATTAATTTTACTGGATAGAAAACGCATAAGTATATTATTTAGTCGTATATGATTGAAATCCGACCATTCTAACACATTGCAAAGTTTACTGAATATAAAAAGCCATAAGTATATCAATTTACTTAAATCTTTTGACCGTGATTTGTTTATGATCATAACATTTTTATTGTTGTATATTTGTAGCATTTTCAATGGTAGAAAACAGTGTGGGACAAAAACGATGTAAAAAGACCATTGATCCTGCTAATTTCTGTGAAATTAGCGATTGTCGACTTCATTGCTCTGCGCAGTTAAACGGACCTGGAAAATGTCTTGATGATCCCAAAACTCCTGGACCATCTAATTGTGTTTGTACATATAACTGTTAAAATTTGCAGAAGATGAATCTATATATATTGGATTTGGATGGTTGGAGCCTGAAGGGTATCGAAATCTTTGCTAATATAAAAGTGTAGTTTGTAAATATTTTTCGATGGGCTACCAATTATTTTTTCCAAATGTTTATTTTGCCAAAATTTGTTGTTAATAATATTATAATATTGTTTTCATATATACATGATAGAACCCAATACAGCAGCTACTGTCACTGTGCTATAGAAAATCTATATCCATCACTAAAATATTGTTCATTTTTAACTTGTAGTTTTTTTTTTTGGGGGGGTTGTTAATTAGACAATTAAAGTATATTGATTAGCTAATTGTATTTGATAAATTGGCGGCAAAAAATGATCTGTTTATTCTAAGAGGGTCCAATATTATTAATAAGGTAAACATGGCCCCAATAAAAATATATTTGTTTGGCCATGTTATTAGGTAGATTATGACAAAAAAAGGTTGAAACAACAAGTTAGGAAAGAGAATCCTAATCACGTCGACGCTGATTCATCAAAGGCCCCAAATTTTATCAAAAACCAGATCTTTATCTGATTTCGGGCACCGAACGAACTCGAAAGTTTTCATTTTTCATTTTCAATCTCACCAGACTCTCTGTGAGGAAAACCAAAAATCTGGGTTGTAAAGCTATGGCGAAGAAGATTGGAGTGACGATGGAAGTTGGGAACGATGGTGTTGCTGTGATCACCATTTCCAATCCTCCTGTTAACTCTTTGGCGAGTTCAAGTAAAGCTCGATACTTGGATCATTGACGATTTCTATCTGGATATTGCTTTTCTTTCTGAGCTGATTTTGTTTATCTTTGGTTTGTGGGGATTCTGCAGTTATTTCTGGGTTGAAGGCGAAGTTTCAAGACGCGGATCAGAGGAGTGATGTTAAGGCGATCGTGTTGACCGGTAAACAAATAAAAAAAACTGATTTACCTTTTTAATTAGATTTCTCCTGTTTTTGTAGGATTGTACACGAATCTTGTAAGCTAGAGATTGTGAATTGTAAACTAATATATTGAAGGGTCTGAGAAATTTGAATCCTTTTCGTATCCTGATTTGGTGTTTGTTGTTTGCTTAAGGTCCTTGAATAATCACTGTATCATTTCAGGGAACGGTGGAAGATTTTCGGGTGGTTTCGATATCAATGTCTTCCAAGAAGTTCATAAGACTGGTATATAGTTTCTACTGTTGTAAGTTTTGACAATGAAGCATATTGGGTCCTGTGTGTTTGACTTGACAATCTCGTTTTTTTTTTTGACAGGGGATATATCGCTTATGCCTGAAGTATCCATTGATCTTGTGTCTAACCTGATGGAAGGTATATTTAGCTTAATGTTAGTTTCAGTTTGTTGTTGATTTGAAGGTTGATGAGATATTTCTCAATAAGATAACCTGAAACTATTACACGATTCCTTATGTTTATCCTATTTTTTCTGGTTATCAAAGACTCTAGGAAGCCGCTTGTTGCTGCAGTTGAAGGATTAGCTCTTGGTGGTGGTTTAGAACTGGCAATGGTGGGGTTTTCAAGTTTATTTCCCTTTGCAGTTTTTAAAGATATCTTCTTCCTTTTTGTTGTTGTTGTTGTGTTGATTTTTTTGTGTAACTCAACATCCTTTAGGCCTGTCATGCTCGTGTTGCTGCACCAAAAGCTCAACTAGGCTTACCAGAACTGACACTTGGAGTTATTCCAGGTTTTGGAGGTACGGATTCTTTTGTTCTTCTTTTACATAGTTATTGTTTATTATCTCAATGGATACCTTTCAATAGTCTAATTGTGTCTATGAAGGAACCCAACGTCTTCCAAGATTAGTAGGTCTTGCCAAAGCAACTGATATGATACTGGTAAGAATGGCGTTTTTTTTCTGTAGTTAACAACAGTTTCATTTACCTTTGCGACAATCTGATTTACTTGGTTTGTCAACTATATTCTGGTGTTTTTTGTAGCTTTCAAAGTCGATATCGTCAGAGGAGGGGCATAAACTGGGGCTCATTGATGCTTTGGTGCCGCCTGGAGATTTGTTGAGCACGTCCAGACAGTGGGCTCTAGACATTGCAGCTGGACGTAAACCCTTTTTGCGCTCACTGCACAGGACCGACAAAATCGGTTCTTTATCTGAAGCTCGTGCTATATTGAAGAATTCAAGACAACTAGCCAAGAAGATAGCCCCAAATATGCCTCAGCACCATGCTTGCATTGAGGTGATTGAAGATGGAATCGTCCATGGAGGATATAGTGGGGTTCTAAAGGTGAGTTTTTTTTCATTAGCAAGACTGCTTTATTTCGCAAGAATGTATCCGTTAGTTTCCTACTTGGCTACGTACCTAAACTCCTTGATTCACTGTGCAGGAAGCAGAAGTCTTTAAGCAATTAGTACTGTCAGATACCGCAAAGGCTCTTGTTCATGTTTTCTTCGCGCAGCGTGCAACATCAAAGGTGAGATTGGCCAAACCTTTGAACTTTCCTGAAGCTATAGTTTCTACATTCATTGTTCATCTTAGCATCGTTTTCAAAACACTTTTCAGGTGCCTAATGTAACTGACGTTGGATTGAAACCGAGACCGATGAAAAAAGTTGCAGTAATTGGTGGAGGTCTGATGGGTTCAGGCATCGCTACTGCTCTACTTCTAAGCAATATAAGAGTTGTGCTCAAAGAAATAAATCCAGAATACCTTCAGAAAGGAGTAAAATCAGTTGAAGGTTATTATCTTATCCAGAACATATCAAGTTGCTGTTTAATAGATAGATGATATGGTTTCTTCCCAATTCCTGTTACAGTATATGAAATAAAGTTCCTTTTGTATATTGTGACAGCAAATCTCAAAGGCTTGGTTTCTAGGGGAAAACTGACGCAAGATAAAGCAGGCAAGGCCTTCTCTATGCTCAAGGGAGTACTCGATTACACAGAATTCAAAGATGTGGACATGGTCATAGAGGTCTGCCTTCAATATTAGTTATTATCTGCTTTGCTAATATCCGTCCTTCTCTTTAGTTTCAAGTATTATCCAAATCTAGTTAGTTCTAAGAGATGGTCAACTCGTTTATCATTTTTCAGGCAGTGATTGAAAACATTCAGTTGAAACAAAACATATTCAAAGAAATCGAAAAGGTTTGTCCACCACATTGCATCTTGGCGAGCAACACATCTACTATCGACCTCAACATAATTGGGGAAAAGACCAACTCGAATGATCGCATTGTTGGCGCACATTTCTTCAGGTCATTCCGTGTTTTCAATGTCTCAGAAGCTTTATATGCTTTTCGTATTTTTCATGTAAATTTATAAAGGTTTTGTCTTTTTCAATAGCCCGGCTCATCTGATGACCCTTCTCGAGATCGTTCGTACAGAGAAAACTTCTGCTCAGGTGATCCTTGATCTCATGGCGCTTGGAAAAGCCATAAAGAAAGTCCCCGTGGTGGTTGGAAACTGCGTAGGCTTTGCAGTGAACAGAACATTCTTCCCGTATTCACAAGCTGCACATATGTTGGTCAATCTTGGTGTTGACTTGTTCAGAATCGACAGCGTTATCACCTCTTTCGGCTTGCCTTTGGGTCCTTTCCAGTAAAATTCTCTTCTTCCTTGTTCTGTTACTTAAACAGTGTGTATGTGTTGCTGTATGGCGTATCTCAGCATCTGAAGAAACGTTCACTTCTCAGGCTTGGTGATTTGGCTGGACATGGGATTGGAATGGCAGTTAAGGATATATATGCCAAGGCCTTTGGTGACCGCATCTTCGCCTCTCCATTGACCGAGCTTCTGCTTAAGACCGGGCGAAATGGTATGTCATTGCTCTTGCCTTGGCTTTTGCAAATTCCTCATCTGCCAGACTTTTTAACATTTTTGCGGCTTCAGGCAAAATCAACGGGAGAGGATACTACATATACGAGAAGGGAAGCAAACCAAAACCTGATCTACAAGTGCTTTCAGTTGTTGAGGAGTCGAGGAAACTTACCAATATCATGCCCGGTGGGAAGGTAAGACAAAAAAAAAAGAGGTTTGAGTAGTGATAATTTTTTGAAACTTAATTGTTTTGTCTTTTCCTTCTATTGCAGGCTATATCAGTGACTGATAAAGAAATTGTAGAGATGATCTTGTTCCCTGTGGTGAACGAAGCATGCCGTGTCCTAGATGAAGGTGTTGTGATCCGAGCCTCAGACTTGGATGTTGCCTCTGTCCTTGGAATGAGTTTCCCTTCTTACCGGTGAGGATTCTAAGGCATAATCCGCCATAAAGCAAAAAGGGTTCTCTTTTTTTGAAATTCTGAAAATCTCTTGCTTCTGCTCTGATCTTGTTGCTTTTTCACTTCACGATGAAAGATCGTTTCTTTTTCATCTCGTTGAGTCTCTTCTGGTCATTTATTAACTGAGCATTTTGTTACTTGTTGCAGAGGAGGACTTATTTTCTGGGCAGACACGGTTGGACCCAAGTACATATATGAAAGGCTCAAGAGATTGTCCGAGACTTATGGCGGCTTTTTCAAACCGTCGAGGTATCTTGAGGAAAGGGCATCCAATGGAATGCGTTTGGTAAGAAGTCTCTTAACTTTCTAGTCCGGTTTATCATCGATTTATTCATTTTCCCGGTTATTATTTATCATGAAATTTCTGGTTTTTGGCTGCAGAGCGAACCGAAATCTTCGAGGTCTCGATTGTGAGTGCCCAAAAAGGGGGGTTTTAAGACGCGTTTGAACAAGTTTTATGCAGAAGGAGAGGCTTAAGGTGTTTTATTCACTAAATTAGAATAAATTAGTCTCCCTTGTTGTTTCCAGATAAAAATGGTATTAAGGTGTTTTCTTAAGAACAGTAAGCAAAACAATTTTTATGCTCTAAATAATTTTGGCTTGTAGTGACATCGTTCTTAGTCAAAGAAAATAGTAGAAATACTGAAATTACCATCTTTTGTAAAATCAAGGATTTATTATATGTTACTCTGAAATTCTACAGAAGTAAAAGAAAACATAATAATAACACCATAATAAACAAGGATGTTCCACAGCTAAACCCATCAACACAAAATGTAAAAAAAAGATGAACACTAACAAGTCATAAATAACCCGTGTATTAAAGAAACAAAGCTCTCCAGAATCTACACCAGCCAGGGGCTTTAAAGAGGAGACTGTAGAAGAAAAGGAAGAGCAAAAGCGAGAAGAAAAGGAAGAGCAAAAGCGAGAAGAAAAGCTTAATGACACAGTGAAAACTTGTGTCTATTACTCTCTCTACTCACCTGCCAATGCACTGAAGCTTCTCGCATCTGCCTTTAGAAAAGAATGAGAAAGAAAAATTATGGTAGCATCATTACCTCATAAACTAGGGTGGTGGTGAGGCAGATTTCAGCTTCTTCGTTTATGTTCTCTCTGCTAAGTTATAGTTTTTTGTCCTAAGTAGAGTATACTTTACTGATTCAGATGTCTTTCTTCTCTGATAAAGCTGGAGGTTTGTGAGGATGTTGAGTGTTTGAGGTATTTGTTGTGGTCGTAACCTGCAAAGGCTGCGGTTTGTTGACCGTGGGTTGAGTAGCGGCTCGTGAAGCTCCTCCATTCACAAGCTCAATCCCATTCTCGATTTTCACAGTCGCGGTTGCGGTTGGAGTTGCGGGTGACTGTATATGCCTTCTTGCTAAAGATAAACACTTTGATTCTGCAAAACCAAACAAACTCAACTAACTTTAGAGAAGAAAAGGTTTCTCAATGAGCTGTGTGTGAAAACACGAGAAACAAACAGTACCTTTTATTTCTGCGTAAGAGATAAGTCGACTAAGGCAATCTCTGAATTTGGTTAATACCACTCTCTCCTGCTCTGCGTAAATCTCTGACTGGCCCTGCGAGTTTGTTCCGCAGCCACCGGGGTCCACCGAGCCATTAGGTGTAGCTGATGCTACCATGAAGATAGTGTCTTGCTCATCACACATCAAAGCCAAAGTTGCTGGAGATAGCGGCTTTCCTTTAGAGGCGTCGGCTCCATCTGAATTTGAATCCTCTGGGACAGGCTTGTCAGCTTGATTCTCATCAGCTTCAGCCATCTCCACATCAGCTGCATCTTTATTGCCTTGGGGTTGATCTTGTGCAGTAGTAGCTAAAGAAGTTTCTGTTTGATCTTTCACTCGACTTTCTGTTTCATTTCTTTGCTCTGAGAAAAAATGTTTAAATGAAGATCAATACATATAGAGCTAAAACCTCGATAATACAGAGCTTGAACTAAAAGTTTCACCTGTTAATGTCTTTGCTGCTTCTCCAGCTACAGCGACCAAGACAGAGCAAAGTGCTTTCACATCCTGCGGTTGGATTATATCTGCTAAGAGTGACCTTCAAAAGAATGCAACATACAAAGTCAGTTTTGTGCAGCTCTTGGGTCAGCTAAATAAAACTTGTTAACAGAAACTTCTTTAGCTACTTCACCTATATACAAACTTTGATTGAGCATTGCCACCAGGACGAGAAACAGGTGAGGGAGATGTGCCTGAGCTTGGACCACTAGCTCTTCCATTATTTGCCTATACAAATAGCAAGATTTCATTTCACTAAGATCAAGGGCATAAAAAAAGAGAGAATATTTTCAGTTCGATAAATGGATACCAAACAGCATGTATATGCTAAAATGGTAACTTGGTACCTGTGGAAACTGTCCAAGTCGATGCGTCGGTGAATCTTTGTTTCCTTGGTTGAACGAAATATCTTGACCTTTCCTTCTCTTAGGTGCTGGAGCAGGGGCAAAGCCAGAGGAACCAACAGCTCCAGTAATGGCTGCATTCGCTGCTTGTTGGAGATAAGCTATGTTGTTGGCATGTTCACCGTGAAACAAAGCTTGTCTCTCTTCACTTCCGTCAAAGTTTTTGCAATCCAAGCATTTGCAGTTCTCTGAACAAAGAATGTTTGCTTGGAAGCACTCACAATACTTCTTGAGGCATCCCGATTTCTTGCAGTGGCATCCTTTGTTATGTTTCCCTAATAGCACAACTTCACCAATCTCCTCCTGCAAAGACAAAGCAACAGTCTTAATCATCCAAAAGCGATCTAAAACATCAAAGTCTTCCCACAGTTGAAAATGCAATCCCTTTTATCAGCAACATTGATAATGCCTTAAACCAACGTACCCTTTTATCCCGCACGCCATGTGGGCTGCTAGCAATTTTAGGCCTGAAGGCATTTGGATTCCGCTCGAGAGTTGCTTCCACAGCTTCTCGTCTTGCAGGTTCGTTTTCAACATTGTTGAAACAATTGACACAGTTACAACCATCACAATATGTTCCGGATGCAAAGCATTCACAATACCTGACAAGATATTGCACAGTGTAGATTAATCAGATACTGTAATGCTCAAATCCACAATTTAACGACAGAAAAATCTTCGGAATGCATAGAATAGCTCGAATAATCCTTTAATCATACTAAGAAAGGATACTTCATATGCATGAATGGGAAGGCTTACAGCTTCAAGCAGCGTGAGTGTTTACAGTTACACTGTTTCTTCTTCTGAGGGGTTCCATCTCTACCTTCCACTATAGGAGGCCTTGGTCTAGCTTTTGGAGATTCCGGCTTTCTGCGGAAAAAGTTAGAAAATTTTGAAAATTTATGAAACCTTTCTGGTGATATCAAAGCTTAATCCTTAGACAAACACCATTAAACTAGTTTCACGAATTAGTTTTTTTTTTTTTAAAAGGTTTAAAATTTAAACCATGTTCATCATCCCAAATCGAACAAAAGTTTGAATTTTTTCTTCACAAAAAAACTCAACACTTAACGAAACTTGACTAAAAGGATGAATCAAAGGGATCAATTAGATCAAACTTACGGGTGCCTGATTGGAGCGTTGAAGATTTGTGATTGCGACGGCGGATTTGGCGTCACCAATGGTCGTACCTGACCGATTCCCAACGGCGGAGGAGGACGAGTCGTCGGTGTTGCAGCTGCCGCCGCTGGTGAAGGAGCGGGGGGAGTGACGATGGTCTTGGTCGCCGTAGCGACGACGGTAGGAGCAGGTTTAGACACTGAATGTTCATCGGAGCCACCAGTGAAGTCGAGTTGCCGCGCTGGCTTCTTCGCCGGAAAACCAGACTCTTCAACACCGTCCTTTTTTGGCGGGAATTCGCCGTCTCCACCGCCCTCACCCATCTAAATTTTTCGAATCTCGAGGAACCCAGAAAATTTCCTTTTCTAATATCCCCCGAGAAAAATCACACAGTTTAAACCACCGCCAGAAAAAAACGAGAAATTCCACAAATCAGCTGAAGAAACACACACGAAAAATCCAGATCCGAATCCCGCAGGAGCGCGAAAAGAAATCACAACCGATTCGGCGGCTGTTAAAGCTCAAACGAGACTTTGAATTGATCCGCGTATATAGAGAGAGAAAGGGATAAGCTTAGAGAGAGAGAGAGAGATTGAAGCAATTAGGGTTCTATCGGGTTTTAGCTCTAGAAGGAAGACGATGAAGCGAGGGAGGAGAGGAAGAAGCCCCCAAGAGGAATTTGGTAAAAATTTAAAACAGCGGAAAAAAAAAATTAAAAGCAAATACTTTCGGTTTTGTTCTTCTTCTTCCACAGCATCTCTCCTCCTCCCTCTCTCTAACATGTTTTGAAATTTCAATTTTCTGGATTATATTGGACGGTTAGATTTGCGTGGCAATCAGATCGTACGGATCTCGTTAAATACGATGATCCAACGATTTACATTCATAAAAAGCTTTAGGTTTTCCTGTCTTTCCACCGTCCGATCTCATATGATCAAAATATCCAAAAAGCCCTTTAAAATGTGCGTATTTAGATATTTACCAATCAGGAACCGACACGTACACAGGTCACTCGTGACTCCAATGCGCACACCTTCTAGTCTTGGAAGCAGAAAAGAAAGGTCCCTTTATTTTGATTTCGCCACGAAACTTTCTTTTAACTACGCAAGAGCACCAAAAATATTGCTTCTTGTTGTTGTTGATTTTGCACAAAGAGCACCAAAATTTTCTAACATTCAAAATTAGGAACAAAGAATCTAAAGGTGTAATACAAGGTCACATTGATTTTCCGGGTAAAAATTTTAACTGTCTAAAAGACTCTAAACCATATCCACCAAGACATACACAGTTTTGCATCAGTAAGAATTTCCCGTTCTGTCTCTGCCGCCACGCCGATCGTCTCGTCCTCCTCTCTCAAAGTAACTGTCACGGCGGTAATCTCTGAGCGGTGGTGGACCGCCTCTCATTGGCGGCGGTGGACCATCTCTCAATGGCGGTGGTGATCTGCTCCTTTCTCTTGAAAGTCGTCCCCATCTGCCACCACGAGGTGGAGGAAGCGGTGGACTGAGAGGAGGTGGCCGTCTCTCATAGTGAGGTTTTGGGAGCGGCTCAGTACGGACCCAGTCAGATGCTACTCTTCTGCTAGGAAGGTACTCATTGTCCGAGTAATGCAAACGGTCTCGTTCTCTGTCTCTGTCTCCCCATGTGGGAGGGTGGTCGTGTCTTGGTGGCGGGTAGTCTCTGGGCCAGCCACGTGGAGGAGAAGACCTGTAGCCATTAAAGTCTCTTCTTGGGGAGAAGTTCATGGGAGGAGGAAGAAGACGAGGCGGTGGAGGACTACTGGCACGTGCGTAGCGATGCCTCTTGCATTTGTAGCAGGATTCTCGTCTCGCAAAGTTCAAGTTTCTGCATCTGTATCCATAACAAACATACATATGAACATTTGGAAATGGATAACAAACTTCCGTAGAGTTCATATAGAAGACTAGACCACCCTGAGATTCTATTAGAGACCTAGAATAGCCAAGGATACTTACAATGGATCTTGACAGTACCAATCTCCATCTCTTGGTTGCACCTTTGGGTTATTACTGTTTCTGCTCAAGCTATCCGCATGTTCAGGCTCATCAAAACGTCTTCCATGTGGACGAGCACCAGCTCCGCCTCTAGCATTGAGTGGTGAGTAGTCTCTGTGTCTCCCAGGTGCTTCCCTTCTGCTGCTGAATTCACGGCCACGAGGCGGAGCGCCTGAATGCTTAAGATCAGAGTTCCGGTGATCATCATAAGCACGAGGCGGTGCGCCTGAATGATTAAAGTCAGAATGTCGGTGATCATCATAAGCACGACGGCCTGGTGAGCTAGAACTTGCACGAGTTCGATGTCCTACACCAAAAAGAACAAAAAAGTAAGCAGCAGAGGGTCAACTACAGTATAATATAAGGTTCAAAAAGCTCAAAAAATTCATCACTGATAAAACATTGGAGCAAAGACCATGCATCGGCGCATTACCGAAATACAGAGCTCAAGATACTTTTATTTTTACACTGAACAGGGAATGTTGATATACATCTGTACCAGTGTTAACATTCTTAGTTCAATAAAACCCTCAAGTGTCACTGAAATTTTAGCTATACAATCCAATATAGCATTTGAAACACATGAGATTCTTATAAAAGTTACAAGAAAAAAACAGAAGAACCCCATAAAATTTGCAGATCATGAATTTTCATTGCTGATATTGCCCCCAAACAACAACAGAGACGCAAAACAGAAACCTGACCCAAAACCCCATTCAGACTAACATTCTTTATAAAATACCAAAGTTCTTGTATGCAAACACAAAAGGAAGGCTTACTTGCAATCAACGCTGCATAAGAACTTACAGATATCATAGGAACAAAAAAAATGCAAACGAAACAAGTAGACACTCGCAAAATCCAGCCTAGTTTCTTGGGGTGTAATGAATTTACCAAAGCAGCAATTCCAGAAACTACTAACCGTTGTTTCTCACAGATAATTTCTGTTCGTCGTTCCCCAAATTCGGAAATCGAAACCATAACGAGAAGACACTCAGCAGAAAAGAGGGCTTTGGCTGTAATAATGTTGGAAGAGATACGAACCATTTTCACCCTTACGCCGATCTGAGCGAGCAAATGAGGGCCGGTCACGGGAGACTTCTCCGGGTGCATAGTCTCCGGCGGTGGCGTGGCGGTCGTCTTCACCGTCGTTGCTTCCTGATAGCCGCACGACGAGACTGCTGATGTGAGGCGGGTGATACTGCGTCGTCTGGTCTCTTTCATTCGAACCCATTTCTCTCCGATTGTCAAGCGTTTACTCCTGGAATCTCGATGTCCGTTTCCGAATGAGAAAAAAAAAAAAAAAAAAAAAAAACCCTAGGGATAGATGTTGAAAACTGTCGTTTATTTATCTTTTGGCCTCTCAACTTTAGTCTGATTTTTAAAATTGCCCCTTATGTTTAATAGTTTTACTTAACATGATAGCTCTCGTTGAATAGGCTGATTCATGGAGTCAAATCTATGCCGATTCACGTTTATGGAAGAATCAGACGCACACTTATGATTAATTTTATGGCATTTAAAAGGTCAATGGCAGAATGTTATTCACACTTATGATTACAGTGGATTTAACTGTTAAGTTAAATACAGTTTTAGTCCAATGACTACTACACCTGGGACTAAGAATTTGATTATGCAATTTGGTTAATAGAATTACCAAAAACTAGATGCAACTAGGATTGACTCATTATCTCACAATCAAACCTTCAACTCTGACCATGATGAGAGGAAGTTACTACCATACAATGTCGTTGATAAACAGATATTTTTTTTTTTTTTTTCTCATTGTTACTTCAATTGAAAAATAGGGCAAAGATTGGCCTGGGCAGCAAGAAAACTAGCTCTTTCGCTAGCTAAAGCCAAACACCAACTTTACAGTAGTAAATGTTACCGTTTTCTATACCAGAGCGGTAGAGAGACAACACATAACAACAATTTTGACAGAGTAGGCGAATTCAGGGAACCCTGCGAATAAAGATTCTTCACCATGGACCCGGTCCATATGTAATTGACCTGAGGAAAACATCACATAAACTGATATCAATGAGAGAAATAAGGCGGCAAACTATGAGAGAGAAAAAAGCATCGAACGATTTCGAAAGCAACTTGTAACAATGAAAGTTAACAACAACCAGAGCATCAGACAACAAACAGTTCCAGTATTTGTCTAGGCATTGTAGTATTGAGACCTAAGGTAAAGCCTTTGTTGACTAAAATTGTGTGTGTTTAAACTTTGCGAGAGCTTTTGAGTTTGACTGCGTACCTTAAATGCCACTAAGGGTCAAGGGAATTCGATTGTAAATCCACTACTGGTAGGCTTTACATTCACGGGTCCAAAGCCGTCAAAATCTGAATCCGAATCCATTTCTCTGTGATCATTCCACTTTCTCGGAGAATCCTCATCACCCGGCCCACTCCATGTCGGAGGCACATAGAGCTCTGAAACTGGAACCGGAAGAGGCTCCTCGCTGAAATATTTGTCACTCAACATCTCCATAGCAGTAGCTCTACTAGCTGGATCGTAACAGATAAGCTTCTTGAGCAGAGATATCACATCCCCTGAATGGTTGGGAAGACATCCTTCTACACCAAGTGGAGACTCTACTTTAGCAAACGAGATCGACTTGTAGTCTGGGAGATCAACACAGCCTGGCCAGACTTCTTCGTTTAAATTTCCCAGCACGTTGGTTACTCTGCTGATCTGATCAATATCTGAATTCCCTGGGAACAAAGGCTCGAGAGACAAGAGCTCTGCAAACACACAACCAAGCGACCACAGATCGATCTCCAACCCATACATTGTGGATCCGTAGAGCAGCTCTGGTGGTCTAAACCATCGGGTTCCCACGCAAGATGTCATCAGACCTTGTGCACCATCCCACGCTTCATCAGCATCATAAGCAAAAGAGTTCTCACCGAGATCATCGTCCATTTCACTAACAGTGCACGTCGCGAGGCAAGATGTATTTCCATCAGGCACATTCGAGTCCTTATCGGTATCATCTCTTACAACCTGTTTAGCCTTGAGCTCTTCCACCTGTCGAAAGTACTCGTCTTTACTCATCGATTCCTGTTCCTGACCATCGGAGCCTTGCTGAGACGAGTTCTCATAGTCGGGAATCACCTCTGGTGGTTCTCTGCTCGTTTCTCCATCTTTGTCTTCAACCTGGTTTTCATCTGAAGCTACAACATCAGGCTGCTCCATGAGTATCCTAGCCTGTAAACGAGCCAAGAAGCCAACACACTAAGTCATAAATGGGTTCACAAGAAAGGCAAAATCAAAGAACTGTTCATCTCTAAACCCTACATTTACTACATTAGCTCTTCTAGATTTTAGAGAAGCAATTTTTTTCTGTATCCAGCAATTGATCAAGGTTTATAGTGGTTTATCATCGAGAGGTTTTTTCAATTCCTTGCATGAATCAAACAATGGAAATGGCAAATCATCAGTATCATGATAATCACCTGACCAAAATCTGCAAGCTTAAGCACTCCATCATCAGAAATCAACATATTCCCAGGCTTCAAATCTCTGTGGACGATCAGGTTCCTATGGCACGCATCGACGCCGGATAAAATCTGAATCATCCATCTCTTGATCTCCCCGACCGTAAACCCGTCCCCGCCCGATCCCTTCTTCCGCCTCTTGGCATCTTTGATCACCGCCGCGAGATCCGTCCTGAGGAACTCGAGCACAATCACGGCGTTCTCGTCCTCTCGCCAGAAGTACTCGTGCATAAGGACGACGTTAGGAGATCCGCTGAGGATAGTGAGCGCATCAATCTCCCGGAACGCGGACTGGTAATCGAAGATCTCTTTGAGCGCAACGACGAGGCCGTCGGAGATCCGTCGAGCTCTGTAAACGTCGGCATAAGCGCCGGATCCGACTCGCTCGAAGATCTCGTACTTGGCGATTATCTCCGGCCGGGTATGGATACTCCAACTGCTCGCCGGTTGTTTATCCATTCCTTTGTTACGGCGTCCTTTTTTCGACTGATCTTTCTTCCGTTTTCCCGGCTCGACGGTACATATGTAGCAACAACACTAACAAATTCCAACTGCAAATGACTAAAATACCCTCATTGTACTTTAGATTTATGAATGCATTTTCCGCAAATTTGAAGATTACTTTCAAACATAACAGAAAAATACGATCCAAATAAACAAAAATGTATCATGAGTTGTTTGAATTTGCTATTTAGGGTAACCTTGAATTTAATGGAAATGATGAACTACTTGAACCTATTATTGAATTATGTCATCTGTGTTCTGTTAGTTTTCAGTTGATTTCAGTTTCAATTCGATGGTGATACAAATTACATGTGGATCACGAGTCACAAGAACAAAAATGAGAATTCCAAATTTGCTAATAAGATCCAAAACTTGTTAACAAGACAAGAATATTACAGAATCTGCAAATCTACACAACCCAAAAACAGAGAAAGGAGCTTCGCATACAAATAAATAAGAGAACCAACAGTTCCCTTATCTTCACAGTTGCAATTTCAAACGACCAGAGAGAGAGAGAGAGAGGCAGAAAGTGACATTGTTGTTGTTATGTCCTAAGCAGCGGTGCAGCCTCCACAGACGATATTCCTGCATATATTTTTAGAAGTGAAAATGGTAAAAAACTTGTTTTGTAAACCTCTCTCTATACAAATCTTTAAAGAGCTTACGCGATGGAGCAACCGGATCTTCTGTGTTTCTTCTTCCTCGTTACCTCCTTCCTCCTCGGAGGCTGAAGAACCACCTTGATCGCTGTGTCAAACACTGCTTTCACATTCTACAACAAAATCCAAAAGCAAAGTCATCAAAAAAGATGCTGACATTTTCACACAAAATTATACATTCTTTTTCTGAGTCTTTTGGAACTTACCTGTTGAGTCTTGGAACTGCACTCAATATAAGCAGCTGCACCGATTTGCTTCCTTAATTCCTCTCCCTGACTCCAAAAAGCCATAAGTTTAAGAAAGCTTCATTCTTGTCTTAAGATTCATTTCAAAACAGCTAGAGATTACGCATATATACCTGACAAGAGGTAATGACATTTGTGTGATCCGCGAGGTATCCCTTATCATCCCGGAGATCTTAAGAACACCACCACGTCATGCATCAGTCAAAGAGATATTCAAAACAAAACTACAAATAAAAACAAAAAACTCACCTAGCTTTGTACCAACAAGGACTATGGGAACATTTGGCGCAAACCGACGAAGTTCAGGCATCCACTGTCGATAATCAAAACAATCAGTTTCAAAAACACATATACACAAATCAACATTCACCAGCTTCAGTTCACTATCTACTGCAATGAGAATTCAAACATATATACACACCTTCTTTAGTACATTCTCGTAACTCGCCTTGCTGATAAGCGAAAAGGCTAATACGAAGATATCAGCTCCTCTGTAACTCAATGGCCTCAACCTACTGTAGTCTTCTTGACCTAAAGACACCATTAAACAAAACAACAACAAAAATGTATGAGAGATTCATAACCTGGAAACTCCGAATCATCAATGTCGAATCTTTGGCTCACTGGTTCCAGAACGAAATAAAAGTAATAACTGTTTTTTACCTGCAGTGTCCCATAGCCCTAGATTCACGATTTGTCCGTCTACGGCGACATTGGCACTGAAATTGTCGAACACAGTCGGTATGTAATCCTGGCAAACATGAACAAACAGCAAGAATCACGAATCATGCATCAGAGTAAACCCTGGAAAACTGAAATTTCTGGAGACTAAAAGAAGCAAACAAGCCAGATCTCTTCCATAACTCTAGAATCTCATAGACCGAAATGAAGAAAACATTAACCATACGAAAACGAGAAAAGAAATCACATGTTCTTCTTCTTTAAGCTAAAACCATTTGGAAATAACCCAGTAAGAAAAATTAAAGCTTGACAATGGAAAACGAAAGCCTCTTGAGTGTGAATTTGAGGAAAACTCACAGTGGGGAACTTGTTGCTTGTGTAACAGATAAGCATACATGTCTTCCCGACAGCTCCGTCTCCGACAGTAACACATTTGATGAACTTGGAAGCGCTCATTCTCTTAGTAAGAACTAGAATCGAAACCCAGAAAACTTTCAGGAAAAGATGAATAAATGAAGAAAGCAATTAAAGAAGTCGAATCAGAAGAGTGCTGCAGAAGTCTAGAAACGAGCTTACAAGAGACGCTTGCAGTGAGAATCGACTGCGGAGACAGAAAAAGAAAAAGAGTGTGAATTTCGATATATTTTCTCAAGAACCAAGAGAGAAATGTGTTTTGTAGAGAGAGAGAGAGAGTAAATGTGTCGGATACTCAGGTTTCGTCAAGGTCAAAGTCTCAAAAAGGGCAACTTTATTTGTCCCTCTCAATAAATTTCGAAAACTTGGCAAATTGAAATTTACACCATAAACTATTTGAAACCAATTTTCTAATCCCTTTCAATCCAAAAAGTCGGATTTCTCAACGGTTGAGTTGAAACACGTATCGACCGTTGTGGAATACGACACCGTTTCGACTTTTGTCCTCTTTGTGGTGTCCAGCTAAGTAGTGGGTTTAGTGTGATCTGTCTTGGGAGTTCCACGTTTCTTCTGCTTTGGATATACACGAGTTAATCTTGAGCCCTTCAAGGATTTTATATTTCAGCCATTAGTATTTATTTCTTTTTAAAATGCGTGTTTCAAATTGTAAAAACCATATAATACTTTTTTATCTTTAAAATACCATTGGTGTGATATGATACCATTAATGTAATCACTTCAGCTAGGAGCCTAGGATTGTAAAAATACCAAGAATCGAGTCCTTGTTGCTTCACTCAATCATAAACTTCCACTTTATATCACAAAAGTGCCAAATTTATATAAGAGAAAAAAAACAAATTATAAAAGAGAAGTTTTTGAACTTTTAGGCTAAAGTGTACCAAGATATTAAAGTGAAATTAGCAACCAATATCCCACCAATACACTAATAAGATTGTAGTTATAAAGATCAACCAAACAAAAGCTTTCGCTTGGTCAAACACAGAGTCTAAAAGAAACATAAAGAGAGACAGTAGAATTCAAAGTTTGAGAAAGATAGCATGAAACAAGGAGGAAATTTACTAAAGGAACCGAGTTGGTTCTTCTCTCTACTCATCATCATCGTCGTCTTCAATGTCGTCAAACTCGGAGTCATTACCAGACGCACTACTCTCTTCATCACTCTCTACATACCTCATCTTCCTAGTTGCTCTTTGAGGCCTCGACGCGTTCCCCGCCGCAACAGTCTCGCTACTCTTCTCCTCGTCTTCATTGCTACTGCTAGTAGCCAACCTCCCCATCACTGATCCACTCTTCTTGTTAAACGGCGATGATCTCATCTTCCTCACTTTCTTATCCGGCGACACACTCACAACAACCTCCGTCACTGCCTGCTTCTTGCTCGCCGCTGGTCCTCGTTTCCTTGGAGCTGCCGGTGGCTTCGCTGCTTTACTCGCCGCTGGTTTTCTTCCTCCTTTCGCTGGTTTTGCAACTACCTCAACCACCTCGTCGTCATCATCGTCATCCAGTGCTATTGGCTTCGATGTTTCACCTGCTTCTGTTGATAAACCAATAAAGGTTTAAACTTCATGATCTTTTAATTTCTGTGGATTCTTTCTAAAAAAATGTGACTGTCTTGTTGTTAGAAAGCTTACTGCTTGGATTCTCAGAGGTGGTGCCGAAACTGTACTGAGCAAGCCTTTGTGCTAGATCCACCATCTCATCCTCATCATCAGCCTTTGCAGCTGGAGCAGCAGCAGGCGCCTTCTTTCTGGCTGCTTGTCTACCTTTTGGCTTCACCACTTCCACGACGTTGTTCTCTTAAGAAATTCAAAAAACGGTTTCCAAATTGTATATCAGAGATCCATACATGGAAACGAAATGGATCCAAAACATTCACTGGCTTGAGTAAAAGATTAACTAACCTGTGTCCATAGCCTCTGTGGTTTCTGATTCACTGGCTTTCTTCGTGGTCTTCTTTGGTGCTGGCTTTTTTGCTACAGCTCTGCCCCTGGGCTTGATTTGCGCTGCTCCACCTTTGGCCCTGAGCTTGTTTTGTGCTGTCTGTCTCTCTTTCTCCTCTTGAGCATCGCTCGAATCAAGTTTCTGCAATGGAACGAAAAAACATTTGCATCAATAGAAACTTTACTAATTCACTGCTATGGTGAAACTTCATAGCTTAAGCTTCGTGTCTCCATACGTCTAGTTCCATATCAAGAGACTCTAAGTCTCTGAGCCAGAGGGATCTTGGTGTGGCTTTCTTCAAGGCTTCAACTTCTTCCTTCATTTTATCTCTATCTCCACACAACTCCTGGACTTTCTCTAGGGTCAACGTTGAAATAGCCATTGCCAATAAGTAGTCATAATCTGAGCCAAGCACAAACGTGGCGCTTGAACTTTCTTCGATAACATCTGAGCTTTCTTCATTAGCATCGATTGCTCCAGCAACTGCAGCTTCAACTGGCTTTCCTTTCTTTGGGAACGGTGTAAAGCCTCTCTCCCTCAACTCCTGAACAAGTTCTGCCTTCTTCCTATTGTTCACTATGATTTCTCCACTTACAACTCCAAGAATAAACTTCACTTTGTTTTCAAGTTTCAGCAGCTCCTGTTCCAGGTTCTCCAGCATAACTCTCTGTATACGTATCAGGCAGTTGGTAATGTTAGACCACTGCATTTATAACTAAAACATATAAAGACTGAACCACATAGTTTTAAGACTTCCCAACCTTTCTCATCTCGTAGTATTGGAGCCTGAGGTGGAAGAACTCTTCAAGGACTGCAAAATGAGATTCAGTATTAGTGTAATGTTATGGAGAAGAAAAACAGACTGAACAACTAAGATCTTTCTTCTTACTTTCTTCTGGAGTTGCATATTTCTTTATCACACCGTTTTCATCAAATAGATGCATATTAGTTGTGGCAATTGTCGTGGTGAGTTTGAGCATTTTCAGAAATCCCTCTTGCCGAGCTATCATCATGTGCTCTTCACTCAGTATCAGCTCAAAGTCCACGGACTTGTCGTCATAGTATGCCCCAACACTCTGCAGAAATAAGGAGAATAATGAATAAGAAATCAAATAAAAATATATAAGCATACAGTCACACAGCTTCTGATATGTGCACTCTACCTGAAAAAAGGAGACATTATCTATCTTCATTGCTAGCAAGAATTGCTTATAGTCATCAGTCCACCTTCGGATTGGTAGTTCTGTAATACGCAGAGTTGTTTCGTCTATCTCCTCGCATACACCAGTGATAGTGTAGGTTGACCCGCCTTCCTTGGATGCAGTTTTCTCAATAGTTCCTTTGAATCCTCGGTACCATGGATCCATAGGCACCACACTTTCACCATTAAGCATACGCCTTATGTTGGCAACGATCTCTCTTGGGTTGTAATTTGGTATGAAAGAGCTCCAACCAGTACCGATTCCTTCACAGCCATTGACGAGAACGGTTGGAATGATCGGCATATACCTGAAAGCATTAACAGATCAAGTTAAGTTAACAAGCGTTCTAGAAAGAACAAAATACTAAATGGAGTAAATGGGAAAAGTAATTACCAAGTAGGCTCTATCTTCTGCCCGTCTTCACTCAAGTAATTAAGGAGGACATCGTCATCTTTGGGGAACAAGACCCTTGTTACTGGAGAGAGCTTGGTAAAAATGTATCTTGCGCTGGCTGCGTCTTTTCCACCCTATGATCACCATCATGTTCACCAAGATGAGTACAAGCGTAGATAAACGAGAATAAAAAGGATGCTCTATATTCAACTATACTTACCGAGCATCGTGTACCAAATTGACCAAGCGGTTGAAGCAGATTGATATTGTTGCTGCCCACATAATCTTGGGCCATACCGACGATGGTACCAGCAAGACTCTGCTCGCCGTGATGATAAGCAGAGTGCTCTGATACATAACCAGAGAATTGGGCAACCTTGGCTTCCTTGACGAAATTCCTCTTAAACGAACAAAAAAGAACCTTCCTCTGACCCGGTTTAAGCCCATCAACCATGGAAGGAATTGACCTTTGAAGATCCGCCATGGAGAACAAGATGAGTTCTTTGTTCACAAAATCAGTGTACGTGATTCTCTGTTCCTTTTGGTCAAGATGAGTGCCAGGCTGCATGAGAAAATAACATCAGAACAGTCGGATATAATGAGCAAAGAACAGGTGTCTTTTAAGGATCATTCAGTTGTCGTGCATACCTCAAAATTCAAAAGCCAGCTTTTTCGAGCTTCGATTTTCTTTTTACTGAAAGCAAGCTCGATAGATTCTCCATCTTGTTCATCCTCCCAAACAAAATCTTTTTTGTGGAGATCGAGTCTTTTAAAGTAGTCTTGCCCCTCCTTAGACGTACTAGTACCCAGCCCCTAGCAAGACATAAGGAGTTAAGGACTATTAGTACATGCAGAAAGCAATAGCGGTTTCCAAAAGCGATCTCCCAATAGTTACAACAGAAATCAAACCTTGTAGTACTTGATTGTCCATCCGGTTGCGTTACCTCTCAGACTTTCTTTCCAGGCTTCGTACTCAGGCATTGAGTAAAATGACAGAGGTTCTTTTTTATCCTTGTGCTTAGCCTGAGTACGAGTAGGGCAGTTGTTAAAATTACTTTATCTAATAAGTCGAGCTCTATATGATATTATCCAAAGATGAAGTTGTTATACACACCTTCACAATGGGCGTGATAAACTCAACTAGGAATGATGGAACTTTGAGTAATGTTGGCCAGAAAGAGTGGATGAAGTTAATTAAGAGCCCCTTAATATGAGAACCATCGTGATCCTGAACAAAGTGGACAGAAAGATTTCGTCAAATGAAAATATATGAAGACACACACATATATGTAGAATAACGCGCTAAGTATTAAGATAGGAAGTAGCATACCTGATCAGTCATGATCATCATATGGCCATATCTCAGTGAGTTAACGTTTTCATACGCCACATTCTGCTTCAGTCCAATGATCTTCTTGATGTTCTCAATTTCCTTATTGTTAGTGATCTGAGTGGTGCTGGCTTCCCTTACATTTAATAACTTTCCACGAAGAGGAAACACACCGTAATAATCACGACCAATGACAGACAGCCCCGCCATCTGAAACATAATGATGTGTTAGGTGTGTTGAGGTAAAACTAGAGATGTAGCTGACAATAGATGAAGACCACTTACAGCTAGAGCTTTAGCTGAATCTCCTTCAGTCAAAATCAAAGTACAGTCTCTGGACTCTTTCCCTCCAGCTTTGTTAGCATCCTCCAGCTTCTCAACTAGAACCCTCTCGGTTTTGGATCCATCACTTTTCTTAAGTTCTTTGCTCTGCTTGAAAGTTGCCCATGAGAGCAAATTTTCTACTACGCCGGATTTAGCCACTGGATCAAAAATGAAACAAGTAACAAATTATAAGCAGTCTTTTAGAAACCGGTTACCTCAGTTACCCAACAAGAAAGATGAAGCAAAGCATACCTTTCTTGAGAATGTCTTCCGATAGTTCGCATTTGGACCCGAAACTGCTCTGTCGAAGAGTCAGAGTTTCTTTCGTTTGAGAATCGAAAGCTGGATTGTCAATCAGGGCGTTGACAAATACCCACAGGTGGTTCTTCACATTATGAGCCTTGACGTTAGCGGTTTTGTTCTTCTTGTTCACGATGTTCACAATGTAGTTTGTGATCTGGCTGGTCACATAATCTACATGTGTGCCACCTTTGATTGTGGCAATTGAGTTGACAAAGCTGACCTGGAAGCAGAAGAAAACAATAGTTTTACTCAATCGTCATGATATGAGAGAAAAGGAATATCCAGTCAAACACATAAGAAAACAATGTTAAACATTTTACTCAATCGTCATGAGATGAGAGAAAGAGAATGTTTAGTCAAACACATACCTGCTGAAACTGCCCTTCGCTTAGGCTCACACACACTTCCCATCTATCACTGACTTTCTCGGTTATCCTAATCTCACCAACAACAACAAAAAAATCAAAAGATCAGTATCAATTCCAATACACAGTCTACTTATAAGTGATCAACAAAACCGTTCATAGAACAAACAAACCTTGGAAGAGGGTCGTCAGTCCTTGATTTATTGGCTGCAGTTAGATACAAATCAACGTAATCACTGAACGACTTGATTGGGACTCTTTTACCATTCAGCTCCACCTTCACAGACTTTCCCAAACACCCAGCAATATCAAATACTCTTTTACTCATTAGAGCAACCACATCGTCTTCTAGATGAGTCATGTTGAATTTCCCCAAATCTGGTTTAAATGTGACTTTCGTCCAGTTCTCGCTCTTATTGCACTTGGTAATAACCGGCTCAGACTTCTTCCCCATGTTGTTCTCAAACACCTAATTAACATCACCAGGAAATTAATGTTAAGTTCCTAAAGCTAATGTTGTCAATCGATAATATCAAAGGCATTAATCAGCAAGAGAGGAATCATAAACCTAAACGAAATCAATGTAAATCGCAAACAAAGACACAGAAGGAAATCCAGATTTGATAGTACCTGCTTGTATTTCTTCAGTCTCTTCCCGTCGGCAGTTTCAATCGTGAATTCAGTCGAGAATATATTTGTAAGCTTAGCACCATACCCGTTCCTTCCACCAGTGGTCTTCTTCACATTGTCATCGTAATTGCTGCTGGTCAACAGATGCCCAAAGATCATTTCAGGAACATAGACGCCTTCCTCCTGATGAATCTCCACGGGGACTCCATCTCCGCTGTTGCAGACGCTGATGAGGTTCTGCTCAACATCGATCACCACTTTGACGGAGTCCATGGACGGATCCCTCTGTTTGTTGTCGGCGGCGTTGACGAGTATCTCGTCGAAGATCTTGTAGAGGCCAGGTACATAAGTCACGGGACGATTCACCATTTCTTCCTTCTCGTACACCCAGAGCGTCTGGGTGTGCTTCTCGATAGATCCGATGTAAGTATCTGGACGGAGTAAGATGTGCTCCAGCTGCGATTTCTTCTGGTACATCTCTTCGATGGTCTTCCCGCCTCGAGATGCCGCCGGCGCCTTCCCCACATTGATGTTGTTGCTGCTTTGCAGCGGGAGTTTCGTAGCCATGGTTTAGGCGGAGCGGGGAGTTTCTGAGAAGGAAACTGTGTAGATCTGGAGATTTTGACGGAGAAAACGGAAGGAATAGGTGAGAGAATCAACGAATTTCTCAGAGAAGGTTCTGGATTTAGGTTTCAGGGGAGTAGAGAGAAATAGGAGAAAGGGGAATGAGAGTGAGTGAGTGGATATTGAATGAGAGAACGCGACGGTTTAAATTTGAAATTGACCGAATCAAATTTCAAAATTTGAAATCGCCAGAGGAGCGGGATAACGCATTTTTTTTTAAGATATCTCTCTATTGAAAAGAAAAGAAAAAAAAAAAAGCAAAAAAGGTTATTGATCTGTGACACGTGTCATCATCCTGTGTATTACTTCGAATATGTTTCCTTTCTTTTTTGTACAGACGTACAGTAGTTAGATATGTATTATATTTTTCATTTTCATAATTCGCATATATACGCTTACAGTATTTATAACATGGTAAAAGTGATTCTGACAAAAATGAAATTTGGTTCGAAGTAATAAGATTGGAACACCGAATCATAGCATTAATGCATTAAGATAAGCTATTAAAAGCTAGCAGACATGCTAATTAGCTTGAAATCTATGTATTTAGTAAAATATAAAACAGTTACTAGTATAACAATGTGGTCAAAAGTTGCGTAGCCATCAGGCATGAACAATCAATACATCCGATACAAAGGAAAGATTCAAGTTTTGTTCTCGATGCTTATAGACTTTTAAAATTTAGGAAACAATCTTACAAATGATTCATAAGCTTATATAAAGGTTCTCTCTAAGCGTTTTTTTTCAATAAAATAATGTATTCTGTAAACAAAACGAAAGAGTGATAAAAATGTTGTAGATGAACTAGCAAACAATAGTAAAAATGATAAAGTGTGAACTTTTTTGTTGCACACGCTTACACTATGAACATGATAAAAATAAAATGAAATTTGGTTCAAGGTAACAAGATTGGACCACCGAATCGTACCATTGATGCATTATGATAAGCCATTTAAAGCTAACACAGAGATGCTAATAAGCTTGAAATCTGCGTATGTAATTCCAGGTATATATGACTCCTAAAAAGCTCTACCGACATCCTTAACAAAAATAATAAACACATGTCATAAAATTGGTTTTGATACTTGATAGTGATTGATCATCTGAAATGCAAGAGACATGCATGTGTTCCACTTCCACCTAACAAACATTATAACGTAGCATTACCTGGACTGGATCCAATTCAAACTCGGTTCTCATCAGCAACTACAGTACGTAAATCCAACAGGATCAAATATAGTCATAGAAACAATAAAAACCTCACAAACCAGATACAAATATCACAAAAATTATAATAGTTTAAAGTTTTAAAGCAATGGACGAAAGATCGCTCTTATTATTGAAAAAAATGGTAACAGATACATTTTATTTCCTCGTAATTACTAAGATTCACATCTCTATGCATGCACGCTTATTATTCCGATTGAATCTTGCTTCCGTGTCGAGGTAACAAACCAACGAACTTCACGAGAACATCGATGGAGTTTTGAACGGCGAGGCGGCCGAATAAGTCAGAGCCGCTTCCGGAGAGGGCACGAATGACGATGTAAGGAAGGCTTTGCTGATGGCAGATGAGAGCTACGGCGGCGCTTTCCATGTCGATGGCGGTGACGTTGAATTTGGAGCGGAGGAAAGTCCGGTAAGCTGCGTTGGCGACGAAGACGCTTGCACTAACCCCACGGTCAACGATGGTTACCTTCGGTGGTCGAGGGAGGCACGTGGTGTTCACGCATTGTGGTAGTTCCGTGTCCTGTAATTTTTTTTTTTTTAATGTATCATAAACAACGTATACGTAACTGAATACAAGATAATTTTTGTGTAGTCAAATATTTCCAATCTAAGTAACACCTAAAGGACTAACGTGTTGTAAGTATTTGCCAATATGTATATTAAAACTGCATCTTGAATGGATACAAAATAAAATATATACTATCAAGAAAAGAAATCGAAATATGTGAGTTTAATTAGTCAGACCTCGAGTTGGCGTGCAAGATCAAAGTAGGACTTGTCAACAGGGATCCAGAAGACGTGTTCCCGGACTTCGGGAGTTCCGGTGACCGGAAATATTTCCTCCGGTTGGTACCAAACTCTATTGAGCAAGTTGTCGGATCCGTTATTGTAGTTGGAAAACTGGAGATAACCAATATCCCGAGTATAGTCTCCGGCGGCTTCCAAAGCCAATTCTTTGTCAATCCCATCTCCATACCTCTGTATTCGAATTTGTAATATGTAGTAAGTATTTAATAATGCTACGATAAACAAAAATATTGTCGAATAAGTTCCAGCAAATAACCACTTTAACCACTAACATACATAAAATTGCTATTGATTCATATAGACTATAGTAGATCTTGAACATGTGCAAATGATACTAATGCACAGCACCCAATCCACGATTAATATATAGTTTTAACTTTCAACATCTAATTATTAATCTAACCATATAAATTAATGCCCCCACAAGTAATATATATTGAAACCTGGCCCACTAAATTCTCGAGTTAGATCGTAATTATAATTGGTCATTCAAATAAATTACCTGCCAATTCCAAAGACCAGAGTGAGCCCAAAAATTAGGAATAGTGACATCGCCAATCTGAAGGTTAACATCTGCGTTTCCAGCAATTCCATAGTGCAACACTCCTTTCAACCTAAACAGGCTCACTAGTAATTGTGTTGCTACTCCTGCATTTACCTGTTTATGTATGTATATATACTGATTAGTAAAATCTTATATTAACAAAAAAAACTTTTTTTATATATAAGAGAAAAGAGGAGTCGTATTTGATCAATGAATGTACCATTCCCAACCCTGTCATCACGATTACTACCCCTTCCTTTAATATTTTTCCAAATCGAAATCTTTTACCTGCGTGATTTTATATAAACCAGATCAATATAGATATATATATATACACACATATACATATTATAGACATTTACATGAAATCTCTTTTGTGAATGACATTGATCTATTTGAAACTCAAGCTACAAACACGCACAGTAATAAATAGTTCTATGTAACATTTTTTTACCGTAATCTACTCCGCCATAAAAATTAGATCAATGACATACACATCATGAGACTTGACTTTGTGAATTGACTCGATAAATGTATATATAGCTGGAATTTTTAAAACACTGTTCATACAAAATATCAGATCTAATAACAAATGAAAAAAAATGTACCTGCGAAATCGATAAAGGGTAAAGGTGGATATGGAACATAAGCTTTCGAAGCGAGAAGAGGATTAAGCTCAAAGTTGTTTGGAGCTAAAATCCCTAAATAAGGACCTCTCTTATTCATCCTCTCTATTTGGCTCAAAACTGTTTGAGATATTTCACCATTTGCTTCTTCAATAACATTTCCAATCGACAAAATAACCACAAGAAGACCAATGAAAAAATGTGCCATAACTTCTCCCTCTCTTTCTCTCTCTCTCACCCTTTCTTTTATGCTTCTCATGAGTCTCACGAAATGCAACACGAAAGCATCTGTAACTGAAAGTTCTGAAAAGCGTATGTAAATAATAAAAGAATTAAAAAATTTATAGTTGGATTCATTGTTAAAGTTTAATTATTTAATTATTTGTCATCTTATTAATAATTTAATTGTTAATTTTATATTTAAAATTTAATTGTTTATTTAAATAATAAAATTTATAGTTAGATGCATTTGTCATCTTATTAATAATTTAATTATTATTTTTATATTTAAAATTTAATTGTTTATTTAAATAATAATAATTTATAGTTCAAATACTCCTTTAAGTATATAGACAAATGGAGATACTCTAATACACATGTTACAAACGTGGGTATGCTCAATTTTTATGGATGTGTCTGGAACCGGTGAAAGATTGATAGATGTGATGTGAATAGTTTGTGTAGTAGAGTAAAATTAAACAGGGGAGTGAAGAAAGAAAAAGGAAGAAAACGGAGAGGTTTTTATTTTTGAGTAATAGATAGGAAATTTTATTTTCTTCATATTATATATTACGGTGAGGAAATGTTTCCATCCAATTTTAATAAAACTAGCAAACAATAAATGATGGGACCAAGAATACCTAATTCCAGGTATATGACTCCTAAAAAGCTAGGGTTTTTTTATTATCTAACTATATTTACAAAACAATAAAAGAATATAGCTATACTATTTGATAAATTAGTAAACTAACCATGACCCACAATCAATTATCGAAAATAACCTTGTACTATATTATACTATATACTATACTATATATAATTTTATGGAATAGTCCTCTATTTGATATAGTATATATAGAAAAAAGGAGCAAGGAAGAGAAAAAAACAAGAGAGAAGGAGAGAAGAGGAAAAAGGAAATAAGAAGAGGAGAAGGGGAGGAGGAGAGATGAGATGAGCGGAGGTGGGCAGAAGAGAGGAAAGAAGAGTATAAGATAGTATAGTAGTGTAATCTATTAAACGAAGGAGTTTTTGGTATATATTATAGAATATATAATGAATATAATAGTCCCTATATTGTATGGTTACTTTCCAAATTATATGTATTTATATGGTTATATCAGCCAATTTCCTTAAAAGCTATGCCGACAATCTTAAAAAAAAAAAAAAAAAAAAAAACATGTCATAAAATTGGTTTTGATAGATTCTTTATATTTACATTTGCTTTATTGGTTTTAATACTTGATAGTGATTGATCAATGATCACCCAAGACTTTACCTGGATCGAATTCAAAACTCGGTTCTCATCAGCAACTACTGTACGTAAAATCCGATAGGATTATAATATTCATATTTTATATATCGGATCAAAACCTCCATCTAAAAATCCGATATTAATCAAACAAAAATTCTAATAGCTTAAAGTTTTAAAGCAATGGACGAAAAGATCGCTCTTATTATTGAAAAAAAATGGAAACAGATACAACTTATTTTTTCCGTTACATTCTCCTTACTAAGATACACATCCATGCATGAACACTTATTATTCCAATTGAATCTTGCTTCCGCGTTGAGGTAACAAACCAACGAACTTCACGAGAACATCGACAGAGTTTTGAGCGGCGAGGCTGCCGAACAAGTCGGCCTCGTTGGAGACGTCGGAGCCGCCTCCGGCTAGGTCCGAGAGGGCACGAATGACGACGAAAGGAAGGCTTTGCTGGTGGCAGATGAGAGCTACGGCGGCGCTTTCCATTTCGACGGCTGTGGCGTTAAATTTGGAGCGGAGAAAAGTTCGATAAGCTGCGTTGTCGACGAAGACGCTTGCACTAACCCCACGGTCAACGATGGTTACCTTCGGTGGTCGAGGGAGGCACGTGGTGTTCACGCATTGTGGTAGTTTCGTGTCCTGTTTTGTTACTTTTTTAAATGTATCATAAGCAACGTATACCGAATACAAGATTATTTCATCATAACAAATTATTATAATCACTAGGTATTAACCCGCGCTATGATGCGAGATATTTTTCTAGATTTGTATATATTTTTAATATAATACAATTATTTATATATTTTAAATAAGTATTATATTTATTTTTATTAGATTAAGTTATGTATTTATATGTTTTAAATCTGAATAAACATTATATATCATTAATTTTTTATTTTTTAAAATTATAATCTACTACCAAATTTGTTTAGCTAACTATCTATAAATGTATATGTAAGAATAAAACAATACATTTTTAAGTACCTTCAAGCTAATGGTAGATGTAATTTATTTTCTCTACTAAATTACTACTTGATCCTCCTTTAAAATTATATAAAGCAAATTGCCATTTAAAAATATATTAATTAATATAATTATTTTAAATTATAAAATTTATTTATTTATCAAATATTTATTATAAACATATGTTTCTAAAACTACCAACTATAATCAATAACATTCATATCAAAATCATTACTATTACTTTAGAACTAAATAGAAAGTTATATTTGAACTGTTGAAATATCAATTTAGTTGAAGTTAAATAATTCAATTTTGGTTACTATAAACATATTATAACTTAAAAATTTAGCACAGAAAATTTTTATCTTTTTACAAAAACAGAGAAATTGTATTTTTCGACAAAACAAAAAAAATTATTTCCCACGAAACTAAGAAATCGCATATTCCCGCCAAAACCAAAAAAATTCATTTTCTCGTCAAACTTGAAATTTCATTTTCTTACCAAAACAAATAAATTGCATTTTTCCTCAAAAACCAAAAAATCACACTTTCGCGCGAGAACCTGTGTTTTTCCATCAAAACAGAGAAATCAAGTTTTTTCATCAAAACCAAAAAATTTCATCTTCCTGCAAAAACCAAAAATTGTTTTCCCTCGAAAACCAAAAATCAAATTATATGTCAAAAACTGAAAATTTGCATTTCCCATCAAAACCAAGAAATTGTTTATTCCCGCCTAAATCGAGAAATTTTGCTTTTCTATCAACCCAAGAAATTGCATTTTTTTGCCAAAATTGTCAAATTACAATTTTCCGCAAAAATCAAAAAATTACATTATCCATCAAAAGCCGAAAAATTGCATTTTCTATCAAAACCGAGAAATCATATTTTTCTTCAAAATTGAAAAGTTGCATTTCCCTCGCATTTTCTCGTCAAAATCAAATTTTTTATTTCTCACTAAAACCAAAAATTCACATTTTGCCGCCAAACCCGAGAATTTGTTTTTTTTCGCCATAACCGAGAAACTATGTTTTCCTACCAAAACTGAAAATCACATTTTTTTTACCAAAACCAAGAAATTCTCTATTTCTGCCAAACTCAAGAAAATTTGTTCTCAGTAACCAGTGGAAATACGAATCTCCAAGCTGTGGTGGTCTGAGTTTCTCCTCATTTGCTTTCTCCTTCCATTTTTTTTTTGTAAACTTTGGGCTTTTTAATGGGTCAGCAAAATAGTAAATTGATTTTATTAGTGTGTTAATAATTTGTATTATTGTTATGTTTTTATTGGTTCAAATTTTTGCTGATGTGTAGATTTCTTATAACATAACGCTTTTTGCATTGTTGTTATGGAAGCATAGTTGATGATGAGTCTACACTTTCCTCAATCACATACGTCTCTATCAAGCAAACACATAGTTAGAAATTTTAATTTTTTTTTTGCTGTTATTTATTATTCGAGTTTCGGTTTGGCAAAAATATAAAACAAAGATTTAATTTTATTATTTGTTGTTATTTATTATTATTTATTATTTGGGTTTGTTAAAAAAATAAAAGAATTTTTTTTATTTGCTGTTATTTATTATTTGGGCTTGGGTTTGATCAAAAAATAAAACTAAAATTAACAATAAAAATATTAGAGTTTTTAATGGGTTTAAATTTAAAAGTTAAAATAAATTGATGACTTGTATTAATGAAATGTTTTTATTGGTGTTTTTTTTTGCTGAAGTGTCATCTCCTAAAAGTTTGAAAATGCTGATGTGTCAAGCCATGGAGAGACTTATGGGTTATTGTTGTGTTGATTGAACTTTTTTATATTGATAATAAAAATATAACACAATTTAAGGAATTATATATATATAGCACTGAATTATACGTTTCAATTTTATTTTTGCTTTCGTGTACTACACTATATAGTACGTACATTGATGCTTTTTTCTCTTCATATTTTCAGAATTATATAGTTGGATTAATTGTCGAAGTTTAATTTTGTGTAGTCAAATATTTCCAATCTAACACCTAACGGACTAACGTGTTGTAAGTATTTGCCGTACATACTACAACTTGGATACAAAATAAATATATTATCAACAAAAGAAATCAAACTATGTGACTTTAAAATTTAGCAAAAAAGAAATATGTGAGTTTAATTAGTCAAACCTTGACTTGGCGTGCAAGATCCAAGTAGGACTTGTTAACAGGGATCCAGAAGACGTGTTCCCGGACTTCGGGAGTTCCGGTGACCGGAAATATTTCTTCCGGTTGGTACCAAACTCGATTGAGCAAGTTGTCGGATCCGTTATTGTAGTTGGAAAACTGGAGATAACCAATATCCCGAGTATAGTCTCCGGCGGCTTCCAAAGCCAATTCTTTGTCAATCCCATCTCCATACCTCTGTATTCGAATTTGTAATATGTAGTAAGTAATTACTAATGATACGTACGTTAAACAAAAATATTTTCAAATTAGTTTTAGAAAATAATCAGTTGAACCACCAACATATATAAAATTGTTATTGATATATAGCAGATCTTGAACATGTGCAAATGATACTAAGTACCCAATCCACGATTAATAGTTTTAACTTTCAACATCTAATTATTAATCTAAACATATAAATTAATGCCCCCACAAGTAATATATATTGAAACCTGGTCCAATAAACTTTCTAGTTAGATCGTAATTATTGATCATACACATAAATTGGTGACATATGGCTGCAAATTTTATTCGCAAGGTCAAATATAATAGGTTGGTAAGTTAATAAAACCTGCCAATTCCAAAGACCAGAGTGAGCCCAAAATTTAGGAATAGTGACGTCGCCAATCTCAAGGTTAACATCTGCGTTTCCAGCGATTCCATAATGCAACACTCCTTTCAGCTTAAACAGGCTCACTAGTAATTGTGTTGCTACTCCTGCATTTACCTGTTCATATATATTGTTTAGTAAGCTATATATTCAAAGATAAAACACCTTTATTAAAATATAAGGGGAATGAAAGGTCGTATTTGATCAATGAACGTACCATTCCCAACCCCGTCATCACGATTACGACCCGTTGGTTTGATATTTTTCCAAATCGAAATCTTCTACCTGCGTGATTTTATATAAAATTAACCAGATCAAGATATATACATATCATAGACATTCACATGAAAGTCTCTCTTGTGAATGACATTGATTTATTTGAAACTTAAGCTACAAACAAGCATAAAAAATAAATCTGATATATTTATATTTACATACAAAATATCAGATTTAATAACAAAAGGAACAAAATATACCTGCGAAATCGATAAAGGGTAAAGAGGGATATGGAACATAGGCTTTAGAAGCAAGAAGAGGATTAAGCTCAAAGTTGTTTGGAGCTACAATCCCCAAATAAGGACCTCTCTTATTCATCCTCTCTATTTGGCTCAAAACTGTTCGAGATATTTCACCATTTGCTTCTTCAATAACATTTCCAATCGACAAAATAACCACAAGAAGACCAATGAAAAATCGTCTCATAACTTCTTCCTCTCTTTCTCTCTCTGATCGCCCTTTCTTTTGTGCTTATCGTGAGTCTCATATCTCCCCTTAAGTTCCTTTTATGTATGTACATGCAAATGCAATATTACACGAATAGTCTAATACACACGTTACAAACGTGGGTATTTATATATGCTCAATTTTTATGGGTGTGTCTGGAACCGGTAAAAGATTGATAGATGTAATGTGAATAGTCTATTTTTGAGAGGAAGAAAATTGAGAGGTTTTTTATTTTTGAATAATAGAGAGGAATTTTGTTTTCTTCATATATATATTAAGGGGAGGAAAAGTTTCCATCCAATTTTAGTATTTCCTTCCTTTTCTAACGGGATTTTTCTGATTTTTTTGTTATACTTCTTTAAATCAGATTGGTGGTGTCACTATGAGAAAACTCATAAGCTTTAACTGTTAATCAATTTTAGGAATAAAAATGGAATACAAATAAATGGAATAAAAAGAAAATGAAATGAATAATTGCAGTATTTATATATATTACCATCGATCAACTATATGTAGCTCACGCTATATATATGTAATCATATAAAACACGCAAATGATTGGTACACAATACTAATTAAATATGTACAAGCTTTGTTGACAATGACAAAAGAAGAGGTTTGTTGAAAGGACAAAAAAAAATTAATCACAACCACAAATGGCTCAATCCTTAATCTACTATGGTCTTGACAAAAAAATCAAAATCAAAATAATAATTCTGGTCCAATTTAAAACCGTAGGGAGGACACACTCTATCAATAGATGCATGCCCATCAAAGGTACTACTATCTCTAACATGTGACATTTCTTTGACACCATGCATCGGATCGAATAATAATACTCCATTTCTTTCTCTTAATGATGAATTTACAAAGAGAATTACCTAATAAAGTATCTTCTTGAAACCTAACAAACTAATCCGAAATTTGCTTTAGTTTTCCATCTTCTTCTATTTTCCTTTTGGCTCCTTCGGTTTCTTCGATTTGCACTAAACTTGGAACGTAAGAGCATACAATTGGGTGACAATATTCGCACTGAGCTTCCCCAAGATCAACTTCCTTATAGTATTCATCTTCTCCAATGATGTAGGCCATGTTGCGTCTTGGGGTCTGGCCATATTTGCGTACGCTTGATTCAAAAAGAAGCGCCACTTTCTTCTCCTCGTCAATGAGAAAATTCCCGTTTCCAACAGCACACACAAGTCCTTTAGTCGGAGTCGCACCAAAAACCAAAAACTTGCTCCACGACACAGCTTGGGGCTCAATCTTAGTCGTCACCCATATCTCCATCCTGTCTGTAACACAGGGCTGGAACAAAACCGTGAGCTGCTCTTCTCTTACACTAGATAGACTCCCGTCAAAAAAATCTCCCAAAGGAAGTTTCAGACGCGGTCCGAATCTCTCTCTTGTAAAATCAAAACAAAGTAAAAATTCATCCGGCACATGCTCGTCTTCTTCCCATCCTCCCTCAACGATCTCCTTGACCTTTTTGTTAGCAATCCAGTAAGTATTTCCCTTCAACGAAACTCCGCGCCGAAACCAAGCAGACCGGACATGCCAGTCGCGATTCGTGACATCTAAAACCCTCCACGAATCAGAATCAAAATCATATATTTCATACTCGAATGTTCGCTTGTATACACTAATAAATAGATCTCCCAAAGAATCATCGAAAAACCTCAAGATCTTGTGTCTACGGCGCGAATCGTATCCGAAACCGTACCTGTTTATAGAAACAGGAGTCCTGGGTTTGATCCACCTTGTTTGATTCATGTACGGGTTCCACACCATGAGCTTCTTGTCGTTGTCGGCGACGCATAACAATAAACCATCGCAGTGATCATAGATTTTACATACATTGACTTGGTCAAGCATAGCTATCTGCTTTATAGAAGGATCTACGAAGTTGCCATCTTTGTTGTGGAGATTGAATCTCGCTGAACAAACCCTAAAATCCTTCATCATGAACCCTAAAAACTGGTGCCTTGCTTTTGCTTTACAAACAATCTGATCTTTCGACGTTGCGTGCCACTTCTTGCAAGTAGACCGCACTGCTCTCAAAGATATCAACGGAACCCTAAAGAGTATCTCTTCTACGAGTTCCGGTGAAAGATCGGACATCATAGCCATGGCTCAACAACAACAAAAATTAGGGTTTAAACTTTCACTGCTTCTTGCCTTCTTATAAACACACAACTAATTGGAATTCAAAGTTTTCCTTTCTTTTTATTACGAATTTAATTGATTTAACTATGATTTGGGCTTTATAAGAATTTTGTGACAAAAATTATTGGTTCTTGTATTTTAATGGATTCGAGAATCCAAACCAAATTCAGTGTTATTGGTTCTTGTATTTTAAAATTTATATTAAAATACAGTGTTATTAATTCTATGATTTTAAAATCCATAATGAAATACAATGTTATTGGTTTTATCATTTTAGATTTTTAAATATTATAAGGATTTGAGTTTTAATTGAATTTGAATGGATTTGGAAAGATTTTCATGACTAAAATACAAAGACCCAAATACAAGGTCTAATCTTAGTATTTGAGTAGATTTGATTTTTTTTCATTTTGTTGATTTTAAAATCAATAAATTTATCAAATCTATTTAAGATTTATAAATCCACAAAAATACAAGAACCAATAACCCTACTTAGCATATCTATAGTTTAATTATTTCTGGATCGAAGACGTATTTAAAAAAATGAAAACGTCGCCTGAGAGATTCGAACTCTCGCGGGGAAACCCCATGTACTTAGCAGGCACACGCCTTAACCACTCGGCCAAAGCGACTTTGATGTTCACATTTAAATCTGATATGTATTTGTATACAAATTTGATTTTCGTTCATAGAAGCGAGTTTCATTCAACGAGGACATCATCGACACGAAAGTCCACTAGAGACGAAGGCAACGACGCCGCCAATTATCCTAGTTGGGCCTATGACAAGATTTCAATAAAAGGAGGATGAAGTCTAGCAGTTGGGCCTATAACCAGTGATCACGATGAAGATATCCACATGGCAACGCAAAATTCTGGTGGTAGATGTGAATAGTTATGGACTAGTTTGGGCCTACATAATTGTCGGCTTCAAAAGATACCAGGCCCATATTACATTCACGCATTATACGTGTACATGCATTGCCAGCATTGGACATGTCACATGTACATACGTATTTATTCATAATTGCACATGTGACGACTATTGAAAATTGTAGACCACATATTGTAAACTGGTTCTGTTTTTGATTTAAGAAACCGGAATGGTTAATTATTAGATAAATTCTTACACTAGATATTTGATTACAATTTGTCACACGATATTTGCTCCATACTTTTGAGTGCTCACATTAAGAAAGCGCCCAACTAGTTTTACTGATGCAAGAAAATTGTTGGTGATATTTTCAATCCAAAAACAGATATTCCAAAACCAAAAAAAAAAAAAAACATAACTGAATAAATTAGTACTATAGTTATGGATTGTCATATTCATCATAGAGAAAATGAAATCATGAAATAAACACAAATCTCTCTATCAGTCAGTCTATTTGAGAGATACATGTTGCATCCTCATCTTAATGTTGTCGCTTGACATTTATTCATATTCTGATATTCATTTACGGTGTAAAAAGCTTTTGAAATAAATTAATAATTAGGATCATACCCATGGTATATGCTTACAGTGTGTATGTAAAGTTAAGCTGATTCAGAAAAAAAAAAAAGTTGAATAAATAAGAAATAGGAAAACACACAAGATTCACATGGACAAAAAGCTCGAAACTAATTATAATAAAAATAAATTATTATGAAGGGTCCGTACAAGTCCCCGAGCCTGAGCCCCAATCGCTGCAACTCCTCAGGAGCCACGCCGCGAAGCTAGGGTTTTTCTGATCGTCTTCTTCTCCGTTTCAGGTTTCATCTCCTTCTCTTCTCTGTCTCGATTTCGATTTTTTTTGCTGTTTTGTTTGTTTTCGCGCAATAGCTTTTTCTTCTTCTTGTCATCGAAAGCCCTTTAATTTAAGCTGATTTGGCACTCCTGCTGCGTAGCTAGAGTTCTGGGTTTCATCTGATCGCTTCTATATATGAGTATCTCGATTATTTCGATCTCGAGAGTTTTGAAATTTGGGGTGATTTCTAAATATAGATGATTGAAATTGTTTTTTAACCCTTTTGGGGTTCTGCTAGTATTTATGAAGCTCGCTAACTTAGCTGACAGAGATCTGCCATGCTCTGTGTTCTTATTAATCGTTAGCAGAGTGTGTAGAGTTGCTAGATCTCATTCTTTTGATTTCTTCTGGTTTAGGAAATTTTTATTTTTTATTTAGCTGAGAGAGAGAGAGAGAAGTGAGTGAGGGTTCTTTTTCCATAAACAGATCGAAAAGGCCTGTCTTTTCGATTTGTTTTCTTTTTAGTTTAGATCTTCAAAAGGAAAGTGATGAATTCGAGTTTCGAAGCTTTTAAAGTTGTACAAATGGCTTCTTTTTTTATTCGTTTACAGAACTCAAACTCAAAGGCGGTTCTGGAGAATTTCTGGACTGTTCTTCAATGGTTTCGTTTCAAAGGTACAAATACAATCCAATACGATGTTTCTGAGATTTATGATAGGATTGAGTTTGCAAGAATGGTTTCGTTAGTTGCTGTGATTACCAACAAAATTTGATGATTTCGTTTACAAAATCTGAATTTTGTTACTTCCATGCCCATCTATATGATTCTTGAAGTTCCAAACTTTGCGTTCTTCCGTTATTGTAGTGAGTTTTGTATATGTAAACCCATTTGTGAGCTTTGGCTAACGGATTCTTTTGTGCTATGTATCTCAGATGATAATCAAGATTGTTGAGGACATTTTAAAAATCAGTTGAGCTACTCAAGAGTTACTTAATAGGAGTTTGACGAAAATGGAGGATGATAATGGGCTCGAGCTCAGCTTGGGTCTGTCTTGTGGAGGATCATCAGGAAAAGGTAAGGGTAACAACAACACTAATAATGCTGGAAGCTCCTCTGAGAATCATAGGGTTGAAGGAGGAGATAGAAGCGCTAAAGTGATTGATGACTTCAAGAACTTCCTTCATCCAACTTCTCAAAGACCAGCAGAGCCGAGCTCTGGTTCTCAGAGAAGCGATTCTGGTCAACAACAACCTCCGCAGAATAATTTCTTCAATGACCTCTCCAAAGCTCCAACAGCTGACGCTGAAGCCTCCACGAAACCGTTGTGGGTGGAGGATGAGACACGGAGAGAAGCAGCAGGAAACAAGAGGAAGTTCGGGTTCCCTGTGATGAGCGATGAAAAGAAGAAAGAGAAGGACTCGCCACATGCTGATATGCACGAGAAGAAGACAAAAGCGTCCCATGTTTCAACCGCGACTGATGAAGGATCAACAGCTGAAAACGAAGATGTAGCCGAATCTGAAGTAGGCGGAGGAGGTTCAACTTCAAACCTCGCAAAGGACGTGACTCGTCCTACCGTAGCTGATGCAAACGTTGTGGAAAACTTAGCCGGTCAAAGGAAGAACAGCCATGGCGGATCATCTGGCGCTGAAGAGTTTACAATCCGGAGCATGAGTTACACCGTACCTTTCGCGGTTCATCCGCAAAACGTCATCACTAGTTTGCCTTACTCTTTACCTGCAAAAGAGTCTGGACAACACGCAGCAGCTACAAGTCTGATGCAGCCTAGTACTAATCCTGGGAATCTCCCAGTTATGTTCGGATACTCACCGGTACAGCTCCCTATGCTTGATAAAGACGGTTCAGGAGGGATCGTCGCGCTTTCTCAATCTCCATTCGCCGGAAGAGGTCCATCATCAAACTCAGGTGAGCAAAAACCTTTCCCTTATAAAGGTGTTGAAGAATCCTTACTTGCAAAGATAATAAACTTCTCTATGTCTCTTTAAAAGCTACAGCGAAAGGTGAAGGAAAACAGCCTGTTGTTGCAGAAGAAGGCTCATCCGAAGATGCATCAGAACGAGCAGCAGGAGACAACAACAACAACAACAACAGTACTGCTTTCTCTTTCGACTTCTCTGCCATAAAACCTGGAATGGCAGCGGATGTGAAGTTTGGAGGATCGGGAGCACGACCAAACCTACCGTGGGTCTCAACCACCGGTTCAGGCCCGCACGGTCGGACAATCTCGGGTGTTACGTACCGGTACAATGCAAACCAGATCAAAATCGTATGTGCTTGCCACGGCTCACACATGTCGCCGGAGGAGTTTGTCCGGCACGCAAGCGAGGAGTATGTTAGCCCTGAATCACCCATCGGAATGACCGCAGCGTCAGCTCACACCTGAGAAGTTGCTCGGAAAAAAGTGTTATAAATCTTGTAAACAAATGGAATGGTTTTGTAATGAGTTTCCTTTGGGAATTTACATTTTTTTTTTTTATGTTTACTCGCTCGGATCAAAACTCAAGCCAAAGTTTTTAACTGAGCTTTTCTGCTATGTTGTAATCTTTCTCCTTGCTTTGTTCTTCATTTCAACTTGTTTACCTCTTAGCTCTGTGTATTATACCTTGTAAGCCTCTTCCTCTCTATTTTTTTGTTGGGTTGAAAGCAAATAAATTTATCACCAGAACAATATCAGTATAATTTTTTTTAATCTAAATCAAAGTACTGATTGTTGATAATTATCTCTTTGTAGTCTTGAGTACTCTTGGTTTGGATTGACAGATGATGTAAGAGCCCACTAATTCAAGAAATGGCCCTAATGATTGGATATGTAAAGCCCATATAGAGGCCTAGTCTAAACCACAAGAACAAACAACCGCAAAAACTTCAAGAAGAACGTGTGCATGTTTTAGTTGCTAATGTGATTCTTTACATACATATCAAACTTCTATATCAATATCTCATTATACAAATGCTTAATCATGAGACCAAAACACCAATTAATTTACTCATGGAAACAAATCTAAGATTATTGGTTCGTGAAGCGTGAAATAATTGAGAGACTAAAATAATAATGCAACAAAGCCATCACTCAATCATGCATGAAAAAATGCAGATTTAGACTTTTCTTTTCCTTACCGGAATTTTGTGCAGCTGGTCGTTGACTAATACTTCCGGCGAGTTCAACAATAAGAAAATTTATATTTATTTGAGTTCATTACCACTTCATCTGTCAACAATTTTATCATCTAGGTACACCATATGACATTTCTTTTTAGTTTTTATAAACAAAATTATCAAACACATGGGATTATGAACCAAACCAAACCGAAATGACTAGATAAATGATCTAGAAATGTATACCAAAAGTTGGTACATTTCAGTCAATTTTTACTATTGTATTTGAAAGAAACACGAAAAACCGATCAAGTATTGGAAAAAAGAAAAAAAAAAAGAGTTCATTTTTTTCTTAAAAATTTGAATATGAAAACAATAGTTTTGTTAAATGATCAAATCAAAATCAAACCGAAGATACATCTAACCGAATTGAAAAGAGTTATTTATAGTGTCTAGACTAAGAACCAAACCAAAATCAGTCTAAAGAACCAAACGTATGATGCAAGTTGTAATTTTATATACAGTGACAATTTCCGATTAGTATATAGTCCTAAATATGATAAAAATGAGGTCAGAGAATAACAGCCCAACAAAAGGCAATTTGTTTTTTAGTTAATTGAGACTTTGAGAGAATAGGCTAGAAGCAATGAGAAAGCAATAGCATACAAAATGTTGTTGTCACGTAGATGACGGAATTATATTAGTTTATATTTTACACAAAGAGAAAAAGATCCATATCTCTTAACGCAATTTCATTTTTCTTCATTTTCCTCTGCAATAAAAAATAATTGAAACCCAAAAAATCAAGAAACTAAGAACAAATTTCTCTCGAATTGAAGATCTTCATCTTCCGATGTATCAATTCTTCTTCTTCTTTCTTACCATCTTTCACAGTTATTACTATGTCTCTGCTCAGCCTCCTCCTCCGTTCAGAAACGGCGAACTCGTCGCGAATTTCGAGCCGAGTTTAGCCGTCGTCACCGGAGTTCTCGCCATCATGTTCACACTCACTTTCGTCCTCCTCGTCTACGCCAAGTGTTGCCACATCGATCTCCGGTCAGGTACCGTCGACGGAAGAAGGCAAGATCGCCGGCTCCGGCAAGGCATATTCTTCAACCGGTCAAGTAACTCGTCGGATCGATTCTCCGGTTTAGACAAAACATCAATCGAGTCTCTTCCTCTGTTTAGGTTCTCCGCATTGAAAGGATTAAAGCAAGGGCTTGAGTGTTCTGTTTGTCTATCTAAATTCGAAAGTGTCGAGATTCTAAGATTGTTGCCTAAGTGTCGTCACGCTTTCCACATCGGATGCATCGATCAGTGGCTTGAGCAGCACGCAACGTGCCCTCTCTGCAGAGACAGAGTCTCAGCCGCCGAAGATGAATCCCCTGTTTACGGAAACAGTTTCCGGTTCTTGAATCAGTCTGAGATAAGAGAAGATTCAAGCTTGGAGCTTTACATCGAGAGAGAAGAGGAAGAAGAAGAAAGAAGAAGACAGAGAGAGGAAATAGGTGGGTCGTCGAGATTCAGCATCGGAGGTAGTTTCCGGAAGATTCTGAAATTAGGTAATAAAGAGAAACCGTTACTTGAACAGCACGGAGTCGATAAAGAAGAGAAGAAGCTGATGCATAAGTTCAATCACAGGATCGTTGTGTCGGATGTTGTGTTTAAGAATCGTTGGAGCAACGTGAGTTCGTCGGATTTGATGTTTTTGAATTCAGAGATGGTTAGCTCGATTTCTAGCGAGAGATTCTCGTCGATGGATAGAGTTAAGAGAGGGGATGAAGAGGATCAAATAGGTATCTTGCGGATCAAGGAAGAGATGGAAGCGAAGAGAATGTTGGAGAACAAGTTGACTTCGATGAAAACCATGTTGTTGTCGGAAGACAGAGACTCTGGTTCGAAATCTAGAAGCGTTATGATCGAGCCAGGAAGAAGATCGGTCTCAGAGATCACTGCGGTTCCTAGACTTAGTATTACGGTCCATGGAGATTGCAGCGGTTCAACCGCAGCGACTGCGTCTGCTTTAGAAAACGGAGGAAATGAGACGGAGGAGAGAAGACGGCGTTTGTGGCTGCCGATCGCTAGAAAAACAGCTCAGTGGTTTGCTAACAGAGAAAAAAGAATCCAAATTAACACAACTCACCAACACTTTGATGTCTAGTTTCTTTCTTTTTCTTCCAAAATTGCAAGATTTAAAATTTATTTAGTTTTGTTCTAAGTTCTATGCAAAAAAAAATCTTACACCTGTTAATTTGTTAGTTAGATCAGAAGAAGATGATTTGTGTAAATAACATATAAACAAAGTTTTGACTCATAATATTTTAATTGATTGAATTATTGCTAGGTTTTATTATAGAAATAAAATTACAATAATTGTTTTCAATAAATGGAACATGTCAGCTTACCTGGTTACAGAAGCAACCACGCTCATTTAAAATTTATTGTTACGACTGCATCATATTCATATCCATATAACCACCTCTAATACACAGATATTGCTACCTAAAAATAAAAATATACATATATTGCTGCATAGGCGTCCACTAATTATATAGTTTTCATTAGACGAACACGAAAACAAAATGAATTACTCTAGGTTTTGTCTCTTATATATTGTTTTCTTTTGTTTAGACTAACACTCATGTATTTGATTAAAAAATACAAATTAAAACCAGTAGGTCAACTAACTGCTAAAAATTCTTATTTTAATTTCATAACGAACACTACATTTGCAAATTTGATTATTAATATATATATCTCATTATTAATAACAATGAATGCAAAGAAACACTGAATCTAGGTTATTAATAAGCAATTACTTTGTCACTTTCTTAAAAGTCCCCAATAATATGAAACCTAATCCCATTTTAAAGCATTTTACATTTGATTATCCTGATTTCCTTTTCCAATTATAACATTATAATACCAATCAATATATGATTATATTTATCAGATTATATGATGTAGGAATCTGACTCCTCGGATTTTGTCTTTTACATATACGAGCCACTAAACTTAAAATAGACGTTTATTTCGTCCTGCATTGATGCACATAATATGATATCTAAAGTAAAAAGTCCTTATAATTAAATGGAAAACCATTTCTTTTCGCTTGAACATCTTTTTATAACGAGGGACACGAGGATAGAACCTGGGATGCCTTGAGTGCAGCACCATAAGGGGACCTTTTTAATATTGTATGATGTGATATTTCATCTAAAATCTTATAAAATAATAGGGCATGTTAACTTATGCACGTCTATATAGACCTATCTCATTTCGACATTTGAGAGAAACATGAATACTTATGTTGGCCAAGTGGTTTTGCAATGTGTTAATACAGATTATATTTATATGTGGCTGAATTATGCCAGACTAATCTGGATTCATTTACCCTTAAATTTTGTAGATAATTATTTGATTATGATTGACACAATTCTCGATCTAATGAGAACATTTTGATATATGTTGAAACAATTATAAGAAATTATCATAATACGAAATAGGTAAATGAGGCCAAAGATTGCTGTTATGTAAAAAGGAAGCCATTGCATCATATCATGTGGTCCAACTTATGACGATTACGAATGGACAGGCAATTTAATATATATTATTAATTCAATTGAACCTACCGAAATTAATAAAATTATAATCGAGTTACTCTTATATTATAAGTGTATTAGGTCGAATATGGACAGATTTTAGAAAAATAGAGGTTACACCTCCTCCCTTGTGTAGAAGTGATCAATCTCGATTTTTCTATTTTTTTTTTTTATAAAAGAATAAACATGTAAAGAAGTAATATAGTATAGCTACGAATACAACCTACACCTACCTCTTGCATGATGATGATGCTTTTTCGACCGAGCGTAACAAACCAATACAAGGCTGGCTTCATGAGCTCTCTCAAGATTAAACTGTTCAGTCGTTCGTTTATCGCTGACGCTGACTTCTTAAATCCCATGTTGACTCTCAACATCTTTCGTCAGAAACCTATGTCATAAAAGAAGAAGAGAAACGTGTGCTCTCTCCTAAGCCTTTGAAGACATCTCACAGCTCAAGCTTTGGCTCTGGGTTTCTGCAAAGAATGTTGCTATCCATTAACATATATCCATATATTATCAAGCAGTAGCAGCACACAAGTGTTATGCACAACTTTAGGAAACTTAGCACAGAGTGAGTAGCTAAAAAATGATATATATAATAACAAAGATTACACATCCGGTGTAAGAATTATACAAAAGTTGGGGGAAAAATCTCGAATGAAAAGCAAACATACACTTCATGCCTTTGTGCGTGTAACACAAGTGTGTTCATGGAAAAACTCCATCCTCTAGAGCTTCCACGAACGCCTTCTTGTCCACACATCTCAGTGAATATACACAGAACCACTGCACCTCTGTAACTACAGGAGAAATCAGGAACTTGGTGTCACTAACACCTTTTGTATCTCCAAAGGGCATGACTCGCTTAAAGAGCTCACCATTTCACAAGTAAACTACAAGTTCTGGATGATCAAGTCCAGCCCCCGGTTCTATTCCCGTTTTCATACCCAGAATTTGACGTTTCGGGAGGGAAGCCTGACGTTCCCACATTTCTTTTTGAGGTACCCGCAGGGGATAGTGAAGTGGATGGCATGTTCATCTGCAATGGGGGGTTTTCAGCAAATCATCGATCAGTATCATGCTTGAAAAATTCATTGGTTCTGTATAACTGAAAAAATGCAAAACGAGTTCTGAACCACCACAATTGCAGGCATTGAGTACGTACATTCTTGTGGACGGGGTGATCAAAACCCAGGTTCCTCCCTGTAGCAGCATTATCATTTATCTGTGGGCTTGGACCAATGGCGTTACCCGATCTGACGCGCTCAGAGACCTCGGCGTCATAAGAAATATTTGGTCCTCCTGCAAAAACAGTATCAATAAGACAGAGATTTTCAAACAATTGCAACACGAAACCAAACAGGGCATTAACTAGAGCTAACCCCGATGATGGCTTGTCTCCACTGGCATTACACGAGTATTGCTAGAACCAGGAACTGGCTGATGTACAAATGACATGTTTTTGTTAGAAAGTAACACGAAATGTGACACAGCAGCACAAACTATCATTAAGGAACCTTCTCTTGAACTGTAAAAATAATATACCTGAGACTGATTTCTAGCTTTCTGTGCTTGTTGATACTTTATAATAGTCCAGTCAAATATATAGTCGAATTCATATCCTGCAAAGAAGAAAAACGTTAGTTGAGGGAGGTAGGTAACCCATGCTGTTGAATCATATCATTTATAGAGACGCCCCAAGTACCTTCCCGTGAAAATAAATCACGAAAAAGCCGCTTTAAGAATCCATAATCAGGGCGCTGATCGAATGTCAGCGTGTGGCAGTAATGAAAATATGAAGCGAACTCCACAGGGTGATTTTTGCATAGAACCTGCAACGGATGGGATATGGATATTTAGTCGAAATAGGTTTAACGATTTAAAAGAAAAGTCCACCGCACAACAGAGGGAAACAGACCTCGATTGGAGTTGATATCTTCTTCTCACAAATTTTGTCATATTTTTGCTTCTTGTCAACAGCCTTAAGACCCTGCCATGGAAGACTAGAAAAAGAGGTTCATGAAAATATGACACAATGCAAGTAAGAAAAAGTTTGTAAAAGATACAATACCCTCCAAAAATCACAATATCAGCCAACACACACCTGCCTCTTAGGAAATACAGAAGCACATATCCAAGAGATTCTAGGTCATCCCGACGACTTTGCTCTGTGAAACAAAAACCAAAATGTATGAGCGTAGACTATCTAATTTACATAAGGAGAACACACGTAGCAGCTTTACTTACCAATCCCAAGATGTGTATTGCAACTTGCATACCGTGCAGTTCCTGTTAAATTCTTGTTCTCCCTGAATACAACCGAATAAAGGCGATAAGTTGTATGATGTGACCTTAAAACTAAAAAAAGATCGATAATTTATAACATCTGCAGATGGAACACAAGGTAGAAACAATATAAAGAACCACACATACCTGTAAGGGATGTGGCGGTTGGTGTTGGCATCACGATATCTCTTGGCAAGTCCAAAGTCAATTAGATAAACCTGATAATTAAAACGTATCAGTGATGCCTTCCCCTTGTCATTAAATCTGATGCAGACACAAGAAAACTGCAAAAACACACCTGATTCGCTTTCCGGCCAAGACCCATGAGGAAGTTATCTGGTTTGATATCTCTATGCAGATATCCTTTGGAGTGTACATATTCAATCCTCGTTAGCTGTAACAGCAGAAATATTAGATGCACAATGTATCAGTCAATAGAAAAGCTTAGTATGTAAATGGCATCAAGAACAAGAATTGATGACCCTAGCAAATCCCTACCATTTGGTCAGCCAACAGCAAAACCGTCTTCGGTGAGAATTTCCTCCCACAATACACGAATAAATCTTCGAGACTTGGCCCAAGCAAATCCATCACTAATGCATTCTCTGTTCCATCCACCCCGAACCACCTTATCCGCGGAATTCCACCTGCAGAACACAATCACATAAACCCAAAATTAGCTTCGGTGATGTAGTAATATAACTCCTCGAATGATCGGTATCACTAGAAGGATACTGAGCATCAAATTCACCAAATACGAAAGTTTAAAGTTTTTAATTGCATGAAGAGTGGATCATCCCTCCAATGTCCAACGCAACCAACAACTACAGAATGAGAAGAGATAGAAATGAGAAGCATACTTCCTCCTTCGAGAATTCTGTAAAGCTTGGCTTCATAGAGAAGTTGAGGATGCTTCGTTTTACTGTTCTCCTGCGAAACAATCCAAATGATCGAGTCAAAGACAATTGCTAGCTAGAAGAAGCATATGCAGCTAAAAAGCTAGCCTCACTGATCATCAATTTAGAGTTAATCAATTCGAAGGATATCAATTAAGATAGTATCAATTGAGAGACTCAGACGAAATCAAGGAACATGATTAAAAACAGAACAGATCCAAATCAAATCTCCAGAATTGATTAGTTCGATAGCTAATGAGCTGAAACTTACGATCTTAACAGCTACGATCTCGAAAGTATCGACGTGTGTAGCTGCGAAGAAAAACAAAGAGAAGGCGTCAAATTACAAAGCAAAGAGGAAAACTCGAGAAACAAAACAATAGGAGGAGAACACACACCAAGAAAAATCTCTCCGAAAGAGCCGCCGCCGATCTTCCGTCCGAGCTTATACTTGCCGCCGATAATACGTTCCATGGCAGCTCCGATCGAAACCGAATCTGGATCAATCCATGCGCATAGATGAAAGAGATAAGGATTTAGGGTAGATTGAAATTCGTAAAGAGGTACATTATATTATAAAATATACATTTTTACATCGGTGCCATGGACCCGGGCTTTAGCCGTTAGTGTACACCAAACCACCGCACCATTATGGGTCCGACGACAATCTGATCAAACACAGAGGTCATTAACGTCATTTCTCCATTCACACGTTAAAACGATGGATGATGATGGGATTGCCTTTTTTTTTTGTTGTTGTTCTGCGAGCGATGAAGAAGTAATATAAAATCTAAATCAAACACAGGTCATTAAAGTATTGAAGTTTGACCAACCTATTGGTTAGTGAAATTAAGGTTCTTTCATTTTATTTGCGACTTTTTCCCAGTAATAAGTAAACAACATACTTTTCTAGGATTTGTATAGAAGAAGAAAAGTCATGTTTATCTTCATTGCAAAAAATGGAGTAATAAAACAATACAATTACACACCAAACAAAACAATTATCAGAGACTTCAACACCTTTAAAACCTGTGCTACTGTTAGTATCATGGCAATAATCATTGATTACGAAATCATCACGCAATCTTCCTTAGCTTGGCTAAACGATGGTGAAGTCGCACAAATCAAACCGTTATGGTTGGATCTCTGCATTGCTTGATGCTGACCTGGCCTATCCCTGCCTCTTTGACTCAAAAGCCTTTTGAGGACATCTCTCCTCAAGCCTTGTCTCTTTGATTTTCTGCAAACAAAATGTTGATCAAGCAGCAAACCCAAGTTATGCCTCAAACTTAGGGAACTACGCACACAAATATATATGAACCAGGGTACACTGATGAGAATGGATCACAAGAATCAAATTACAAGTCCAGTTTCAAGATTTTATACAAAGGTGTGAGTCAGTAAGCTGTTCACCGAAACATAAATCTTTTCATGCCTTTGTGTGAAACAGTAAGCTGTTCATGGACAAAAACCCCACTCAGAATCTTCAACCTTGTCTAGAGCTTCCACTGCAGAATTCACAGTTTAGTGTTGTCACTAAACACCTTCGTATCTCCCAAAGGCATATAATCTTTGCTCAGACCATATCAGAAGATAGAAAGAAACTACATTTCAATATTTGGCATCATTTCCCCGGAGACATGAATGGTGAAGTCCAGCCACCGGTTCTATTCCCACTCCCATTCCCAGAATTTGAGGTTTCGGGAGGGAAAACTGACTTTCCGTCGTTTCTTTTTGAGGTTCCTGCAGGAGATGATGAAGTCGATGGCATGTTCATCTGCAATGGGGTTAAAGCTTTTGTCAGAGAACAATGAAGAACTCTGATGCAGGCATGAGATGCTACCACAAGGAGGAGAGAGTTGCAGAATACTGCAGTTATTTGGAAGAAGTAAACGCATGAGTACTTACATTTTTGTGGACGGGGTGATCAAAACCCATACTCCTCCCTGTAGGAGTATAATTATTTATCTGTGGGCTTGGACCAATGGCATTAGCCGATCTGACGCGCTCAGAGGCCTGGGCTTCATGTGAAATATTAGTTCCTCCTGCCAAACAGAGAGTTAGTATCAGCACAACAAAGATATTGGAATAGAGATAAACAGTTCCAATGAAAAAATGGTTTAACTAGAGCTGACCTCGATGATTGCTTGTGTCCATTGGCATTGCACGAGAATTGCTAGATCCAGGAATCGCCTGCAGTATACAAAACAGGCATATTTACATTTACCACTAAAACTAATAAGAAAGGTAATACCAGCAAAACCAAAGTAAAACGAATCTTCTTTATGAATGAGACGAAATATGCATACACCTGGGAAACAGAAACAAATGGTATGGATAAACTATACCTGAGACTGGTTCCTAGTTTTCTGTGCTTGCTGATACTTTATTATAGTCCAGTCAAAAATATAGTCGAACTCATATCCTGCAAAGAAGAAAACATTTTAACTGAGCAAGGTAAGGTAACTGATGCTGGTAACTGCTATCAGCTGAGGGATTTATAAAGACGATGGAGAGATGACTTTGTATAAGTAAAGTACCTTCCCGTGAGAATAAATCACGAAACAGCCGCTTCAAGAATCCATAATCAGGGCGCTGATCAAATGTCAGTGTGTGGCAATAATGAAAATATGAAGCAAACTCCACAGGGTGATTTTTGCATAGAACCTGCCAAAGGATGGGGTGTGAATATTCAGTGAAATGAGGATTGACAACAAAACGATTCCGTTGCACAGTAGAGGGAAAAAGACCTCAATCGGAGTTGATATCTTCTTCTCACAAATTTTGTCATATTTTTGCTTCTTGTCAACAGCTTTAAGACCCTGCCATGGAAGACTAAAAAAAGGGGGGTTAATGAAAGTAGGATCACAATGTAAAGCAAGAAAACACAATGTTAACTAGTTTCTTTCCTTTGACAAAAAAAAAAAACTAGTTTCTTTCAAGTGGAAAAGCCAACACACACCTGCCTCTTAGGAAATACAGAAGCACATATCCAAGAGATTCTAGGTCATCCCGTCGACTTTGCTCTGTGAAACAAAAAAAACAAAATGTATGAGCGCAGACTATCTAATTTACATAAAGAGAACACACGTGGCAGCATTCCTTACCAATCCCAAGATGTGTGTTGCAACTTGCATACCGTGCAGTTCCTGTTAAGTTCTTGTTCTCCCTGAATACAGTCGAATAAAGGCAATAAGTTTGTATAGTGTGACCTTAAAACAAAAAAAAAGATCGATAATTTACAAAGAACCAAGGCCACACATACCTGTAAGGGATGTGGCGGTTGGTGTTGGCATCACGATATCTTTTGGCAAGTCCAAAGTCAATTAGATAAACCTGATAACCAAAACTTATCAAACTTTCTCATTCCCATTTCAAAATTGCAGATGGAGAAGAGAAACTGCAAAAACACACCTGATTCGCTTTCCGGCCTAGGCCCATGAGGAAGTTATCTGGTTTGATATCTCTATGCAGATATCCTTTGGAGTGTACATATTCAATCCGCGTTAGCTGTAACAGTAGAAATATTAGATAATTAATGTATCAATCAATAGAAAAGCTTAGTATCTAAATGGCATCAAGAACAAGAATTGATGACCCTAGCAAATGCATACCATTTGATCAGCCAACATCAAAACCGTCTTTGGTGAGAATTTCCTCCCACAGTACACGAATAGGTCTTCGAGACTCGGTCCAAGCAAATCCATCACCAAAGCATTTTCTGTTCCATCCACTCCGAACCATCTTATCCGCGGAATCCCACCTGCAGATCACAATCACATCAACCCAAAGATCAACTTCCTACGCTGTGATAATCTAACTCCTCGATAAAATATTCAAAAATTTAAATTGAATCGAGAATCATACTTCCTCCTTCAAGGATTCTGTAGAGCTTGGCTTCATAGAGAAGCTGGGGATGCTTCGTTTTACTGTTCTCCTGCGAAACAAAATGATCGAAAAGTATTATTTTGATAAATTTAGAGCTCAATAAATTCAGGTAGTATCAATTGAGAGACTGAGACGATTCAGGGAACATGATTAAGAGTTTAGAAACAGAACAGATCCAAATCAAAATCTCCAGAACGGATTAGTTTCATATAGCTAATGAGCTGAAACTTACGATCTTAACAGCTACGATCTCGAAAGTATCGACGTGTGTAGCTGCGAACAAAAACAAAGAGAAGGCGTCAATTACAAAGCGGAGAGGAAAAAGCGAGAAACAAAACAATAGGAGGAGAACACACACCGAGAAAAATCTCTCCGAAAGAACCACCGCCTATCTTCCGTCCGAGCTTGTATTTGCCGCCGATGATGCGTTCCATGGCAGCTCCGATCGAAAACGAATCTGGATCAATTCATGCGCATAGATAGAGATAAGGATTTACGATTTAGGGCTTTGTTTTCTTCAACGATTGAAATTTGCGAAGACACGAGACGAGAGACACGAGGGGATTTGTGTTTGGGTGACGTGGACACTAGTATTATTGCCAAACTACTCTATTTAGTCAAAGGAAAGTACTATTTACGTATATAGTAATCTATTTATTTTAAGCTCAATTTTTAAAAATATATTTTTAACGCGAAAAAGAATTTCACATCGAAAGTTTAAAGAGACCAATACTAATATATATAAGTTTAAAAGGACCAATACTAATATATATAAGATTTAGGTCAATTTACTCGTTGTCAATTGATTTTGAGTTGAAAATCCATATAAATGGATAAATTAATTAAAAGAGATAAATTTAAAATATTTATGCAAAATTAAACGTTGCTACATATGTTTTTTTTTCTGAGGATACTTCTCAAAAATGGATAAATTTGTATTATATTTTCTCTCTTCAGTATGGGTTTAGCTTTTATATTGGAGTTTCACATAATTAAAAGAACAAACTTCTCTTTGTTTATTAAAACTGCAAATTTTATAGATGAATCAAACACACACAAAATTCCCCCACAAAGAAAAAACATATATCACGATAGAAATTCAAATAAAAAGGAATTAAAAAAAGAAAAAAAAAAAGAATTAGAATTGACTCTTGGAGCATTCCGAAGGCATAACACCTTTAAACCTGTTAGTGTCTTTGCAATAGTCATAGATCATGAAACCAGCTCGTATCTTTTGCATCCTGTCTAGTTGCGGTTTAGTTAGCTGGCTAAACGATGGCGAAGTCCACCAATTAGACTTAATGGTTGGGTCTGCGCATTGCTTGATGCTGACCGGTCCCTGCCACAAGCAAGCTCTTGCCTTGTACCTACGACCCTCGGCGACAAACGGTGCTTGTGTCCAGTCTGTCTTCACTCTACCTCCTTGTGTTGCCCAGTCGTCTGCGTTCCATAGACTCGTAAACACTTTCATGCCTTGCTTGTTCGGGTATGCGATTCCTTCTTTCTCGTAGTTTCTAAACACTCTTATCGGAGTTCCATCCACGAACCACCTATCAAACATAACATGATGATATATACGTTGGTACGCTGATGAATCTCTGGTTTACAAAACCATCTATAACGTTTGTATTCGTTGTATTTCATGATGTATGACATGTCACATGTATATGCTGTATAGAGAAATATATAAGTTATTGAAAAATAAAGTAACAATTCCCATGAATTCCTATATAATCGTATTACTTACACAACTTCGGATGGATTCCAATGGATGGTATAGTTGTGGAAACCATTGCTCGGGTTGAACCATGGTCGAAATTGTTGCTCGCGGTTTCCTTTCCCTTGAGCAAATATGTTGGTGTGGATCGTGTAAGGTTGACCAGTCGCGTTCCCTAGGAACTCGAAGTCTATCTCGTCGTGTGCACTTCCCGTAGACGATAACTAGCCAAAAAAAAATTATCATCATAAAAAAAAAATCACAAATTACACTAATGTTTTACGTAGTTAAACGAAAAAAGTTAGGGAATTTAGAATAAAATGTTATACGTAATAGGCTGCGACGGTTCCAGCAGAGTTTCCTGGCACAAGTTTGATAAGCATTTCTACACTTCCAAACAAATGAGCCACCTTTGATCGAATAGCAGATCCTGCACAAAAAGAAGAAGAAGAATTTTTTGCATGTTTATTTATCAATATTTTTTATTAAATTTGGATTGATTTTGAAGTTAGGGTGTTATAATATTACTATACCTGCAGATTTGTCTAGGACAAGTCGAAGGTTGTCACCACTCATACCAATATGATCTTTACCCCATGTAACAATCATATTCTTGTCGAAGTTTGCCTCCACAAACGTGCGATCTACAATCGCTAACGCGGCCACCAGAATGAACATGAGCGCTTGCACTCGGAGGCTGGCCATTTTACAAATTTGGTTGGTGTTTGAAACGTTTTGGACTGCAATACTATTAGATCACCATTTGGTTGTGAGGAAGGCTTTATTTATATATAACTTTGAATTTTAATTTTTTGACGTAGTCCAAAAGGTATTATAATATTTTTGACGTGCAGCGAATGAACTATGCATTCATGAACTAGACAACACGACAGTTATATAAAGAAAATGATAGACTAAAAAGGTACTATGAATTTGCTTTTTCCCCCTTGGTTTTTAATGACCACTATGTGGATTTTGATCAATAATAAAAATAAAAGTAAATTAAATAAGAGAACATGGACACTGTTGGCTCACGCGGCTGTGGTAGAAACCGATGAATAAACGTGCGGAAGACTACACTAATGGGGTCGATGATCTTGTCATCAGCTTCTTTTGTTCCAATCACTATACTTTTTTTTTTTCCTAAATAGAATTTAATCAATATAATTTCGTTTTTCAGCCATATTAATTAGAATCAAAGTCTGATACGATCATGTTTTTGGGTATAAAATTTGGTATTTATTTGACAACTTTAAATGACTATTCAAGCAATGTGTTTATTTCGTTCGTTTTTGTGACTTCTGTTTTTAAGGTATTGGACTGGTGACACTGATCCATAACCCTTTAGGATAAACTTAGGACCAAGCATAGTCGATCGGTCCTAATGATCGGACTGGGCCATTGAGTTAGCATCCATACATCATACATGGGTTATATATATATAGCTGAATAACTTGCTAATGTTTGGTCCGATTTTCAGATCTAATATTTGATTTGTTTTCTGCTAACACCAGAGATTAGACACTTAAATGTTTCTTCTCCAACTAAAATCAATATTCTTTCGTCAATAGTGAACTATAACATTGTAAACAAATCCATACAGGTCAAAAAGTCTAAGAATAATTAAAACGTGTTTTGAGTTTCTTTCTATGATAATACATAATCAAATCTAGTGATGATCAATCAAGAATTACTTTCGGTGGGTCTTGAGTAGTCTTGGAATATTCTTATATATTATATTCACATTGAATCTCGATCAATGGTAGATAGACAAATATTGTACGAGAAAAAGTTTGATAATGAGTAAAAGATAATGTTGATCGCGTTTTTGTTAGTCATAATTATATATTCAAAACTTTTAGTTTCATTTTTTTTTCCATTTCTTGTCATTATTAGTTCAATGCCACCAATCACCATCAGTCAAAATTATTGTATAGCTTTTATATTTATTTTACCACAAGAGACCGAAGACACCAGCCAATTAAGTTTCTTACATAACAATTAATTATATAATCTTAAGCAATCAGTCAGCATCATTTGTTTTTATGACGTCGTACCATTGTTGGCTCTTCTTACAACATATAATCATATAAAAGTATGACTAACATTTTAATTGATCCGAAATTACTTTTGTCTAGATTTTGTTTTCTTAATTAGGATATACATACAAGTATACTCACTGAATGTCTAGAGTCATCATCCTGTTCGATCTTAAATACAATTACGTATATACGTTACGGATTAATTTTACGTATATAGTTTTTATTCTTCTATTATACCAACATCTACCAAAGTACGATGTACTTTACCGTTTCCCTCCTGCAGATTAATCCTACCTCACTGAATATTCAAAATTCCTTCTACTGCATTTGCATGGCTTATAATATACGGTGATGGCTTTATATAAAATTATGTAATTTACAAGCATGCTCTTTAGAAAAGAAAAAAAAAACATTTTCTTGATATCAAAATCCGATACCCAAAATCAAATTAAATCATAATTACCTATATATTATTTATTCCTAACTTGCTTGGAATGTAATCCATGACCTCTTTTCAATAATATGACTTCATACATTGATCAAAGTGACAATCTCAACTCCAAATCTGGCTCAGTTGCGTCACTCGTTTCGAAGTTCTGAATACCTGATCCCAATGATTTATTTCTCGGATCCTATAACGATGGGGAAAAATAAATCACTCTATATATACATTAAAGCCAGAGTTATACACATATAATATAGGGTATGGGGTTTATATATAAAGTAATACCTCATGTAAGAAGTGTCTGGTTATGTTTGGTTCCACAAAATGTTGGCTCTCCAAGATACCGTAGCTCGGGTTCCAACTGTACATGTGTTGTAAAAATTATTAGCTTTACATTATTTATAAGTATATCACATATATATAAACAACATAACATGTAAATTAAATATTATATATGCGTATATATATATGATCAAACCATAACAATATGTACGGACCTTGGTGCTATGTGAGGCTGAGAATCTCCGTATCTTATGGTTGTTCTCTCGTATTGATCATTACTTGCATTCATCTGTGAGATCACAAAGGGTATAATGAAAAAGTGCTTTCATGAAAAGTTATTAATTTTTTATTATTATTATCTACATAGAGTTTAATTTAAATGGATCTTATTCCATTTGTTTCGATTCACGTCTATAATTAGAAACTAGAATTAGAACAGTATAAAAATCGTTTAAAAATTCATTTGTTACGAATATAGTTGAAAATTTTGAGTACTAAAATGAGATATCTGAAATTAAAATGAATTTGAACTTGATTAATTACAATTTCTTCTAAATCTAAAAAGATACGCATTTAATAACAATCATGTGATGTTTATCATAGTTTGTGAAAGCAAATAAATGATACATACACAACATTGAATGTGGCATATATATTTACCATCATGTTTGGATGAAAGCCATAATGAGCCGATGATGGTGATGAAGATGGTATGGATGGATATCCTCCTTGCATCCTTACATCCTCCTACATTATTCAACATTCATATACTCCATTTAGATCAATAAGACGAAACAAACGCAGGATGATGAATCTGCATCTATAAACTATATCATTCCGAAATTGGATTAAGATATTAAAACAAAAAAAAAATTGTTGTGACGAGATACAGGTTATGCTATAGATGTGAATATGCTTACTTATTGCATACAATTAGCAATCATGATTAGAATCATCTTTAGTTAGTGTACCGGTCAAAAATTATCTTGATGAAATGATCAGAGAGTTTAAAACTAGTATATACTACTAAACTATTTCTTGACGGATCTATATACGTATATTGTGTGTGCAATTTGTACCTGGTGATTGAAAGTTGAGGGATGATAAGAAGGATAAGTATTGAAACTGTTGCAGTTAAATTCGCCATGTAATCTAATCTTTTCCAACTGCGCGACGCCAAGACCTCTCTGTGGCTGCTTAGGCTTGTCAGAACCGTTCTTGTTCTTCCCTCGTTTTGCAGGGGAAGAAGAAGATGATGTTGGTGAGGAAGACGAAGATCCACCCATTTTTGGTCTTCCAAAGAAACTACTACCCATTTCTTTGGCTTAAACCGGAGAATAATAATAATCGTCGAGAACTAGAGAGAGAAAGTCTTGCTAGAGAGAGAAAAACCCAACAATACTTTTGTGCGTGTGTGGGGTTGGTTGCTTAGTTTTGAGCTGAGGAATCGGAGAGATCTCCAATGGTGATATCTCCTTTATAATCTGTTTATTTTATCTTATAAAAAAAATCTTTTTTTATGTTTTGTTTTTAAGATCAGTAACTACTGCATCGCTGGATCAGATTGTGTCCAGATTTCATTAGATACGTCTCGCACACACATACATACATATACATTACATAGATTTTATGCCCTTATTTTGATTTCACAATTAATTCTGACAAAAAAGCATTTTATAAATAACAATGATTGTGTAGTATTTAAATCAATGAATTATCCTTTTGTTTTCTTTTTTTTTCCTCGGTTTTGAATGACTTCCAACACAAAAGACTATAAACATTTAAATAAAAATACAGATCGGAGCTTATTACAATATTATTCTCATATTGACCCACATAACCATAAGTGAAAAAGCTAATGTTATTATTGTATTTTCATATACTCTATGGTCAGGTCCACATAGATATTATCAATGCATTTGTTAGTTTTCATGTAATTCCGAAACTTTTTTTTTTTTTATCGAAACTTAGAAACTCAAAAATAAGAACTGAATCAGAAACGGATTTAGCTTGAGCATTTTTTGTAGTATTTTGTTTCCTTATTGTTTTCCTCTGCCGCATCATAGCTTTCTCAAAGTATACTGGTTTTATTATTAATGCGTTGTTTTTTTACATATAACTAACTATAAATAATGTATCAATAAATGATTTGGCAGGCTGTCAAAAATATAAAGAAGATTTTGCTGGGACAGCAATGGGATAAAAATAGCTTTGAGATTTTTGTTTTACTTTAGTGGGATGTAAATGTAGATAAAGACTTACTAAGAAAAGCTGAAAAAGGAAAGCAATCGAACTATATAATATATAACGTAAACGACTTAAATTTATTTAATTGCATATTATTGTTTGTATCAAAAGACATATTCAATCTACAGATTCAATATATATTATTTTTAAAAAAATATTTTGAAGCTTCTTGTAGTATCTTTATTGTACACGTGTGTACATCATAAAGTTTTATTTCTAGTTGCAATACTTAAGTAGTTTTTTTTTATTAAAGACCTAATATAGTTAGCGGTCCAAATTGTATATCTTAGTTGTAATTTATTTACTACAATGTATTACGATTTTTTTCCCGAGACAATACAGTCTCCTATATAGTTCCATCTTTTGTAAATGTTGTGTACTTGTGTACGTCTACTATAAAATGACGTAGTTCGGTATAGTTGTTGACTATGAAGTTAAATTATGTATGTACATGTGTTTAAACATTAATTTCACTATTTCTATAATACAATTTTTTTTTGATTAAAAAGTAGTTTTCAAAAAACAAAACGTCATAATTTTTAGATTACATCATAAAGATATATTCATTTTTCTTTTTGAGTTTATGCTCAAAATTTTTAATGTTAATTAATATCAGAACTAATATATTACAAAGCTTTCTAGTATGAAGAACGTAAATAAAATTGAGAAATCGACTACAAAATCAAAATTGTATTCAACCATATTCTTTGGAATTAACTTATATATATACATTGACAAAAAAATGATCCCCATTATATACACTATATATAATCACAACAAAAAAATGATCCCCGTTATATACACTATATATAATCACCCCTGCTGTCTTTCTCATAACGGAGTTAAATGGTCACTAGGAAAATAAATAAATGTTTCTTTTTTTCTGCAAATAAATGTTATTAAAACGTGTTTTAATTTCTATTATGATTATCCAACCAAAAAGTCAGACATATCACCCGGTCGATGCTCTCCTTGCATTATTAGAATAGTATCACCAAAATTAAATCTTATTTGTTTTTACTCCATTTATTTCTAAAGACAAAATATTTAATTTTCATAATTTAAGAATGTTCTCGTAAATTTGTTTTAGAAAAACAAATGAGAGTTGTATATCGTATCATCCAACAAAAATTATCAATAGAATAACGTATCACAAACAGTACATTTCAATGACATTAGTTATTTTCTAGTTTCTAAAGACAGTATCACTAACATGCATAATTACTTAACCCTTTTTTTTTTTGAAAAAGATAATTACTTAACCATTTTTATAAGTAGCTTCTTAAAAATTCTTCAGTTATGGTGTGAGGACAAGTTTTCGGCTGTAGTATTAGAGACTATGGATGCTCTAAATATAAAACGATCGAGCATCGATTAGTTTTATATTAGCTACAAATACAATTATCCTAATTTATATATAAGCACAAAATAGTAATTATTAATTACAATATATTTATGTCGTGAATCATGTGATCCCCCGAACATCTCTCCTAGCCTATATAACTTAATAAATAATAATTAAGTAGCAAAAGGGTCACCATTTTTTAAAGACAAGGAACTAACAGGTGTGTGCCACTTGGTAGGTCAGATGCTGACGAAATAATATTCTTTCTTAGTAATGACGCCACTTTCAGTTTGATTAGTAAGTAAACTTAATATTTTAGTGATATGTTTAATATACAAATAGGTTTTGAATGGTAATCATGTTTTACCTTACAAACGAATTGTTGAGATAAACCTCCCTCGGACAGAGAGTTCACGAGTTATATTCCTACTAGTTGCACGTTTTGGATAATCCGAGTGTGTCGATCACGGTGATAACTGTTCCGACTAGTTTACTGAGCTTTTAGATTCGCTATGAACAAAACAAAAACTCCAATTTATAGATGAGACGATGACAAAGATTTAGGCTCATGAGCCATGATTATTGGTTGCATTTGCACGACAAACAATCCTAAGATCCGGTCAACTGTGACAATCGTTGCTCGTGCTCACAGATTTGTTGGTTCAGTTATATATGGGAATATTTTGTCGATGCTATATGTGATTTGATGAGTAATGTAACATTTGATCGATCTTGTCTTTGAATCTATGTTTTTTTTTTTGAACATTTGTCTTTAAATCTATGTTTTCCAGTATATATTATCCGTATGTACATTTTGGATTTGAATGGTATGCAGTTTTTTCACGTTTTCACGTTTTGAAAACTTGATTCTGTTATTTTTTACCTTAGTTATAACAAATTAGTTTCCTATTTCACAAAATTCGTAAGCAATTATCGTCCAATAACTCAATAATATTGATGGGGATATTTGCGTGTTTTGATGATCTCTCACATGGTATTAAAGAATATATCTCCATAGGTCATCTATTTTTTTTTAAGAAAATAGAAGTAAAACAAAGTTTAGCTGTAAAGTTATGTTGGGAGCAGATGTAAAAAAAAAATGTACATTGAAGATGATCCAATAATCAGATGATTTTTTTTAATAAATAAATCTCCATTACTTACTATAACACAACTTTTGAATTCCGGTTGCTATATATATGCAGATTTAAAATTGGATGGTGAAAACACTAATCAATTTCACAAGGTTTATATCTCAGGTCAGTATAACACAATAATAATTACAAAGCATAGTGGAGAGAATGTATACACCAAAATTAGTTTAAAATATATGAAATAATAACATCTACCGTAGATTTCGTGCACATGCATTCCCCTGCTACATTATATTACACTGTCTATATATCTCTTTCTTACTGAATTTTAAAATGTTTGTCATATTTATTTTGTAATATACTTTTTAATAAAATATGAACCCGAATCAAATCGTATTGATCCTCTTACTCACCTTGACAACCAATCAAACATAAAAAGTTCCATTATTTTGCAGAATAATCCTTAGTTTCTTTTCTTCTCTTAACTATATGTTTGTTTTTAATTTAGATTAGATGTTTTGATAAGTAAAATATTGATGTAATGGAGTTTTAGTTGTATTTTTTTTCTTTGGTTGCTAATATATGATAAAAGTATAAAACTGATGGTGTGGTATGAAGTATATCAAACTAAAATGACCAACTTTTGCTACATACACCAGAGATGCCGATAATTGTGTTAAATGAAGGCAGTTGGGTTTTGGAAGTTCAAAAAATAAAAACAAAAACTAAAAGCGGACAATTAAACAAACATGCAAAGCAAGCAGACAAATAATTAAATAACTAAACGAATCAAGCAAAAGCGAAGTAACAAACAATTAAGAAACAAGATAAAGGTTTGATTAGTGGGAATTGACCATAAACAAGCATGAAGGATGATTTAATTAAGATAAAGAGTATATTTGAAGCAGAATTCTAGAGCATGGCATCACTATAATGTGAGACTCACACTCTACAAGTTCGACTTCAAATCATGGATCTTACTCTGATTTGATGACCAAATGTGAAGTTGATTGATTTAGCGGTGGGAAGCATGCATGATCTTCTGAATGCAAAACTATATGTCACTGCCAATTTTGAAGTCAATGAAAAACTATTTTTCACTTTGTTAAATAAAAACCCAAACTTTTATGTCTTCAGGCTCTTCCCGCAACTGTCATTTATTAAAAAATCTAGTTTCTCTTATGTTTTTGTACTGGAGCAAGGGACACATTACATATGGACGTTATGGGATTAAAATAATTATCTTTTGTCACAAATAATTTATCCACAGATTTTCATAATATAGTATTTATTACTTAAGGATATTACATCCAATTAAATTGATTTCAGCTGTGGAGATTATATTAATTCAATAAATGAGGAGATCCTGGTCACATAAACACACATGCATAACGTACCAAAAACCAACTGGCTGTTCAAATTTCAACAACTCTATCAATTATATAAATAAAATATTCTGTTGATTTCCATACATGATGTATTTTTGTGGAATTATTTTTTTTTAATCCTGGTTTTAGTTATGATTTTGCAGAATGTAATGCGGACGTGCATAATTTGACAATTTAACAACGTCGAAGCTCTGTTTATCTCCACTAATGTATACATTGATTCATATTTGGTTTTAATTGCACCGAGCAGAACTGAAGCATCTAATTAATAACATATCATGTAAATATTTGACAAGTTCAAATTATGTTGACTTATTGCTATAGCTTAGGCATCATGAACACGATAATAAGAGTCAAGTGTTCACATTCTAAGATCTTGTAGTTATGTTTTTATAATGCAAATCGTAGTTATTAAACTTGTGGAGGTAAAAAAGGTTTTGATTTTAGAATAAAGAAAAGAGAAAGCGAAGGTGTTTGACAAAAGAAGAGCATCTCTCCACATGCAAGGGCTTCAGGATTCAGGAAGCTGATATCGCAGTTTCCAAGGTCATCATCTCTATCTAGTTGTCTACCAAACTCACTTCAGATTATATATTATACTATTACAAACAAGATGTGATTTGTCTCCATGATCATCTCCTTAAATATATATACCACAGTTTAATAATTACATTGATTTCGTTTATACTCGAACCATTACTAAAAATCTTAATGATCACAAGTTGACCAGACACTTGGTAAAACTAAATCACGTTTTTAGTAGGCATAATACATTTTATCTTTTCATATAGAACGCAATCTTTCTCATCATTATTGGTTATATATATAGTTTGAGTATATATTCCCAACATTCACGTTATTCATATTTTTCACAAATTTATTATTCGTATACCTGGTTCTAGTACAATATGCTGTTTACTTGGAAACATTAAATATGCAAATGTATCGAACTTTTATGACAATAAACAAAATATGTCGAAGTCATATTTCTCTAATGTCTCCTAATAATCTACGCCTATGAATAAGTTCGAAGAAGACATTATTATTGCAAATTGGGTTGGGTCTTCCTTCTCTCTCTCTTCCAAAGTATATCTGAAAACAAAAATAAAGTAAAATAAAACATTTGTAGCTAAAACGACATCCCTAGTTGTCTTGCGTGATCTATCCTTGGATATGGCTTATGGACATGTTGGTTTGTTTAAGGTTATGCCTGTTTTGTTGTTGATGATATTATTCCTAAATAATTGGGGCTACATATACGTTTTCGAATTCTAATTATCTATTGTCTCGCATTTGAATTAATATTCATCATATATTGATCGGCATATTATTGATTGATTACAACAAATATGTAGTTTTTGGCTAGTGCGACAGACATCCATTTAACAGTTATATTTGATTCCGAGATTAATATATAAGCATTGACCGATAAATTATCATTACGAAACAGTGAGGTTTTTGGTTAAATTTGCGTACGTATATATAAATGCATGTGTAGTCGATGAAATGTTCGTCCCACGTGGGAGAAGATATAAAGTAATCAAGAGATCATCGTTGATGCTGAATCTTTATTAGCTCTAAGCGAATAAATTAAGGAGTATCTCTCATATCTGTTCGATGAAGCTTCCTCCACCACTAGCCATACAAATATATTAGTTAATTAATCACAAATTAACTAATACTCTAATACCTTTCCAACTTTTCCTTCTCTCCTTTCTGTATGATTATTACTTTTTGTTAAGCTTTAACAATCTTTTAGATAGTACAGATTTGATTCATTGGCTGATTATGTATTAATTAATTAAGTTGGCATCCATGCTGTTCCTGCTATTAAATAACATTTTTTTTTGAATAAATTTATTTACTAACTAATACCAAGGAATAGTTTTCACTTTTCATTTCTCATTCAGAATTTTTTTGTGACTTTCAAAAATATAAGTATTCAATTAGGACTTAGTAGGGACATTCCGGTTTTCAATTTACCTCAATTTTTTCGATTTCTTAGCCTGTTTAAAACTTTAAATTGTTACTGAACTAAAACATAAAGTACTATTGTCTTGTTTTATTTTGTTGGATTTGGAACAAAGAGAGATACCAACACACAATTATTTTTTCGAAAATAATCAACATATAAATACTAGTATTGCAGTAGATCTCACATAGTAACTTATTTTCAAAATCCAGTTATTGACATTGAAAATATGGTTGGTTTTACGAAATTTCAGTTGTTATTCGAGCTCAATATCAGAGCATGGCTGGAGCATTTGAGTTCACTAATTTCACTGCTTAAGATTGTAAAATCTGGTTTTGAGAAATGTCCATTGACTGAGATTAAAGAGATACAGAGACGCAGAGAGGGGATCTTTTGCCGAAATCTGAGAGCATAAAACTTGACTTCATATCAAGAATCCTTTCATATATATCAATCAATCTTAAGTTCTTAACTCAATGCTAAACATTTCAAGACCTGACGGTCTAGTTCTTAGGCTCAAAACGCCAGAGATCAACAGCAATATCGACTTCTTTTCGCTTGTGGAACTTGTAGAGTTTCGGCAAGTCATACCGGAGCTGCAAGCAAAACAATGTGAACGAGAGTTAGAATTTTCACAAACAACATTCACATCAGAGAAGTTTCAAAATCTTTTATCCTCACCTCACAAAGAACTTCAGCACTTTTCGCATTGAAATCACGCAACGCCGCCTTTTTAATATGCTGCAAGAATGTAATCAAAGGTTTGTTACTAACAAACAAACATATATAGTCAAGCGTGAATAGTAAGTATCACTGTAAGGAAGAAGGAAAGCTTTGCTTACTTCTCTCGTAGATGTCTTATGCAATGAATAAACAGCTTGTGAGGCGACCTACGTAACAAAAAAATACATTGAAGATTTTACAGAAAACAGTAAAAAAAAGAGATTTTGTATTCCTGTTGTTACCTTCATTGCGGCAGAGAGAAACTCCATGTCAGCTCCTTTCTTTCGTGTACCAAAGGGAGGATTCATTACAACGGTATCTACAATCTGGCCTATATAACAATTCATGGATTAAAAGCATAAATGTTACCGGTAGATTCTTTTCTTTGTTGCAATGAAACTAAAAACTGAAAGAGGGTTTTTACCTTTTAACTCTAGTTTTGTAATGTCACACTGAACGAAATCAATCTCCACCTCAAGTTCCTCTGCATTTAGTGCTGCTGTTTCAAGAGATTGAGGGTCGATATCGAATCCAATCACGCAACTGTTTTTGAAGCAACAAAGAGATTAATAAACCATAGAGAAAGAACTAGATGCATTGATGAGAGAAGAGAGAAGAGTGAAGTAAAGATGATGATGATGATTAATACACTCACGCTGCATCTAGAAGAGCAGCAGCAGCACTAAGAGTACCACATCCACAGCCAAAATCCGCGACAACCTTATCAGTTATGTCTCCATATGAATTCTCTGCCTAAACAAGGAACATATTCATTTTCAACACACACACACACACTTCAAGCTTCAAGAAACAGAAACAAAGTCAAGCCAAATCACACAACTCAGACTACAGGAATCTTACATCCACACATTGAAATCATTACTAGCTCTGTTATGAATCAGTCTCTCTCTCCACCCAAATAAACACAGAGTCGAGCAAAACGCACAATGACACAGAGAGCATGAAATTAAACGCATAGGCAAAAGTAAGAAACTTTTGAGCTAAGAGAAAGAGATTTTACAGTGAAAAGCATGCGAGAAGCAATGTGAGGACCAGTTGGGTATTGCTCCAATTCCACCTGCGACACCAAATATCAAAAGAGTTTGTTTTGACGAAATCAGTAACTAATTTCCAGAAATAAATAAGCTTATCATTCAAAGACCTAATTTTTTTCACTTACTTTAGGATTGGAGAACTGCTCAAGATCACCCAACAAGCCTTCTAGTTGCTTCAGCTTCATCTTCTCCGGCGCCTCTGAATTCTGTTCACAAAGCATATAAAAAAAAAATGCCTCCGAAGACAAGTAAAAATGGCAAAGAAACATTATGGACCGAGTAGGCCCAATGGGCTTTTCGCGCTCTTTCTCTCTCTCTCGAAATATAGCCCCTTGGGCTTTTACGCTCCCTCACTCTTTTGTCAAGAGGTAAACACTGATTACTGATTACCTCCCAAGGTTTCTTCTTCCCAGAATCGCGTCGCTCGCTGAGAAAGAGATACAGAGAGATGTGTCCTCGAGCTGCTCAAACATGCGAAATCTGCAAGAACGTTGTATCCAAATACAAGTGCCCTTCTTGTCTTGTTCCTTAGTAAGTCTTCTTCTTCGTCTTCGTCTTTGCCTCTTTTTTTTTTTTTTTCATTAAGTCATTGATTTCACTTCGTTATGTGTCCTGCAGCTGCTCATTGGTTTGTTTCAAGAAGCACAAAGGCAAGTTATTTTGTTTTCCTTTCGAATTCGTAGACATAAAATCGGAATCAGCTCCCTGATTGATGTTAATTTCTACATGAGACCTTGTGTATTGGACTTTGTAATTGAATTCGACGAGTGTCTCTATTTGATTTCGTATGTTAGCTTCTTGATCGTACCCCAAGAGAAAGAAATCTGTTTTGCTTCGATGAAGTGTTGGCTGAAGAATCTTGATTCACTTTGGCTTTGTGTTGACGTCGTTTCTAACTATGTAATCTGACCAATGTTGCAGAGACTCCATGTGCTAAACCTTCATCAACCGAGGAAAAGCCAGGTTAGTCTGCATTTAGTCATTTTGATTGTTTCTTGATTTTACTCTTCCGTGGTTTGGTTTATTCGATTACTCGCTTTGATCAGTGTTTAGTGTGAATTATGATTTTGAGTCATGATGATCTGGTTTTGTAGCTTCTCCAGCAAAGGAAGTTACGGGACATGTAGAGGAAGCGAAGGATGTTGTAAAAGAGACACAGCTCAAGGCTATTGGTATGGTTCTTCCAACAAAGTCTCGTTTAGATTTTCAAAACCCTCTAAAGTAGCCAGAGATGGTCGTGTGAACATGGGGTTTTGAGTCATTTTGCTGTGTTTTGTGGCTGCATCTCCAGCAAAGGAAGTTCCGGTGGCAAGACCGATACGTGTAGAGGAAGAAAAATATGTATTAGAGAAGACACAGCTCGAGGCTATCGGTAATGTTCTTACAACTGCCTCTCGTATAGAATAATTGGCGAGTTTCGATACCTTTGTCTCAAGTAGTTGGATAGCAAACTGTTGGACGAATCTGTATACACATTCATAGGCCATTTCCAAATCTGGAAACGTTTTCTTGCAGCTTCTTCTAGTGAAATCCGAGAAGCTCTAAAGGATGAAGCCATTCGGAAACTCATCTGCAATATTGATAGTTCTTCCAACCCTTTACTGGTACGCTCCTCTGCATCGTCACGGTTTCATCAATGATTTAAATCTTTCTGTTACTTATCTCCTTCAACAAGATTTTGACGAAACTATTTTGTGGTATTTAGGAACTCGATGAAGCCATGGGAGTAGAAGCTTTCCGCGTATTCACAGATAAGGTACAGTCTTTGAAAGTCTTTATCTTCTTTTCATGAAAACCTTGCAACATCGATGACCAGCAAAAGAGCATCTGCTAAGTTTGTCACCTTGGTTATTTGCAGATTCTATCGAACATCGCCAAGAGTAATGACGAGCAATGATCGTAGTTGCATCCGAAGAGAAGTTCCTGAAGTATTCTTGATTAGTGTTATAATTGGACAAGAGAAATGTTCATTGGCTGTGAAAAAAAAACAATGCCGTTTTGGTAAACACATAGATCTCTTGTTTGGCCAACGCTGAAACATGTGTATATATATTAACGCCGAGATTCCAGGTTTTTCTTACGTTTACATTAACCGAAAAAGGGACCCTACGACTTACTTTAGCCTATAAACAGACCAGTAATTTTACATGTTAGCTCTCTGGTAATCTACAATTTTTGTGATTTGCTTGGATGACTGATCATTTTTTCATAACTCCACGCGTCAACCTGCAAGAAACACGACGAAGATGTGTAGCTTCTGTCAGAATCTTGAACGTTAACTCGACTCGCAACAAAAGCCTGGTTTTCTTACTAACCTTTTGGTTGATTCTCCTGATCATCAGGCTCCTTGCTACTAGCCTGGGTAAAACTGATCTGTGATGTTGCTTGATTCTATAAGAAGAAAGATTAAAGAAAAAAAGGATTGTGAGCATCACCATTCGTAGGAACAGAGGCCTAAGCACAAGGGATACCTGCAATGGAGGAGGAGGTTGTTGCTGCTGCATCTGGTGGAGACCAACAAATTGGCTATAAGGATTCCAGTAACCGGGCACCTGAGGCTGGTTCGTCGTCGGGTCAGGCTGCTGACTTGGCAACTGGACTCTGGAGGAGTCTAAGGCTTGACTGTCTGGAAAAGGGTAAGGCGGTGCGGGAAATGGTGGACCTGGACCGGCCATATGAGCCGGTCTAGGAAAAGCTGTGCCTGGGAAAGGAATACATGGAGGCCGGTTCATACCCATCATCCCCATGGCCATGTGGGGCATGAATCGTTGCATATCTGGTGTACATATCATCGGCATCATACCGCCACCTCCCGTCGACATCATCTGCATAACAACATTGATTTAGGTGGTTAAAATCTCAGACATGATCTGCAGATTCTTCTTCACAACGCTGTAAAATTTGGGAACCAAAATTCAAGACTTGCAAAAAAAAAAAAGAGTAGAGAAGGTCTTGAAGAGCAGAGCATAATAAAAGTAATCAGGTATTGGCCCATCCATCTAAACCAAGTACCACTGTTTCCAAGTAGAGAGACTTATAAGATTTGCATATATCTTCCATGAAACTTTATAACCCTTCCAAGAAGATGAATCTGCAGACATCAAAACTAAAAGATGGCTGCTTATGAACTTAAATCCACGGTTGCGGCTGGAAACGCTGGTTAATAAACAACAAAAAAGAGACTCTAATGAATCCCAACAAGATCAGATTCATTTCTAAACACTTTCCATGTTCAACCATTCCGCAAGAGATCTATGACCAATGGAGCGAAAGCAAAAACTTTGTTTTTTGTACACAAACGATGTTTTTGAGGACATGCCTGTATTTGCATCTGTAGTGATTTCACGTACTCGATAGCATCCTCCAGCATTGAAGCTTTATCAGACTGATCAGATTAGAGACAGACCAAATTTTAACCAGAATCAATCTTACCTCGAGTTTTTTTTTTTTAAAAAATAAAGATATAAGAAACTGGGGACAGACAGACCTTGTTGCAGCGAGGAATGAGTTCTTGGAGAGCCTTCATCTTCTCGTTGATCCTTTCTCTCCGTCTCTGTATCAAAAAAGAATGCTACATTTCAATGGAGATGAAACAGGAGAGTCTATATTTGAAACCCAAAAAGGAAGTTTCAAGAACCCTTTCGGAGATATTATGCATTTCTGCAGCTCGTGACCTCTTCCTGCTTGTTGAACCACGAGGTTCTTCAGTTTCCTGTACGCCAAGAAACAAACAAAAAAAAGTAATAATAATAAGCCCTTTGACTGCTATACTGCACGCGCCGGGTGACTAACACGCGCCGAAATCGGGTGCGCAGGTTAACAAATTTGGGGGTTACCTGGATTTCGTCAGCGGTTTCTTCTCTCTCCTTTCGCTTCCTCTCATCGGCAGTTCCCGTCTCCGTCGCTGGCTCTATCGGAATCGGCTCTGTTTCGGTCTTTGTTACCGCCGAAGACGATGGTCCGGCGATATCAGTCGCCTTCCGACTAAGACTGGGAACTTGAAAAGTGTGGGAGACTCCGCCAATGACCGTCGCTCGACTCTCGGTGCCTTCCGTGGCTGGTGTTAGAGATGACCCAGTCGCCGAAGACATCGGAATCCACGGTGCGGCTGCTTCAACTCTACCGCCGGTAAATAAGCTCGCTCTTAGCCTCAAGAAGTTCATAAAGTTCTCCGCCGTTCTCGCTGAGATAAACTGACCGGTCGGTCTCACCGCAGGAAGATCGTACGGAGCCCTAGTAGGTGGTGGTGGTGGTGGTGGTAGTGGTGGTAGTCCGAGAGAGAGGGAACTCTGCGGCGGCTGGGTAGATGTAGCTGAGACGACGCCGGAGTAGAAAAGATGGGAGTGGAATTCGTCTTCGCCGCCGAGAGGATGGTGAAGCCAAGACGCCATTTCGTCTTCGCGGATGAAGAGGTTCTGATCAGACGGCTGCTGGTGAATCTGGAGAGGCGGAGGATGCGGAACCGGAGCATTTTCTTCTCCTCCGCCGCCGCCACTTCCGCTACCGCGGAGAATGAGGGGAGGAGGAGGAGGAGTAGTGGGACTCTGTGTCTGGCTGCTTTCAACGATTTGGCCGCTCTTCCATAAGAGCTCCACGATATCATCTTCACCCCTTGAAACAAAACCCCAAGAATTCATCAAATTGCAGAAACAATAAGCAAAAGAGAAGGAAAGGATATTTTTTTTTTTAATAAAGGGTTTACTGAAAGGAGCTTATATTACATGATGGATTTTATATGATAGTTCCTGAGGGAGGTTTCAAGGAGGAGGAAGAAGTAGAAGAACGAGAAGAATGTGGAATGGTATAATCATCGTCGGTTTTGAAGTCGGGAACAAAAACGATTCATATCTTCTTGACTTGAGGGACAAAAAGAAACAAAAAGTTATAAGAGAAGCCCAGAAACAAAGATTGGAAACTTGTGAAAGTGTAGGCTTTTATCAAAAGAAAATATAATAATATTGAGTCACTTAATATATTATTAACTTCATAAGAAAGTAACATTTGTCGTCGTCGCTGTTTCTCTAGTGTATAACTCAGAAAGCTCCAAGAAGCCACCCAGAGAACAGAAAAAAACCTGCGGAAAAAAACTGAAAACTTTGATAGTGATGGTCTGGCATATAGTGGACGGGTCAGATTCGTTGAACATCTCTTTTTTGTTTTTCTTCTACTGAATTCTTCTTGTTTTATCTCTTTGTTTGTCTCATCCTCTCTCAGATTTTTGTGCTTCTGTATAAGCTCTCTCTATCTCTCTCCTCGAAAGTGAGTGTCTCTGTGCGTGCTATGCCGATTTTTTTAAGTATTTCCAATGATGTCATCACTCTCCACAGAGACTCCTTGTTACTCTATGTCATCTCTTTGTCTTCCTTGTTGTCATATGATGAACATACATATGGGAAACAAGCTAAGCTACTGTTTTTATGACAGCCCATATCTAAAGAGAATCTCTGGATGAATATTCTATCAAGACCTAAAGTAGATTCTCCTATATATCAACCTTCTTCTTACTTCTTACTTCTTATCTAGCCCCCCCCCCCTCTATAGAGAATCTCTGCCGCATTATTTTTCTGTTTCAGTTTCTTTTTCTTTTTGTTTTATCCACTTTTCAGAAACACACACATGAATATATTTAATAATTTCATAACACATATTTTAATGATATAGTTAAGTTTTTTTTGTTTCTACTTAAAAAATGTAAACTTGAGGATAAAAGTTCTACTATATTTATATTTGATAAGTTTAAATGCTTTAACTAATACTCTGGCCGAAAGTTTTTAGAGAGAGAGAGAGAGAGAGGAATGAAACAAGATAATTTCTCTCTCACCAACATTCATAAATTATTTCTCTCTCAACTAGAGCGGTTGGATAGAGTAAACCGTGTGTCAAATGGTTTCTCAACAATACCATCCCATGCATGTTGGTATCCATTTAAAAAAATAATAATAATAATAGCATAGTTTAATATGCATGTTAATTATAAGAAAGAGATTAATATAACGAAACAAAGTTGCTTCTCTCGCCAAAGTTTGTAGATTGTAGAGCCTTTCATAAATAGAACGGTCATATAGAGTAAATTGTGTGCCAATCGGTTTCTCATCATACAATACCATTTCATGTTAGTATTCATATGCATGTATATATGAGTCTTTTTCTTCAGTGTTTGGCCAAACTTGAATTGAGAAAAAATACAAATACAAGAACCAAAACCAAGCTCATTTAGTAGTTGAAAGATTTATCAAAAGAAACGACATATCTAAGAGAAGTCCATAAACACATAATGAAAATTTGTGAACTGTATACCTTTTTTTTTTTAATCAAATTATGAATTGTGAAAACTTCATACGAAGGAAAGGAACAGAAAAACTTCGTCGCGATTTCTCAAGTTTACCCGGAAAACTTCAAAAACAAAACAGAAACTGGATTTTTTAATGATGACATTTTTCACCGATAGATAAGTATTTCATTTTTTTTTAATCCGTTTGTCGGATTCTCTCTCTCTGAGATTTTGTGGTTCAGAATAAACTCTCCACATCTCTCTATTCCTCGGAAGTGAGTGTCTATATGTGCGTGTTATGACATATTTGGTATTCCCAATGACGTTATCACTCTTCACGTCGTCTCTTTTGTCTCTATTCATCTGCTTTCGTCATTTTGATGGCTCCATAAAAACACCTAAAGACAATATATATAGTGAGGTTATTGTATCAACTTAAGGAAACAACACTGGTCTTCTTGCGCCCATCCTTTCTGCATGCATTATCAATTTAACATTTAGTTTTGCATGTAATTTAAACATTTAGTTATTGGCTCTTGTCTGCAGCGACTTTTGGATTTCTTCTCGGGACACTTAACCACGTAGCCAAGAAAATGTCCATCTATTTCAAATATATATAACAAACAAAATTTAAGAGTGTGACAATTTAGGTTTGTTTTACTTCACAATTATATTTGTACAACACATATTTCGGATCTTTGGTTAGGTTTTCAATTTAGCATGAATATATAACAAGAACATGTGTGTAAGTATGCATTTTTTTTTTTTTAAAACCACACAATCATATGGCTAGAGAACTTTAGAACATTCCACATCATGGAGCGGTCTGTCACATTAAACATGTCCGTCATATCCCATAGGCAACATCTCCGATATTAATTATATCATGAATAAGAGTCTGGTTAATCAATAATCATCATTAAGGTTTAACGTGTTTTTTTGTTTTTTTTTTGCCGCTGTTATTGCGGATCTGAGCAGGGTTTTATAAAGCCCTAGACAAAATGTCCAGGAAAGTGGAAACAGAAATGAGAAAACAGAGCTGAAACAGAGACTTCCACATTTGAGAGAGAACTAAAGAAACCCCTAATTTTGAGGAAGAGAAGGGTTTCAGTTACAAAAGCAACACTAGCCATAGTATGGCAAAATCATGGAAAATTGGAAATAATACACAACATAATGATAATATAGTAGTATTTATTTAAAGCCGCTACCGACAAAAAAGTAAATAGAGATATCAAAATTACACTTGCATATTAGACATCGTGTGTCACGTATAATATAGATAGTGAAAATAATTGCTAATTCGTCAATCATATTCTGGAGTCTAAAGCCATGATAGTGCTAAGGTTCATGGGGTTCATGTATTCAATAGAGCCAGTCATGATCTGTTGGACGATGAGTCGAGTGGCTTTCTCGGTCGGATGGAAAGGGTCCCAAAATGCATAGGCGTTGCGGTCAGGGCATAGGCTCGACAACGGGTTGCAAACGCCTTGCCCGTTGTATGCTCCTTGTCCACAACACGCTACCTTCGACGTCACGAAACCTATGAAAATTAGGTCAGAAACATGATTCACGACCTATAACAAAAACAAAAAAAGACTCATGACATATAAAGGTTTGGATTAAAGATGTAGAATGGTGGAGTGATGGGAAAAAATATCAATGAAAAAAAAATCAATTTAACATATAAACTTGAAGAATAGCATAATGGATCAATATAAATCGCAATTTCATAAATATTCTACGAGTAGAAGAAATATTACGGAGTGGCATTAACCATTATGATGTTTTTTTTTTACCATTCCGTAGTTTACCAATTTCAAAAGCATTGAAGGAGTACTTACCAAATCTTTGGGGATTGTTGATGAAATCTGCATTCATATTGAAGGCATTAGCCCCAATGAAAACATCAGAACCAATCTCACGGTTAAGCCCTTGAAGCATTTGATCCAAAAGCGGATTGAAGATCGCTGCAGCCTGTTGTGCCTCGGGTGCACATTCTCCGTTTGCGCTTCCCGATGAGGCGAGCTCAGCCGGTACGCAACCCAACGGTCCTGTCCCCGTCACCATCACCCTCCTCGCTCCCAACTCATATAGCTTCTGTATCACCAAATAAGAGTCACAAAGCGTGAGAGATTACTACACACACAAAAAACCTAAACCTAACGTGCGCCCCAAAGAAACATATATATATGTATACCATGAGGATTTTCTTGTATTCGGAGATGAGAAGCTGGCTAAATTCGCCGAGAGATGATTGACGGCCTCTCGCAGAGAAGGGAAAGAAGTAGTTGTTGACGAAATCGTTGCCGCCGAGAGTCATGAGGACAAGAGCTCCGTTTACAAGCTGTTGTGTTTTGTCTGAACCAATAATCTCACTCACTCTCTCTTGATACTCTTGGAACAGCTCGAATTGCCTACCGATCCTTAGTATGTTCAACTGCATTAATTATCCCCAACACCAAACAAACATATAAGATTTCGGACCAAACAATGATGACATTGGCTTTTCATTTATTTTTGTCTTTGATAATTTTAACAAATTAATTACACCATCTGTTGGAAAAAAAAATATTCAGCTGGTAATTTGAAGGAAATTTAGTCTTAAGCCCCATAATCACTCGATTAAAAATGAATTGGGACAGAAAAAATGCGATAAATGACATACAAATTGAACGCCCGTGTCGTTGAGAATTCCGATGCCGGCAGAGGCAAAATTAGCTCCGACCAATAGCTTCTCTCCGGTGAGTTCAGGACTAAGGATCGGTAATGTAGGCTCAGATCCAATTTGTTCACCTAAACCCCAAGCAAAAATCAGTTAATATATAGCTCTACACAAGATTGGACAAAAAAAGAGAGAAATGCTATAAACAATTAAATAAACTAAAACGACGTCGTACTAATGATGTCGGGGAGGTTCAAGCCGTTGGAGAAACGACCGGTTGGACGACCAGTCGGATAATCGATACCGTACGGTGGAGAATCGGCACGAGCGGTGGTGACTAAGTAATTGTTATTACCACTGTCCACGAGTGAATCGCCAAACACGTAGAACGCTCGAGCCGCGTTTGTTTGTTGCGGCATAAGAAACAGCGTTCCCCATAACGCGGCGGAGAGATATATCGAGGTGAGGAGAAGGATGTGCATGATGATGTAAAGCGAAAGCTATCGGAGTAGTTTTGTAATCTATTTTTAAAAGTTAAAAAAATGAAGATTAGTCTCCAGCTCTATGGCAAGTCTCTTTGTTTGTCATAAAACTTGTAATATATACAACGGAAAATTAATATTAATGGTTTACATTTTTTGGTGTGTGTAATAAATGTTATGTTGTTGTCGGCATCTGCTTATGAGAAAACAAAGCTGGTTCTAATCAAGAGAGAACCATTTGAAATACAATTAACTCAATCGGTAAGAGAAGCACACGTACGATAATAATCGTATAGCATTTGGTTTGAGAGTAATATGAAACGTAATAAGGACGAGAATAAGAAAAAAAAACAATAGCACATGACAAAATGACATATATCTGAATATGGTTTATCGTAATAAAAAAAAAAAAATGTTAATGCCAGTTTGCAAGCATTATAATTTGTACATATACTTAAAATCAATAAATAAAGTGAGAGAAAGAAAGAGAAAGAGGAAAGACCAAAAGGTTGTAGGTTGTTTATAAGTGGTTATCTATCTTATTCAGTCATCTACATTCTCATGCATATTATTAACTCCTGTCATCATCATTGTCATCATTCATTCCCATTTTCATCGCAATAAGCTATACCTTTAGCATCATCACTTGAAAATCTCTCCAACAGTCCCCCATTGTTGGGGAATTTGAACTTCTCAAAGAGGGAAGTCTCTTCATTATTAGTTTTTTTTTTCTACATTATGAGCTTAATTGCCGTAGCCCAATCACTAATAGGCCCAGTTACAGTAGCCCAATTAGTTTGCCGGCCTCGTTACCTCCACCAATTGCAAAGTCACAGGGGTTTCAAAATTTCATCCCTTACTTTTGACATCAAACTTTTATGTTTGTTTTCTTTAATTTGTTTCGGGTTTGTGTTTATCTCCTTGCGTGGGTCTGTCTCTTGCTAATAAATACAATAGAGTTGACCCAAAAAAATATGCGAAACATATCTAAATTATGGAATATCAGGAAGTTAATTAGTACTAACATATATAATACTGAGGATTTCGATATTGGAAAACAATAATACTACTTGAACCAATAATAATGAGGACTGAATCATTGATGCAAAGGCGACACCTTTTGTTTTTTTAACAAACAAACAATACGACACCATTAACAAAGCTTCGGATTCTCTCTTTATCCGTCAAAACAGCTTTTTTAAAATAAAAAAAAAAGTTTGCTCTCGGAGATCGCTGATCAGAATTTCGTTCTGCTTTTCATCTTCCATTCTTTCTCCGATATCGAGAAATCGTGTGAGAAGATGCGACACAATTGCTGCCATGTCTCGTTCGCTTCCGTTCTCAAGATCCTCAATTTTCTCCAAGCTTTCATCGGTGTTTCAATCATAATCTACTCGATTTGGATGCTCGATCAATACAACCATCACGTTCCCGTCGGTCCTCCTCCGCCGCAGCCCCCGGCGGCTCCATCGCCGGATTCTTATTCCTTATCTAGCTCAGGAACCGAGATCAACAGTGTTTCTGATTCCTTGAAGACTCCGATCAGTTTCGTATCGGGTATCGTTCTCGGGTCTGGTGGAGATTCGGGTTTCAGCCTCCGTTCCTTAGATCTTCCAGCTCCATGGTACTGAAAGTTTCCGTTTTTAGGGATTTCGATTCATTCTCTCCCTTATTGACTCACCTCTCTTTGGACCCACAAGCTATCTTAGATGGATTGTTCAGTTCTGGTTTAGATTTGACTGTGAAATTTTACATCCATTGCCTTTGATAGGAAACCAAATGAAAAAGGGCAAAGCTTTAAAATGTTTTGACGATGATGAGTTTGATTTTGGGTTTACATTGAGATTAAGCTAGGCTTTGGTTTGATGCTTGAAGAAATGTTCCAACTTTTAAATTCAATGCAGGTTCATCTACTCATTCATGGCGATTGGGATTTTGGTCTGCATCGTCACCATCATCGGTTTCATAGCAGCTGAAGCAATCAGTGGCTGCTGTTTGTGTTTCGTATCCTTGTATATATACATACTATATATATACAGTCTTTTAACTCTTTTTGCTTCTGTTGATATTATTCACCAATATGAGAAAAGTTTTGGGTAAGTTTAATCCTTGACAGGTCTTAGTACTCTATTCTCAAAACTCTTGTCATCATACTTGAAGCGGCTCTCGTGGGATATATAGCGATTGACCGTCACTGGGAAAAGGTGAGGTGGTTTGTCTTACATTTGAAGCTTGTATCTTCTATTTTGTTTTTGTTTTGTGTCAACAGTCTAAACTCGTGTCTCTTTAGGATCTTCCTTATGATCCAACCGGAGAACTCACTAGCCTTCGAGCTTTCATTGAAGCAAACATCGATATTTGCAAATGGGTCGGGATTGTTGTAGTAGCGGTCCAGGTAAACTAATGTTATTCCATGATTCTCTCTTTTAGATTGTTTTGTGTTTGTATTTCATACACGAGCCTTGTGTTTCAGTTACTCTCGTTGCTAATGGCTATGGTTCTGAGAGCTATGGTTTCACCGCGACAATCGGAGCTTGACGATGAGGATGACTATGAGAATCCGATGAATAGAGGTCGGGAGAATCTTCTTGGTCCACAGGCAAACCAAACATCTTCTGGATCAAGCAATATCGACAACTGGAGGTCCCGAATCAGAGAGAAGGTAAAAGAAAAAAAAGCTTTAAATTTCTTGATTCGATTGAACGAAGTAGCAAAGATTTAAGCTTGTGACTGATTTTCTTTATAACTGCTTTTTCTTCTACAGTACGGATTGATCAACGGTCAGAGCCAGAGTCCAGCAGTTTGAGTTCTTGTGTTTGGGAATCATCACTTTGTTTTTACTTCCTCTCTCCCAATTTTTCTCTCTCTCGTTGTCTTTGTAATTTTCGAGTGTGCATAGATATTACACAACTATGTAATCGTTTGATGTTGTTTTTTGAAACTCGGTCTAGATCGCAGCAACAAAAGCTTTCAACTTTGGGTGTGTTTGTACAAAACCGTAACGAGATTTGTGTTTTTAAAATGGGAAGAACTGCTTATTTCCTCTGGTTCAATAATGGTTTACATAGCATTTTGTTCTCTTTCTCAATCATTACAAAAAAAAATCGAGAGACAAGTCTTCCCATAGACAGAAAAGAAAACTTACACTATCTTACATTTTTATTGAATGTAGTACTATTATTTAGTTCCTTGTCTCATCTCATCGTGTAAGATCGATAACAGCTTCCTCTACGAGCTCTTGCAACAATGCCTTTTCAATTTCAATCCCAAAGTCGTCTATTTCAACTTGGAAGCTATGAAACCATGTCCTCCCGACAATCTCCTCCTTCACTAAACTCTCTGCAGCCAAACTGTTTGCGTCCATGTCCTCTACATAGTCACGCTTGCTAGGCTCATCTGAAACCCACTCCTTTACCTTGCTCCACACATGCTCCACCAGGTCAAAAGGCGGAGGAGAAGAGTCATCGCCCATGGTTGTAGTCGTTGTTTCCGAAATGATGGAGTTAATGCGGTCGAATATGAGCTTACGGGTTGATCGTTGCTGTCTGCGTTTGCCTTCGTGGATGAACTCCTTGATGTTGTTGTTGTTGTTGTTCTCTAAGTTCGTGTATTTGTCTCTGAGTGAAGGGTCTAAAGGACTGTTTGGCAAGTGCCACCGCGACATGAGCGGAGCATGAGAGACGGTGCAACCCTTGCTGTAGCCAGCCGCTGTCAAGAGCGTTTCTATGAATACATACCAGTCTTCTTCCTCATGGACTCCCATTGCCGGTTTAGATATGTTGTCTGTGCAAGACTCGTCATCCCATGAGAGGATCCGTGCGATTGACCCTATTGGTGGTGATTTGTCTATTAGATTAGATTTTAGAGACGTTTCTTCTCCTGTTGAGAATGCAACATTTGGATTAGCTTGAGATGAAAGCTGAGAGTAACTTAACTCTCTGCAAAAGCTAAGCAACATGAAGAACTAACCTTGAGCCGTCCATAGCTTGGTTGAGCCAGAACATTCTGCAATGCCGACACCTTCCTCTTCAAATGGCGGAAACAAAACCGAAATTGGACTTGGCTGGTCCTGGTTTTCACTTGTGTTCCCAGCCGCTAGAGGCTTCGGTGTAGTCAATTCCTCCTGCAAACAAATCAAAATGGCTGCTGATTTAAGCAAGAACTGTTCAGGATCATCAATGGCTTCTTGAATACATTGAAAAAGGTTAGAAAATTGGTGGGATACCTCGCCTGGGATTATGATTTGCTGTTGTGATGAATCAGGAGGGAGACAATCTTCGTTGGTTTTCCCGGGAAGAGTGACAGAAGAAGGCGTTGCTAACTGAGACATACTACTACTGTACTGAGATGCATCTCTCTTCTCCTTGCTTGCTTTCTTATTCTTAAATGAGAACAAGTTCGAGACTTTCCATGACGATTTCAGGTTTCCAGTCTCAGACAGCTCTTGTGGAGCCTGTGCTTTGGAAGTCCCCAAAACAGATGTTTCTCCATTGAGCCTAACGTCAGAGACTGATTTCGACCTTGCAAGGATATTCAGAGAATCACTAGCCATTTCCACTTGGTTCAGATTGGTGGTTATGCATGATGTTGACGCCCTTGTCTCTGGTGCTATTTCATTGCTCTCTTCGTAGGATCCACTTGTCACTTTGGTCTCCGAGAGTGCAAGCATTTCCCCTAAGGTGCTTGACGTTCTCGGCACGTGTTTATGAGGCTGAGTGCTTCCTGTTACTGACATCAACGCCCATCTTTCAGAAAGTCGCTTCTTTGCCTCTCTGCAGACAGATGACTCTGGAGAAAACGAGGCTCGGCTGAAAGAGGAAGGAGAGAATGGACTTTCAAACCTATTTGGACAGTCCCATGAATGCCTAGAAGTCGGTGACATGATCTCAGAATCGCTAAGATCCCCCACTGGATCTTCGTTATCAGACTTGTTAAACGAACTGTCATCACCAACATAACCATTGGACAAGACAGAAGAACACTGAGTCTCATTCCTATGATGACCCATCAAATTCTCGCGCACTTGACGTGTAATTGCCTTTGCCACTTCTTTAGACTCAACATCTCCAAGCTCATCACAATATCCTCCCATCGGCTGACCCCTCGGAGAGGATGGGGATGATGAAACAGCTCTTATACCTAGAGACTTCCCTAGACTAGGCTTCAAGACGACAATTCGAGTAGGCTGTACATGGTGTTCCTCTGTTCCCCGGTTGGCATAAGATGATGAGTAACCAAGATCACGGTTTCCCCATCCACTTTCTTGACTTGATGAAGCCATTTTCTTAACCTGCTTGTTCTTCCTCCCTTGAACCACAAATTTTTCAGTTTCAACAGCCTTTGAAGGTCTCAATACCGTGATGCGCTTCGCCTCCGAATGAGGAGGAGGAACAGTCTGAAAGTCGGAAAGATGCTGAGTGAACGAATTCGATTCCTGGAGAAACTTAACAAACAAATCCTTGTTGGAGCTTAAAACTTCGAGTGCATCTTGGAACTCTTTGGACTGGTGAAGACTATCATCCGTTACAAGACGTTTTGCTTCCGCTAGCTTTTGACGAACAAGTTTCTCAGTCGTAGTTTCCTCACATCTTCCTTTTCTAGGCGAGCTTTCCCTTGAAAGGCTCACCTTCTGAGGCGACTGCCACGTTTCATACACATCTTTGAATTCTCTGCTGAGATCCTGATACCTACGCACCTCATGATCCATAGAAGTCACTTGATGATTCGGCGAATAGCTTCTGGATTTGCTTCGCTGTGTAGGGGATTCAAGATGCAGCTGAGGAAGTGTTTCCAAACCCATCAACTTAGCAACCACATTAGTTGGGCTCTGTTTAGGTTCAACTTCTTTTGACATCTCTCGAGCAATGAGTTTCTTCATCGGTGTACCACTTACTTTGCTAGAAGCACTTCTCCTCAAATCAGACATAATCTGAGCAAAACATCAAGTGGTGCAGATAAGTACAACGATCTGAATATTAAAAAAAGAAAAAAACTCTGTTGTTGTCATGGATACTGTTTCTGATTATTTAAACCAAAATTTTACCATTTCAGCTTCTGAATGGGCTTTATAAGAGGGGCTTGGCATTCGAGTCACATCAGATCGACTCCTTGACAGAGAGGTTCCTGCCAAGAAACTATCTCGTGTCAGTAACACAAATGTCAATACAAAACTCCGATAGAGATAGATCATAACAGGACATAGAACTTGGTGCAGGAGCATCTTACCTAGTGTCAGAAATATAAATAAAATAATACACTTTGCGATAATAGCACACAGAGAACAATAAAAACCAGTCACATAGGGGAAATTAGCCATTACCATCACGATGTGGTTTATCTGTAAGCAGCTTGTTTCCATTAACAGCTGTCCCTAGATCAAACAAGTTCACCATCCTCCCCAAGCATCCTGGAACCGGACTTTCAATCTTTTGAACCTTTCTTCCTCGGAGATCATTCATTTTGGTGCCTGCATTTTCACAGCTTTTTTAGTTATTATCTAAAGCCGGACTGCAATTTAACAAAGCGAAGATTCCTAATGAAGAAACTTTCCATCTCTGGAAGCTGAAATGGATTGTTGGAATTGGAACCATCTTCTAGTAGAGAGAGAGAAAGAGAGACACAAAAGATACAAAATTTAAACCAAAGAAGAGAATTTCTAGCAGCAAAGAAGAACAGGCCAAGCATAACAACACAAGAGTTTGGTAAGAAGCAAAAGAAAAGAAAAAAAGGAGAATAAGATTCTGTAATCACAGGGACGCTTCATAGTGTGTGAACAACAAAAAGAACGAAGAACCAATGAACAATTTGGCATTTTCACATGAGCTATCACAATCAAAAAGACAGGCACTTTTTGTACCTAGAACAAACTACTTGTGATAATTACAAATCAAACCTTGGCTCACCCATTATAATAACCCACAAATTCCTGAGAATGATGATAGAAGAAACAATCCAAGCGAATCCTCAGTCACAATGGGATCTACATTTACAAGATTCCAGCCCTTCAGTGATGGGAAACTCTCTAGTAGTGTCTATGAACTCACATACACTTATCTACAAACTCCAAATTGTGTCCCTTCCCAAAAAGAAGAAACATCAATAATAAATGCTACAGCTTTAATAAATAACAAGCAAATCGACAAAGAGAGGAGTAAATCAATCCAGCCAAATTATAGCTTATTCAATCAGAATTAGAAGAAGCTGTGATTTCCGCTTCAGGACAAAAGCAAAAATAAAAAAACGAACCTAATCGGTGCAGAGAGATAGAGAGAGAGTAAAGGTAAAGATCAGAATCTATTTCTAGTAAGAACACGGAAAAAGCAAACAAGAAATCGAAATGAGAAAATAGATTAGAGAAAATAAAGAAAAGCATCGGAAAGTGAGATCAGAGCTCATGACTCAGACATTTTTGCTTTTACTCTCGGGGGAAGAGCGAGAGAGAAAGAGACCTGTGAGCTTTTAGGAGGTAGCTAGATACATCGGAAACTCCGCCGGAGAAGATGCCGCCGGAGATGAAGTAGCCAAATCTGCCTCTCTATGGGTCTCTTCACGCGCTCACCGAGTGGGAAATGGCGTCGGACGCGAAAAGGGATTTTAATAAAATAGAGTTTAGTCACGGAATCTCACGTACAGACAAAACATATGAAGAGAGAGAGGGGAAGAAGAAGAGAGGAAGGAAGAAAATGCTGCTCTGTACTCTCTTCCTCTTTTGTGTTGTTTCTCTTCTTCTTTGCTCTCAATTATTTTATTTTATTTTTCCCAATATACTACTCTTCTTTTATGTCTTCTGGTTTTAATTATATAAATAAAATATAACAATATTGAACTGATGATAAAATGCTACATCGGGAAATCAAAATTATTCAACTCGATGTAGTTCCGAGTAATGGATTGGTTAGTTACGGTTAAAAAGAAATTCTGTTGGGGAATTAACTTTTATTAGTCCTAACTACATTTGTGATCAGTGTAAGCAAACAATATAGTCAAATATTGTTGATACTCTGAAAAAGAATTTGGCTCATATTATAGTCAACAAATTTTGTTTAGTAGTCAAAGTGGATTGATTTTTCAGGTCTTTCAACATTTTTTTCCTAGCAACTTAAGTAAAAAAAACAATAAAGTCAACTATTGTAATTTTCTGAAAACGAATTTGGCTCATATAGTCAACGAATTTTGTTTAGTAGTCAAAGTAGATTGATTTTTCAGGTCTTCTAATTTTTTTTTCTATTTTCTAGAAACTAAAGTGCATATAAATGGTTAAAGCTAATCATATTTACATATGAGAAATATTCTATAATATTTGGAAGATGGCAAATATACGTTTGCAACATCAAAACTATTCACAAGTTCTTGTGAAAAAAAAAAAGATTTAAGAGAGATGTGATTAAACCCTTCAATGATTAGGGCTAGAAGCAAATCAAATTATGATAAATATATTTCTATTTTGGGTTGAATGGATAGTTCGTTCCATTTTCACATTCACAATGAATGCTTTGGTGAAAATTGGGTATGGCTCAACAACCAAATCCTTTGCTCGTGCTACTTTCACAATTACTATACATTGCATTTTATTTTTATCATTGGTATATAGTTTATAGATGCATTTTTTTCATTATTTTATTTATTGCTCTAAATTTCATAAGGATAAGAGGTTGATATAGATACATCCAATGATTCAAACTGAACCAATCCAAATTTTTGACTACTATATAAAGTTATAAACTAGTGTTCGGGTCGCCTCAGCTGATTTATATGTAATAAAATTTGAAATTTAAAACCAAGCTAATATTTTTCATGTATGGAAAAGAACAAACCGAGTGAAACCTATATGTTCTGCATATCAAATTATGTATCTTATTATCTTGTTTTATTTCGAAAATTGAATATGAGTCGCAGCAAAACGAAAGCGGTGCTAAACCAAACCAAAACAAATACCATAATGATGGTTTATTGGTTGATTTCAATCATAGTTATAGTCATTGTATATGCCATTTATGCTTAATGACAGAAACATTTGGTGATAAAACAAAAAACATAGCATCACAATCATCATTTCATTTTTTATACCATATATTCTATTGGCATTTTGATTTATTTACATTTTCATTTCGTTTTGATTTCCACTAACGAGAGTAGTCGAGTAGAAACTTCATTAACTAACAGAACCATTTGAACATAACTTGTCCTTTTCATGTATGGGCAATGTAATGATGATCCATTTCTCTTTTGTCAATTTACTATTGGTGATGAGTATCGGTCTTCCAATCATGCTATTTATTGTTTCGTATACTATATCTAACCCTAACAGGCTCTTTATGTTTTTATAATTAATGAGAACTTAAGATCGAAAATTTGGATATAATCTGTAAAACATGCGTCAGCCATGTAACTACTAAACTATACATTCATCAAGGCGACGATGCGCGAGTAATTAACAAGAATCGGATATATATATGACTTCGACTATAAACACTACTATAAGACAATGACTTGACTACATGTTTAATAAATCCGGGACCAAATTAAAGAAAATCTGAAATGGACCAACCAATATTTGTATCTTTACTCTTAGTTAATAATAATAATATTTAAAAAAACTATAAAAAAGCAATAAAAACTATACTTGAAAACTGGACAAAGAAAACAATATAATGTAATCAATAAATATTTACATTTCTTGCTTTTATAAAATATGAAGATTTCGGCTAAAATGGTTATGAAAACAAGGATGAATGCAAATGTCTTTTCCTGAAGATTTATATAGTACTTAGAACTTAATATCATATGATAACTCTGAGGCCCTTGTGTACCTTTGAATGTAGCAAGCTCACAGTGACGGGGCCCTTTGCAAAGCTAAATCACAGCAGTCCACGTGGTTTAGTCCACGCTTTTACAATCATTAGAACTAAACCATCAAATTATCATCAGGTAATTCGTAGAATTTGAATCACACTAAAAACCAGAATTATGTTTAAATCATTCGTTAGTTTGGTTATATGTTTAGATGACATGGTGATGTAGGGTCTACTAAACAGCGTAACCAACCAATCACATAGGTTGGAGACACGCTAGCTGGATTTGTAGTTTTAATAAATGTTGTGTCTAAAGTCTAAACGTGTTAAAAAAAAAAGAATATAATAAGATAGAAAAAAAGAGTTAAAACACTTACTGAAGTTTCTATCAAACCTCTAGTCTCTAATTAACTGTCCATTTATATTTCTTTTGTCAATCTTGAAAATCATATTTATTTTTACACGTTAAAAACATTTTTGGGTAATATTCCAATTCTATTTTACCATGCAACTGGAATAGAATAATTGATATTAATATTAAAAATTCATGGAAGACTATGAATTATGGATGATTTTATAACTAACTGGACTTTCTTGTTTTGTTCCATTTAGCTAATCGGAGCTACAAATATTATTTACTTCAATCATGTTGAATTTAGAAGACAAAAGCGTATCTGTATTCTAAGATTATCTTTAACTAAAATATATGCATCACTGAGATACTGTATATATATTTTTAAATAAACTACAGAAAAATTTAAAATCACTAGAACACAAAATCTTGAAAAGAATCAGAGAAGAAAGGAAACAACATGGCCATTTGATGGCACGAAATAATTAGTTTATGGAGGAGGACAAGTAAGACAAGAAGCTGTACAGTTATGTAGCCAATAAGTGTTCCATTTCATGGGAGTACACTCATTACAGCAGAAGACCAACCAAACCTACTTCATAACTTATTATAAGCATGCATGCGTTCATATTGTTTGTATAATTTAATGACACGATATTTGTATGCGTTTGTATATTTTTAAATATATACACACTAATTTAGTACTAGAGCGTTAAGAACGTTTTGACATGGCGGTTGATGCCGAGTCCTGGTAAAGAGTATCCAACAAACTGTAGCTAGAACCTGTCAGATTTGCCTTGGCCTCTGAGTAAGCATAATCAAAGAACAAGTGATAAGGTGGGAATGATTGCGAAAGTTTGTAACTTGTTTTACTGTGTTGACAAAAAGAATTCGCATTGATACATCTGCGAAACAAAAATATTAGAAACAACTTAAAAAAAAAAAAAAGCTATGAATATCGATGAAATTATTGTGGAGCATCAAAGTGATGTTGAAATAAGCATAAGCAATTGAATGTAGTCTTAATCATCAAAGAACCAACCATAACTTCATTTAATTCTTCGTTTAAAAATATATTATATTCATATATTGTTTTTTAATTTAATTCTCTGGTTAATTGCCACTAACAATATAATTGGGCTTTTTAGATTTGTTGGGCGGGCTTTTTGTTTCACCTTTTTTTCCACGTATAAATTCATTTACAAACGAAATACGAAAGAAGAGTAACGGAGTAACCACGTCATCACATTATCCATAAGAACCGATATGTAATATACACGTGGCAAATCTCAAGTGGAGGGAAACGATTCGTTTAACCCAAAACATCTCAAACACTTCCTCTTTTCTTAGCCGTTCGAACAATATTACAGCCAACAAAACTAAGGCAAGAACCATTCTTTAGTGTCGGAAGAACAATAAGAAGAGAGAAGAAAAAGAAAAAGAAAAAAGCAAAGATGGCGATGGCGTCAGCATCTTCGGTGTTTGTTTTGACGGCCAACGTCACGGCTTCCGCAGGCGCTTCGTCGTCCCGGAACTCCGTGTCTTTCTTGCCGATGAGAAGCGCCGGTTCTAGGCTCGTAGTCAGAGCATCCGAAGAGGCACCTCCGGAAACATCTTCGTCGGAAGGTGTTCCGGCAACTGCTCCAGCTGCTGCTACTGCCACCAAACCCAAGCCGCCTCCGATTGGCCCTAAGAGAGGCTCCAAGGTCAGCTATTTTGAACCATCTTTTACATACTAACATACGCATACTGCCAAATTTACATATCGATCGATGGATTTGTATGAACGAATTTAATTTGAGTTACGTTGATTTTCATTGGTATTTAGTAATCCCTAGAATGGTGAAAACAATTAAATGATTATGCGATTCCAGATGCTCCACCAATTACACAATTTTATATTTTCTCAAAGCCCAAATTTCACCACATTTTGTTTTTGTTGAATCTCTGAATTTTATAGGTTTTCAATTCAAAAATTAATTGGCAATAAGTGAATTGGTATCATTTCAAATATCATTATTTGTTAATTACTATTCTGCTACTCTATAATTACTCTCGTTACGTAGAGAGATTATCTGGTTTACAATAATCTAACATGGTTTAGTGAAACTGTTTCTCATACTCTAATAACTACTAACCTCATAGATGATCTTTGGTAAAAGTAGGGTCTTTCGATTGCTTTGAAGTTACGGGTTGAATTGGTTATTTATATAAACTGTTGGGGTTCGTAGGTCAAGATTCTAAGGAGAGAATCCTACTGGTTCAAGAACGTTGGATCAGTCGTGGCCGTCGATCAGGTAACGCATTTCGTCTCCAGTTACCGATCTAATGGTCATATAAATATCTTTCTCCATGCGAGTTTGTATAATTTTCTTACACTGGGTTACAAATGTGCAGGACCCGAAGACCCGGTACCCGGTTGTTGTCCGGTTCGCCAAAGTGAATTACGCCAACATATCGACCAACAACTATGCATTGGACGAAGTTGAAGAAGTTAAAGCTTAAATGAAATTGCGTGTATCTGGATTCATGTTTATACCGGTCTATCTGTAACTTGACCCGAACCCTATGTACCGAAAAATTTACCATTATTTCTCGTCATCTGAATGATCAGTCGGTTTTCTAATATTTTTACAAACCGCGGTTTTGGAAATCACCAGTGGGAATCTGGTTAAATCTCTCCCTGCTCATGTTTAACAATTAAGCATATCGCGGCGTAAACATTTTTAAACCGGTAAAGTTTTGCTCGGTACGTACCTAAATGACTCAGTTCGGTCTGCTCGGTTTACGTCACAACAGTGAAAATAATAATTTAATCTTTCCATAACTTTACATTTCCGTCTTTTTCTTTATATAAAAGACTTAAAAAACTTATAATTACGTCCCTAATTACGAAAGTATTTACACTCTACCATCCATTCCGTCAAGAAGACCGGTCCAGATTCCCTTAACCGGAGGAAGCTGTGCAACGAAGGCTTGCCATGGAGGATAACCAACTCCGCTTCCTCTTACACGCCCGTCCAAACGTAGAGACAAATACCTAAAACCAACACAGCCATTGGGCGTCACGTAACGCCAAATCATATCCAGCTCAAGAACCGCTGCAAGATTCAAGTTTAAACCGGTTTCAAATCAAATGCAAAGAACTACTTACACTGGAGAGTCTGAAGAAACACCAGCAAGCTTCTTCTGCTCACCTAACCACCTGGTCAAGAAAACAAACTAATCAAGAAGGAACACAAAATTCGATTCTTTCAACTCATGTTTCACTCTTTATATCGAAAGCTTCTCTTACCTTTCCCATTCCGAGACAAAAACTGGAGCCACACGCCACAATCTCCTCCTTCTCTGGCTCATTTCTTCATCCGCAGTGTCACTCTCATCGAACTCCAAAACCGGTGAGTTCCCATCAGTTGCATAAGCCACCACAACCACACCTCTCTCGACAAGCCCTTGCGTAAACTCTCTACTTCTCTTAAACGCTTCTTCGATGTAATCCGCAGGACCAGCGCAGATCACAAGCCTAGCAATCCCTCTCAGATCGCCCACAGAGATAACCTTGTTGTTCTCTTCGACCCTCATCTTGAGTTTCGCAAGATTCTCTTCCCTCGAGAGCCTAGCCATTTGCGCGTTCTTGGTCTTGTTTTCGCGTAAGTAGAGGAACGCAAAGAGAGAAGCTGCACCAATGTCAATGCCTAAACCCTTTACGATCTCAAGAACTTCACCTGATCTTGCCGGATTCGCCAGCGCACCGATGAGCCTGGAAGTGGCTATTAGCCCTCCTAGTGATGCGCTTGCTATGAAGGCGAGGTAGAAGAACATTCGGACCGATCTGAATGGAGACAGAACCTCACTACGGATTCTGGCATCAGCACTGTAAGCATAATAAACAGAGGGAACTTAAGACAGGCAAATGCCTTCAACAGAGGGAACTTAAACTGTCTTTCAAAGTTTCAACCTTTCATCATCTCATTGAGCAGAAAAAACTAAATTGATTCAACAACAACTTACAACCTAAACCCATAATTCATCAAATACAAAGGCGAAAACCCAATTTAAAGAAACAGATTACCTGATTTCGGATGAGGAAGAGGGCTCGTCTGCAGCAAAACACACGGTGTTGAAAGGCAAAGGTTGCTGCTTTCTACTTATCGTCAGAGTCCAGATTCTAGGGATTTCAGGAGAAAAATCACGTCTTTCTATGTGATTGCAACGGGAAAATCTCCGAGGAGAGAATGGTTCTTTTGCCTGGCTTAGAACTCGTATACTCAAATGGCAATGGTTGATGTAAGCCTGAGAAGAGACCAGAGTAGCCATTGGTCTCCTTAGATTCTCTGCAACTTCCTTTGTTCATAAGATGACTTCTCCTTTCATTTTGGATCATGTTTTTTTTTTTTTTCACTCCCTCTTAGGTCTGTGATCATAAACGTGCCACGCTTCCAAGTTTTAGCAATCTCCTTTTTGGGATTTTCTGGAATATATTAGGTTGATTTTCATCTTACTTTAGATATTACACTAAAATAAAATTTACAAGATCGATTTTGTATTGTTGTAGATTCAAGTGGTGAAAAACAGAGTGGTCAACAAATACTTTTATTTAGAGGTTCAGTGTGTTGACAAGAAAAAGAATAAAGGTTCGATGTTTACAGAAGAGACAGAGAGAGAGAGTGTAGTTAAGACTTTCAAGCTCTATATGCAAAATCCCCGAACAAACCAGTTTCATCATCTCCTCAAGTCTGACCAGTTTTACCGTTGGCTTCAGCTAACATCAATTCCAGTTCTCCCTTCCTGTTCAGCTTCACTGTATCTGCAGTCAACAAGAAGAAGATAATACAGTGAATTTAAATGAAAAAGATCAAAAACACTAGTGATTCGCACAGAAATAGGAGAAAGTTTTCAAGTGAAACAGATCCAATACACTGTAAAATCTACAAAGAAACAGAGAGGCAGGCGAGAGGGAGAGAGAGAGAAAGTACCTGTGCAGCCACCAATGTGCTTGCCTCCTGATCATTAGGACAAGAGATTAGACACAGTTATGTGTTTGTCATAAGCAAAAACTAGATTGTTTCTTTGGGGCATCTAAAAGGTTTCATATTTTGTAACAGAATATAAGGAAAAAAGGTTGTATATGCTCCTGAGTTTTCAAGATTCAAATGAAGATATAGATTGATGCAAACGGATAAAACAACTTACCGACGAAAACATTAGGAACAGTGTGTTGCCCAGTAAGTCTTTCCAGCACCTTCTGCAGTTGCGGCCCTTGTGGACCTAAAAAATGAGCCATAGATTCAAAGCAAGGATAGTGAATACGAATCACCAAATATCTTGACAATTGCATCTTCAAGTGTTTATTAAAAAGAGAGACACATTTACTTAAAGGAAAGATACGAGTAATAGACTAGTAATTCTACAAGAAAGAAAATCAGATTATCACAGAATACCAAAGGCATACAAGACTCCCCAAAATGCAAGTTTCTAAACTAAAGTCTAAAAACAGAGGTTAAAGGTAAAGATACGAACTAATTCGAATCCGGAAACTTAAGCGAATTGAAAGATAAATGCCACCACATAAGGTACATTAGTATTGTGCATATGGAACCAATTCCAAAGGTTAAGCGTAACACTAACGAATTCTTCAAAAAAACTGGCAACCAATCTTTCATCGTCTATTTAAAGCCACGTTATAAACTATCGTATTCAAATCAATGTACCAACGCTAAGCTGATTTAAAAATAGAAATGTTAAGCAAATGTAAACATACCAAGTTCATCCAATTCAATCACCAGTGGCTGAACCCCAAGTCTCTTGAACAATGTCTTCACTTCAGTACAGTATCTTCAACACACACCAAACACCAACATATTATTAACAAAGTACATGTTTCAAAACTCAAGCAAAGAGTCCTCATTTGTGTTGAGAAAGGTCAGCAGAAACATTAAGATTTGAAGAACAGCAAAACCCACACAAAAAAAACAAGGATGTTGAACAATCCTAGTTTATATATTCTAAAAATCCACAAGAAAATAGAGAGAGAAGTGAAACCTACGAGCACCAAGTTTTGGAGTATACAACGACAGTGTTGTCAGTCACAGTTTTCTTCACGCTCTCCTCCATTCTCGATCCGAAGGAAGAAGACGAAGCAGCCGAAGAAGAAGAAGAAGAGGACATGGCTCGAACAGAACATGTCTGCTTTAGACATCTTTTGAAAGGAGATCGGGCGGAGTTTCTGATGCCGCCGCTTATCAGAGAGAACGAATAAGTAGTAGAAGAGGAAGACGGAGAAGAGATCGAAGGAATCGGATTTAGAGACGACGATGCAAGTTTCAATGGGTTGAATGCTGCGACTGCCATGGCGATTTTCTGACCCTTGGATTCTCAAAAAGTCGACAGATTCTTGGAGCTTCTTCTTCTTTGCGTGGTACTTGTTGTCTCGTGACTTGTCCTCTTTTTGGTTTTTATTTTTATTTTGTGACAAACAAATTTTTTCTGCTGGATTTGAATATGATACTTAAGAGGCTTTTATTAATGGGCTTCTCTTCTCTATAAAGCTTTGATTACTTTTTGGTTCTATAAACTAATGGGCCTAATAGTAGGCTTTATATCATACCTGCGCACGATAGAATTTGTTGGAGTTCTTTTTATCAAACATTTTGATGAACGTTCAAGAAAAAACGAAAATCAATTCAACGTGCGAGTAGCCATCGACCATCGCAGCCTATAATGTTTTTGGTACTAAATCGGAGAATTAATATAGATTTTACATTGGGAAATTTAGTCTTTAGCAGATTTGTTTGACAAGTTTTATCGTTTTAACTCGCATGCGATGACACCGCAATGTATGTAAACTTGCTACAACCATATGTTCATATCTATAGCATATGGGCATGGGCCACTTGATGATTTAGACTTTGGTGCATGCGGATGATTTATCAGTCGTGAACTTGTGGAAAACTCCTTAATTACGAAAAATATTTGATCGCCTCCAAACTTAGTAGTAGAGCCTTTTGCAAAAACCCGATACTAATCAAAAAGAGTTTTGTCGTTTTACACTAAGAGGCCAAATCAAAAATCGTGAGAAATTTGTTGATTTATTAAACAACTCATCGATGGACCTACCTTGATAAAGATCATGTGGGGACTTTTGACTAGTTGTAACGTCATGGGTTCGAATTATTTTCATTGTTTCTCAATTTGTTCTTGTCAATATCCCACCAACATTTTCTTCCTTCAATTATAGCCCAAATCTTTGTTCTATTGGCATATATACATATAGTGTATATGAACACGTATTTTCATCATTGTTCCCTATTAGATTATTATTATTATACATATGCAACACCCACAAAATAACCCACTTTAATTATAAACAATTGTATTATAAAACGGACTAAACGATTTGGCAAGTACCCTCACTTGTTCAAATTCATTGTGTTGTCCGTGTCCATCCATGCGTATATGAATATTAAAGATTGGTACAAATCAAATAATTTTAGAAAATCAGACATATATGTATTATATCCGATTCAAGTATTTTACGTATTTAGATACGTGGGATTTCAGATATTCTATTAACTTGCATATAGGATTTTGCCTACTCCTCCCATACCATACAAAAATATTGTGTTAAAAGTTAAGTTTGTATTTGCTCCCACAAATCTAAAATATAGAAAAATAAAATTAATTTTACACAGAAACATCAAGATTCTATTTAAAAACTTACTAGGAAGATATAGTACATAAGTGTAGTTTAAAAGTCCTATATAAATTTTATGTGTTGACAAAAACATTAGAAATTTAGGTTGAATTTGAATAACCCAGATAATATTTTTTAGTTTATGTACCCATACCTATCATTTCTGTAACCTAATTTTCTGGATATCTAAAAATTCGGAAAGGGCAGAAATGAATCTCGAGTTCGAAACTAAAATGCCCACACAATATACATATATAGTGTAATGTGTGTGTGTGGGGTTGACGGTACATTAAAAAGTGATGCAGAGACATGGGTGCAATAATGTTCCAATTGAAAGTTTATCCATCCCAATGATTAAATTCAGTACGTTTGAATTATTACTCTTTATATATCTGTTTAGAGTAAAGAACTAAAATTTGAGAAAGTACTATACATATATTGACGTAAACAAATTATAAAAAAAAACCTTTGTTGAACTTGTTTAGTTACTTGTTGGAGAAGTATAGTTCCTACTCGTATAAGATTCATTGGACTTGTAAAAATGAGTTACTTAACTTAAACTATCAAACATTGCGTGTGCGTGGTAAATGTGAAGTGTTTGTTGGTTTTTTCTTTCTTGTTTTTTTAGCGTAGACGAATATTTTTCTTTTTTCTCACAAGAGTTAGTTCATCTAACAGACATAGGCATGTGAAAGGAACAAACCCTAGTTTTTTGCAGACTTTGGTAATTTGTATGATGGACAATATGGGCCCTTAAACGTGAATGATTTCTCCATTGGAGCATTTGTGACCGTTCTCATGCCCTTTTACTCTTTGTCATTGATATCTTCAAATCAAATCTATAACTCATTTTGGTATGATTGACAACTGTAAAACCAAAGTCGTATAAGATCTCACAAGGCAAAAAAATGTAAATGACACTGTGAATGTAAATTGACGCATATCTACCTATGTGATACAGATCCCTCGGAAACTATAGGTCTTCATAACCAATATATAACTGGAATCTCTATATGATGATGCCTATTTAGCTAGGGTTTTTGTCAATGTAAGGAAAATTGATTGAGGAATACGTGTTAGTGTGAGGTGACAAGTGACAAGTATGGCAAAAAGCAAAGAAGAACGCAAAATGAGAAATGGTCACTCAAATTCAACATATCCTTGTAGTTTCTAAATAGGTAACATGAGGTGAGGGTACATGAGGCTAGATGATCACTACTCCATGGCCTTTGAAATAGACTTCACGTACATGCATTTTATATATACATGTGGTAGTGTATATATAGTCTTAGTCATCAAAATTCCTCCTTCCAAGATATTATAGACATATCCAATTCAAGTATTTTGGTGGAACTTTAAATTTACTATTTATGGAGCTATCTTTTTTTTTTGTTTTTTACCGTCAATAAAAGATGATTTTGACATATACTAGAAGACATTCTAACGTGAAAAAATTTATGATTTTCCGTACCTATTTAGTTAATGGTTTATCGATTTTACACATTGTGATCATTCATCGATCATAACTTTTCTAAATAGACTAGCGAAATCCAGAGGATTAAAATAGAAACGATACAAGTAATATGAGAATAATACCGTTCTATATAGTTTCCATATCAAATAGATAATGTTTTCGTATAATATAAAGGATAACTATATATACCAGCAAGAAAAAAAAGTTTGAAGTTTGAATTATATAAACTCTACATAATTCATAATAATAATAATAAACGTACAAATGCTGTGGTCGAAATTGGTTTTGAACTGATGGCTTTATCCTTTGACGTTGGACATTGGCCGATCTACATTTGATGTGACATTGTAAGATCTCTTTTATTAATGGATCTAAAAATCTCTTCATTGGACCCAACACATGTGGGTTTTAATGTCATCACAAAATGTGTTCAATTTTCTCTTTTGTTTTTTTCCTATGTAACTTAACGACATGTACATTGAAATTGCTTTATAGATTACGAAAGACGTGCTTCCGAACTACATAATGTGCTAAAGACTCCTTAAGAGAGTCCAAACTTCGATCGAAGAAAACTTAATTACCTATAAGAATGTACCCATTTTCTTTCCGTGCAAAGCGGAAAGTCGATGCATGAACCACGACACTAATTATTGCATTAGTGACTCGATCGAATGTAAAGTGGGATTTAATTACACGTTCTGTTAATTAGGTTAGTAAACCTAATTAATTAATTCCAGCCCACATAAAACACCTAGCTATCACATGTATTTAAGAATTGCTTTTGATAAATTCTATTTAGAACAAAAAAAAAGCTCTTTAATTTTGATTAATTGAGGAGTTTTGGACCTAAACTCATACACCCACCCATCGAAATTTAAATAAATTCGTTCTAATAAAAAAAAATCAAATCCTGGTATTTAGAGCTTCGCCTATTTAATTTCAAAGTGATTACTGTATTAAAAAGATTAAAATTTGCTTTTCCTAATTAAGAGATTTGTGTATATGAAATGAAGAGACTTCTTTCTTTTGGCTTCATAGTATGCATATGCATAATTGCATACCGATCGACGATTTCGATTAAAGCAAAGAATATCATACCCGTGAGTAAGTCAAATAAAAATTTATTGTAATTGTTTACTTTTTTGCCAAACGGTAATTAAATATATTTTGACCGAAAAAACCTTTAAATATTTCGTAAATGATAACATATTATGTAACCATTTTCCCACTAGCATTATGGCCACTCGTCTATAGTTTTTAGTTAAAGATCTCGAAGTTTAGTAACAAGCTTTGGTCTAATCTTTTTATCATGGCACCTTACCCATTTTTCATTGAAATGTTACCTAGTTATAATCAAGTGTTTAGAATGTACGAAAATGTCATTCAAAAACCATCGGCAATTTTGAATCTTCAAATTAGACAAGAGGTCGCAGAGTTTGATAACTGAAAATTTTGAAGAAAAAAAAAGAAGAAAATTATAAATTGTATAGAAAAACGATCAATCGTGTTGTAAATTGAAATAAATTTTGGTCCACCCATATTAATTAGTACGTACGAACTGATGAGAAACCATTCCGGTATAAAATGATGTTACGTTCTTTAGAAGAAAATGTGGATCCTGCAGATTAGTCTAACTATCGAAAGTGGTCTCAAACGAGTTAATTCCGCGTGAACATCACAACAGTTGGTCTTGGATAGTACGATGCTTTAGTTTAAAAGAATTAATCATGAATATTAGTTCTTACTTTTGATATAATTAATCAATTTTCCTAGCAAAGTTAGTTAGATCTTCATATTTACATTAAACATGCGACTCTCATTTCAAAGAAAACATTCACCTTTGTGGAAGATTATCTCATTTGGTATATATGTTTTTCAAGCCAATATCTCAGCCAGCATGGAGAACCTCACTCAGCTCCTCAATCAATAATCAAGTTCATCGACAAACCTATTCGCTACAGAATCCACTCTATCCACTGTTCTGTAGCGAATCCAAACAAAATATATGTTTCTTATAACATGACTCTGTGAATGAATCCTAACATCAAAGATTCATCCAATTCCAAACTACACGGTCTAAACAACTATTTTGATCGGTGAAAAGTAAAAGAGTTTCGGTGAAAAGTAAAAGAGCTTGACAGAAGTAAAGAACATGGTAATAAAATGACATTAAAACATTTTACATAAAAAAAATATTAGAAAAGTGTGTACAATATAGATGTTAACTATGCAAAATTAGGAAGAAGAAAAGTAAACTTGTACAAAAAAATCAAAGAACCCCCTCAAAAAGTTAATTCTCAAAAGTAAAAAAAAAGTAAAAAAAAA